TCTTTACAGGCATGTTTCACCTGATGATGTTAGTGAACATTAAAGTGACAAATATCCTATACTGGCGTAGATATGGTTAACGAAATTAGATAACGATGCAAATCGTATCCTATTAGCATATTTATGGGTGTCACTGCTTAAAAGCTATTTCTCGAGTGCCGAAGATGAACATGTCAAAAACATTTCTCGGTTTTTTATATTCGACATCTACACCAGATATGTTTTTACTGCGGGAGAGTTTAATAAATAATTGCTTAAAATTGCTTTAAAATTCGTAACTGATTAGTTGCTGTATAATCGTTAAATGAATTTTTAAAGCGTATTACCACCGTGTGTCCGAGTGAAGTCAGTTACATACAAGAATAATGCACAAAAGGAAAGTTTTACAAGTTACATGAAGTTTCTGGAAAAAAGGTAATATCACTCCGAGGAGTACTGTTGCTGCTTGTGGGCATAACGGCATTGCTGGATTAATAATAGAGGATGCGAAGAGGTTACGCTTTGTAGAGCTTTTTCCTCTAGTTTATGGAAAACGACAAATATTTGAGAATTTCTTATGCGGGAGCTTATTAAACTAAAATATTCTACATTTCATGAAAATTTCAATAGAATTTTCTGTATTATGTGTGTATTATTAGAAATGCAGGATTTCTACTCTTGCATCTATATAGCCAGCTTCTCAAAAAATGTTTCAATCAAAGTCCTCTAATAAAAACATGTGCAATTACTAATTTAAACTACTTATTGATTTTTTACAATTTATATACATTAATCGTAGCATTTTATTATTCAAATTATATGTACCGATGCTTCAATTTATTCAAACTAATGATTACAAAATGCAGTAAAAAGTTTCTATTTAATTTAGTATAAAATTATTCTTTTGTGGAAACCAGGCTATTCCAATACAAACAGTAGTTAAAATGATGATATTCAAATTATAAAATAATAACGTAAAATTAATGGTCACTATTTGGTGCAGTAACAATAGAACTGATTACAGTTAATCGTGTTGTATGGAAATACTATCAACACAACGACATATTTGTTGTTTTTTTTGTTTAAATTGCATTTTATACTGATAAATATTCATTCTGGAACGAATTACAAAATTTTATTGTTTTTGGTTATCTGAATGTAAAATTATGTTTTAAATAAAGGGTTCCCAAAACGGAAATATCGCAATAATTTTGCATACAATCTATCGATAAAGCATCATTTTCATAACCGGTAGATATTTAAATATAACAAAAGTTCATAAACGACTCTCTGTATAATTAAAACTACTGAAAATGTGTTTTAAATCTTCCGTATTACAATTCGTTTGAAGGGAGCAAAATAATAATAGGAAAATTAAAGCAGATTTTTACTTAAAGCTCAAGTTGATAGCAGTCGAGCGAAAACTCAGTCAAACGTGACATCTTCCCGAACTTTTCACCCGGAGACGCTCCAATTAAACGAATTCAGCTTTTTTTGAGCTTATTTTCGTAACTGACATTCCATTAGGGCGCACGTAATTCTCAAAAGGATCAAGAAATTTTTGTACAAACGCTCGCGAAACAAAGCGAAAATCTTCATGGCCATCAACAGCATCCTGCATTTTATGTTTCATTGTTTGTTGGAGATGAAAAACGCAATAAAAACGCAGACCCTTCACTATTTTATATTTTAAGCTATTCTAAAAACGTTTTCTTCTATATTATTGTGTTAGTAGCAGCAATATATAAATTGAAAAAAAATGATAACATGTATACGAACACCCCTATCATTATGTGCACATTTAAAATGTGTATATGCATAAAATCTAGCGATCCATTTTCGTGGAATTTCCATACGCCGCGTCGACATTGTATTTTAACAGCACTTTTAGTTCCGCCCGTACCGACTTTCGAGTACATCGTGAATCTGAGGAATTGAAATATACTTTATTATAAAATTTTACGGTTCATTTCCTATTTCCCAACAACCGGCTGCTTGTTTTCTGGCGTATACAATGCAGCATATAAAACGCGCAACGTTCGTTTGATGGCTTCAGAGATTTTTACTTCAATGGGTCTCTCACTTTACGATTGTTGGGCGTTTTTTATGGAGTGGGAAATAAGTAAATTTTTGCATTACCCCGGTATATTCACATGTCGAATTGCCGGTGAAAAAAAAAACGCCAAACTGCCGCTGGAAGAGAGACTTCCATTCAAATGCGAAGTAGAATTCCCGCGAGGGAATGCAGATAATTTATTTCGAAAAAGTGAATTACGTTCCTGTGTCCTGTGGGTCCGGAGAATTCGTCCGTCAATCCGGGCTCGCTCGTCTTTAAACAGAAGTCGGAAAACTTAGTTTCGCCGTTCCGGTCGGACGCAATTCGAAATTTCTCGCAGGCGTTATCGACATTACCCTTCGGTGTTCGGGAATTTTTCCAAGAGACCGTAATGGATTCGGGAACTCGGTCTCTCTCAACTTTCGCGAAAATAATTAAGAACTAGAATTGAATCGCGTTCCGAAGCGTATGTACTTTTAACTGCACGTCGAAATAGACCGGAGCCCTAATAATTTCTTACCTATCTCCAATATTTCGAATTAACTTTTTGTTGGTCTCTTTTAGAGGAGTATCCTCATAGTGGTAAAATAAAATAATTGAATTTTCTGAAAACTAATGCTCTGCTCTGTTCATATAACTTTTGTTAAAATGTTTCTTCCTGCACTTTCAGCAGGAGTAGATGCTTTAAAATTAACACTAAAACTTGCAATTGCATACTTCAATTGTAAACATTGAAACATTCATATAACAACAATTATTATTAATTGAAAACAATTAATTAAAAACTTATGGTGTTCTATAAATATTTCAATATCCAATTAGGCACTTATTTACTATGTTCAAAGAGAAATAAGCTACCTCTTTAAAGCATCTCATAGTAGTAGTTTATTAATTTGACTGTTGACTTCGTTACCTTTATGTAATCAAAAAATATGTCTGCAATTAAGGGACTTAGGAAAGCGGCCGCTGGCTCTTGAATAGCGCTGAATGAGATTCCAATCTAATAAAAGATTGGTAAAGACCCAAAGGCATCTTCTGGTTATTGAGTTTTGCTCTGCATAATGAATTTCTGCGGTTAAATGGCGGCGAGAAGGATGAGCGAAAGGAGAAAGAGTAATTTAAGTTAGTTGCCCTATGCCACATTTGAGGGAAATTGATTTTTCTGTTTTGCACTGTTGCTTCAGTCGCCTAATCAAATAAGATAAAATATTCTTAAGGAATGCTTAGTTGTGTATATTTTTCTCCGTTTGTAGAGACCTGTTGAATTTTTTATTGAGTCTATTCAAATATTCCTTGTGTAACGAATCCTTCTTTGTACATACATTATTTAGCTTCAGTACTCCAGAATGAAACTAAACTGATCTATTCCATCTTTTAATACTAACGTCGATATTAACTTATGTAGCTCTTTGTGACACCGATATCGTATTCACTTTGATTGTCGGACGTCTTTTTATACCATTTGAAAGGCTCCTACCCATATAGGGCACCAAAATGTAATTTACCTCTGGAAGTCAATTATCTCAATTCCCTTCTGCGAATTCTCTCCAGAAAATTCCAGATGTTTGTATTTTTGTACTTCTTTTTCAATTCGAACGGATCGATTTTATCCTGCTGTACAATAGAGATATCGTGATTTCGCAATTGAAAAGGTCTTGGAAACACTTTATTCAGTTTCTTGTTAAAAACTCCGTTACTTTAAGAATGCATTTTATTTAACGTGATGATTCAAAGAGGATTTCAACTTCCGATTTCTGTACTATCTGTTTTAAATTAAAAAAATACTGCGACTGGATTTTTGCTAATGCCGAAAAAATTTCGAGTTCATTCGAGTAGGAAACGTTATTCCAGCAATTCCGCGTCTACGTCGAGCTTTTTCCCGGACCTTAGCAAAATCATGTTGAGTCTAGCATCCTCGAAATAATAATATTTCAACGCTCTCAACCGCACACACAAAGGTGAATCTCAACCACTTTTTTCCAGGTTAAGTGGAAAAACGTTATAACCCTCCTTTCACTAGCACCGACGTATAGCGAATGCAGAATAGATAGTTTAGTGAAGCCTCGGGTTTTTTCCTAAAAATAAATTAATTTCTACGAAAATATTAACTTTAATTTACAACGGTCCTTTCCAAGATAATAGCCACGGCTAGAATTTCACATATTAAGCGAAAACTACAGTCGGTCGCCATCCCAAATTGAGCGTGTAATGCCATTATTGCATCGCTGTAATCAGTAATGATATGACAATCACGGCAATTTATTCGACATTTGGTGCGGTCAGGTATTATTCCATGATTGATTGGCTTTCGGATCACGTAAGTAGAGACAAATTTCCATTCAGGGGAACATCCTAAAACCCGACTAATTAATAAGTATCCGATGCATCATCCGGATGCCATGTTAATTATTAGTTGGTTAATAATCCGCTGATTGCAACAATGGTTTATTCACGCTCCTTTGACCGGTCGATGCTTAAATATTCCACGTTAATCGATTTTAGGAATGTATTTTTAAATACATCTAAAAATGTTTAAGTAATGTAACGAACATTAGTGTATGTGTATCTATAGGATTATTTTGATAGCTGGTTTCATTTTTCTCGATGCAGATGAGTTGAACTGCAACCGAGATATTTGTACTACCTACTCTATTATTTCACTTATATTATTTTTCTATTTTTCTAGTACCTATATTATTTGTTCTTAAAATTTATTATTGGTATACTATAGTATTTGTAATTTAATTTATCGGTTATTTAATAAATTGGTTAGCGTTATTCATTCATAATATTGTTCAAATGGAATGAAAAAAATATAAAATACTTTAATTAAAGGACTTTCTGTATGCACATTAAATTTATAATGAATTGTAGTATGATAAAGGAGTTTGCAGTATTTTGCGCTTCAAAGATATTAATAAACATTCCATTATTCTGTTTAACAATACCTCGATCTTTATTGCAGAGCCAACTATTTGATCTTCGGCTTGAAGCCCGCATGGTTCCATTTGACGAACGTGCTGCTACACGGAATCGCCTGTTTCTTATTCACCCGGGTGTGCCTGTGCGTGGCCCGTCTGAAGCCCCCTTTCGCGGCGGCGGCCGGCCTCCTCTTCGCCACCCATCCAGTTCACACGGAGGCGGTAAGTGCTTTACGGAGTTCCTTAATCGAATCGATGTGAATCGGGCTGTGTAATGATCAATTCTCGAATTGGAGGTCGGGAGACGATGAGCGGCGGAATTTTCGGTCGGGCGCGATTTTTCGATCGCTTCCTGCGAATTCATATGCAAATCGGCAGGGCGCGCGGGCGGCGAAAAATCTCGGAATATAGATTTCGAATGGTTGCAGATACCACTTCGACGTAATGATTATGCTAAAATGCATTATTTGAGAGCAAATGGGGTGTTGTCGATGAGATGATTGCGTGCTTTTTTAAAATTCATTTTCTCTATGTTTCCGTACTTATATTTCCATTATATTTTACATTAGTATGGAGGAGTGTACCTGTAAATGTCTGTATATTTTGTAAATGTATACTTGAGCTTAATTTATGCGATTCATTGCGTGTGACACCTGTTTAGCACATGTCACTATTAATTTTGGAACGTATTTCATTCAAAATATCCAAATTGTATTTGTATCATAAAATAAATAATAATTTATGATATCTTTTGATATCTTGTTTTGCTTGATCTACGATTGTCATAGTAGAAATGTTCATATCAAAGATTGTATGGTCTTTTCGAAACTGATTGGTAAAAGAAATCACGATACTTTGCATGCCGTGCTCAATGTTATGCACGCTCCAAATACATCCCATATATACTTATACATTCTCTCCTTTTTTTTCGTTATAACCAGTAAGGCATAAAATTCGAAAGCTTGTAAGAAATAAAAGAATAATATCAAACGCTGCAATTTTCCGAGCCGCGCTGACAGGAATAAGCAAAAGTGCCACAAAGGGGAGCCTTGTCGCCTCCTTGACGTCCCCCCGACGCCCCCTGTATCCAAAATACCGCGACGTCGAAACTATGTTGACATCGAATTTCCTTAGAGACGCAGACTAGCCATGGAATACGTAATATTGTGTTTCCAGTTGTCATAATAAGGAAACAAGAGCAAATGAAACTTGCTTAATGGAAGGTATTTGAATTTCATCACTTGTTGTTTTTTACTTCTGAATATGACATCTACATAATAGCGAAGGACTTATGAGACCGCTGAAATAAAATAAGGATGAATCAGAATCATTTATGGAGGAATTGAGATCAAATATTATTTGGTCTGTACCAGAGTTTAAATATTATGTTTAATTCTTGTGGTAAAAGTTCATTCAAAAGAATCTATAAGGAACAATCTCCAGTTACCTTCCCTCTATTCGTCTCTCGAACAATAAAACAGAAACAAGCCGGTATCGATATCTTTGTTCGCACATCCCAGACATTCTGTACGAGTGAAAAACCGCAAAATTCGCCAGTCTTGCAACAAAGGCAATTCAATCTTAGCCAATTGTTTCACGTTGCGTGCGCTATAAACACTACTATTCTCTGCAGCCGTCGAATATTGTTCTAGCCCGGCCCGAACAATAGAAAACCGAATCAATTGGGTGGAAACATCCAATGTTCGTATTTAATGAATAAAGCACTTCTATATTCCGGTAGTGTGTTGGAGAATGATTTAAAATGGCGAGGTTTTCTCGTCGTTTTTCTTTCTTTCTTGTTAACGAAATCGTGTTCGAGACTTAATTGGTTCGCGATGGTGCGGCGAAATATCGTACATTAATAGCTGTTTTAATTAAATAAATGGATTTTATTAACCGAATTAACTAATTAGTACTATTATACATATTCATAAAAAATATTCACAATTTTTGTAGCTCCTCTATCTTCACGATTATTTACTACATAGAGATGGTATAATTATTATAGTTGCAATAACGAACTAAATTCTAAATTAGATGCTCTAATCCAATTTTATGTAAGCAGAAATTTCTAACGCAATTACAACGTTGCATAGCTGATGATGTTTTAAACTTTTCCATCATCTTATAAATGGATAATATAATTTAAACTTCCGAAGGTGGATGGTGATACAAAAACTTTATTCTGATGGAAATAAGTGGAAATAACATTCCCGGAAGCCGAACGCGTTGGCTAGGAATAACTAAGGCACTTAGGCTAAATTCACTAAATGTTTATAGTATTTGGCGGTGAAGTTTATCTGACCGCATGCGAGAGTAGCGACTTCTTCTGGGCGTAGCGGTGAATTAGAGTTGTAACCCTCGACGATGATGAGAAAAGTTTGGCCCTTCTCTCGGGCGACGACCACTTGAAATATAATGACGGTGAAAAAAAGAAGCGGCAAAATAAATGCATTTAGGACCTAACGATGTAACTTTTAAACTCCCGTACGAAATAGTTGAAAATAAATGTTTTTTTAAGAGCCCGTAATTTTGTTAACTTTTAAAAGGATCTTCCCGTCTAATAAAAAGTCGCAACTTTACGTTTGTTTATGTCCTGATGTGGAATTTAAATTGAAATGATTTGGACGACGACCGCAAATTTTTTTGTACTATTTCTGTTTACTAACTAAATTTTCAGCGTGTGAATTCGATATTGAAACCAATTTAGTAAATTAACTAAATTTCGGGCTAAGCCGGCTGGAAATTAATTCCGAAAATCGGACGACCGACTAATTATTAATGTGAGTTTTCTAAGTCTGGCGGCATCAAATACAACTATAAATTTAGAGCACGAGAAATTATACAAACAAGTTTTGACAGACAAAACGTACAACCAATAAAGTTCTGTTTCCCTAATAAGTTTCAATCTAGGTTTTCGAACCGTTTGCAAGGAATATGAATTTAGAGATACACACACGCAGTTAGTTTGGCAGGCGCTAAATTAAGAGATAGGAATTTCTATGTTCAGATTTACATGTCTAAATAAGACATTTGAAATTACATAGTCTGTTTAATTGAGTATAAACGAAACATACGTATACAAAGGAGCATTCCCAGTCTCTCGTTAAGAAAAATATCCATTCCAATCTTAGTAGAAACACTTTGATATACCTACATATGCGATTACTCCAATTACACAAGTTGTAATTCCTTGTAATGGTTCTTTAACAAGCATGTAGATTTGAAAATGGCTTTTAATTTAAAATAAAACACTTAGGTACCTCCAAATTTAATAGAAGAGGAAATTCTAATAGAGTAATAATAAAAATAAAAAAATTCGAACTTAAGGCCTTAAATACGTGTTCATATAAAATGCAGAAAATTTTCACCATCGATCTTTTGTATAAGTTTAATGTATTTTAAATAGTTTGAAAGAGCACCTTCGGAAGCGCACAACATTTAAGAAAACTTTTATCTGTGTATTGCTCGTCGAATATTTATGTAGATTTGTTTGAGAATCAATTGAGCTTTCTAGAAACTTCAGAGACATATATTATTGTTGGAATTTCTTAGGAAGTATCGATTTTGTTTGGAAAAGTACTAAGTACATGAATGTTACCTGCACACGCGTTTATAACTGAGTAAAAAAACAAAGAAGAATTGGTTTAAATTCAAATCCGATCGATTCCACCAAATTTTAAAATGGATTTAACATAGCGTTTAAATGGACATAAAGTGTTTTAGTTCGGACTTTACTTTAAAGATTAAGACTGTGAAGTGTTTAATCAGGGTTTATCCCTTCGGATTGAATTTGTAGAGAGTTTGCCTCCAAATTGGAACTCGATTCCTACTTATATTACATACATAAATTTGATACGTACATTTAAACTTATTATTCGCAAATAGGAATGAAGAAAATAGAAATATTACTGTTGCGTAAATATGAAATGTCTCCAAACATATCATGATTACGAAATGAGATCAACGAACTAGTCTGCAGTCGGAGTCTACTAGTTTTTCTCTCATTCGTTTATAAACAGCGAAACGATGAAAAATATGCACTTGGAAAATCTTTCATTCTTTACATTCCATGTTAAGGCGGTTTGTTTGCATTAGGAAGAAATGAAATATTCCCGAGATGTATCATCTAAACCGGGCAACAAAACCGAAAAATATTGCGGTATTCAAGCAACGTTTAATGACGGTTATTTTTCACGAGGCCGAAAGGAGCCGAAGAATCCTCCAAGTGCGTACAAAAAACATTCCAAGCTTCAAAGCTTTAAAAACTGTGTTCAATTGTGATATATGGAAATGGCGTCATCGCTGAATCGCGTGAACGTTACTGTATGTAATAATTTCCTGTGGGAAATGTTATCTTTAATTCTTCCTAATCTAATTTATTTTAAAAATTGTGTGTTGTGTTTGTTCCAGGTGACCGGAATCGTCGGTAGAGCTGACGTTTTAGCATGCGTGTTTTTCCTGCTATCGCTCCTGGCTTATCACGGGTAAGAATTTAGATTATATAAAAAAGCATTCTCTGCGCTTTTTCCTCGTATCTTGAATTGCGATTAAAGATTTTTTTTATTATACATTTATGTCGTGTTGTTGGTGAATAGGATGACAAGAGGAACATAATCACAATATTTATCTTCGGTTTTATCTAGTTATTTGTTGTTCGCACTTCAGACCGTATAGAACGTAGATATAATCCTCGTTTTTGTTCCCTCGTCCTTGTTTTTAAGGCCCTGAAGGATATTTAGCTGGGCAGTTTATACTAAAATATAAATAATGACCTATATCGCAGCTACATTAAACATAATCTATGAAGCCCTCTTATCTCCACATTCTCAGTTGAAAACAAACACGAGCAATAACACTTAACGTAACCTCATTCAAAATTCCACCGAAAGCCATTATTAATGAACAAGATACGCCGCTAACATTTGTCATCGAGTGGATGCATATTCCTCTTCAAAACTACCGCTGTTGCGAACATTTTATTTTTAAAGATTTATTTATTACAAAGCCCGGAACTCGGTAGTACTACGTCAACAATTTCGTTGAATTTTACATCTAAAATCATAAAAAATAAAATCCTATAAAAATATATATATATTCTTCTCCGGGTTGAGTGTAGTAGACCTGTAAATGGCAGATGAAAAGGGAAGCGAAAAAGATGAGCGCTAAGAGGCCTTCATTCACTTTAAATGGATTTTACATTCGGTATATTTTAAGCTAAAAAGCCAGCGTGCGGGTTTTTCGTAATGCCAATAGGAAACACACGATAAGAATTATTTATAACACGGTCTTTTGTAATATTCGAACATACATACAAGGCGCTCTGATAATAAATGATTGAGTGTTCGTTCGGGTCAAACGGCATCCAATTCTCGAAAATCGCTCAAAAAAAGGTTGGAATGAATTTTTGATTCTTATTTCCGAAATTGGCGTGAATATTTCATTTAAGCACATTACTATACAAATCACCCACTTAAAAACTGTTATTACATATGCATATTCTATTAAAGTTTTGGCTCCGAAGGCGGTCTATTTACAAAACCGGCAAACAAGATTTCCCCGGAGAAAGAGCTGCATTAGATTATGTTCGGTGTTCATTAATAGTGAACGCAAAACCGGGTCGCTAGCAGAAATCTACAAATTATTACCGACCTAATGGCAGCGAAATAGTTTGTGTTTAATCAGAAGTAAATACCGTATTTCCTTCCGACGATCGTTTGCTATTAAATATTTGTTTAACAATTCACGTCGACTTTGAAATGCTTAAAACTAATTTCATTCAAGTTTCTTCAAGTTTCTTGCTTTTGATACTGGTTACTTTAGAGTACAGTATCTAAAATAGTAATCGTATTTAATTAGCGCTCCAGTCAAAAATAAAAAATACCAGAAGCTTTTGAGCCGAAGTTGTTTTGATTAATATGTTTTCTAAAACTTAATTAGAAGACTTCAAAAATTGAACAAGTTAATTGTACAATTTTTGTATATGAAATGCTTTCATTCAATGGTACAAAGTGAATGAAAGTGCATGGTAAAAACTTTAAAATAAATAAAATTATAATATCTAAATATCGTAGAAAATATTCCATATTCCTAAAGCATCTAAGTTTTTATTTATTTTGTGATTTCAGCCGAGATGGGATATGCCACATATGGATCAGCATAATATCAGGGGGATTGAGCATGCTAGCCAAAGAGACAGGAATCACTGTTTTCATCATTAACTTGGCCTACGACTTTTTTCTACACTGGCACGATTTAAAAAAGTAAGTAATTTTATTTATGGCAGGTTCAATGTCGTAACATAGGCTTTTAACTGGGAAATCAATCATATATAATTAATTGGATAAATTACTTATACCGGATTGTTTTCTTTTCGCATTGTTACTAAACTTTCTCGAAAAATTAATTTCCTCCTTTTATTAGTTTTGAAAGGAGCTTTTCGGCTTTACAATGTCTATTCTATACAAATATTTTTTCGCTTCTCTAATTAACTTTACAGAATAATACATAATTCTGTTATAATTAATTCATCTATTGTTTATATTTCCATTATGTATTTATATTCAAAAAATTGATTCCCGTTTGTCTGTAACTTAAGGTGTTTCTGTGACTATTGTTTGGGAGAATCCCTACAAAATTATACAACTCTCATATACCTTCAAATTATACCTTATGAATACCTGTGTATTTCATTATTCAATTGTGCCTCATTTTCCTCCTTTGCCAATCAATAGGTAATTTTCCTTTTATGTACATTCAATCAGGTAACAATTTTATGATTCATGTTTCTTATTAAATCAAGGAAAGTTAGTATAGGTGTATACCAAATGTTTCGTTCGTATCTCACGAGTTTGATACGAAGCGAATCATCCTCTCAGGAAAGGAAATTTAATTACACCCCAGCATCGCTTCGGTATTTATCCAGACCTTTCCATATTGCGGATATATTCCCCATAAATTTTCTACTCGACGATTTTCCCGGCTCGCTAAATCAACCGCACACCTTTGAATACGTGCAAGAAATTCGCAAATTATTAACTTCCAAATCCCGAAATTACTTTACGACTACCTGAACAACGGACTGATTACATAATTAACCCTTTCGAAGGAGACTGATGTTGCTCCCTCTCTTCTAATTGGCTTTCTACAAAGCGGAGTCGATACCGATTGCGGCAACTACCACTGACATCCTACAACGGGGTAACAGACATAGCTATACAACCAAACAAGTTGTCGCTCGCGATAGAGCTGTTTGAACGCCGAAGAATTAGGTAAATTGACATTGATCGGTATTGAGTGCCGCTAATCAACTGAAACGAAAGGGATTCTTACGACAAGGCTTAATGAAAAACGAACTGATGCGCTCCGGGATTATTTTACAATTAGAACCCCTAATCCATTAACTACAATTACACTTGCCAATAGAAATACATCAGGGTGAGTTATGAGGAATTGTACGTATATACCTACTTTTTAACAGTGTAACAGTAACAGTTTTTTTTTTAAATTAGTATGGTATAAAATAATGTTGTAATGTAAAATAGTCGATTATTCATGTTGATTAGTAAGTAATTGGCAATTTAGTAAAATTGTGGCAAAAATTTCAGAATGTCGGGCTTTACAAATTTACAAAAAGCTTAAACAGGTTGAACTATTAAGGTTTTCTAAGGTACAGTTAACTTTTTTTGGGGACGATCCTGATGGATTTTCTAATTCATAATATGCCAGTGAGTTGCAGGTTCAAAATGCATACTTTTACCAAAAAAAAAGGATCCTTTATCACCCATAAATCAGAAGAGAATTAGAATGAGCCATTTGTAATAAAAGAATTAGAATTTGTTTTTCGTCCAATCTTCCAGAAGCCTCCTGGCCTCATTCTAAGCGAATTTTTAATGGTGTTTCAAAGGCATTAATCAAAATCGTATTGCCGAACAAATTCATATCGATAAACTTTCAAAGTTGATTACTTTTTAATAAAGGATAAGGGATTACTCCGCTAAATCGAGGACTATGTGAAATTCGTGACCGCCGCAGATAGAGAATCGATTAAACCGAACGGGTTTGCATTACAGAGAACAATAAAATAAAATTGAAAAAAAGCGTTGTCGCGTTCGAATGGTCGGAGGAAAGGGGCGAATCCGGCCGGTTTTCAAAAGGAATTAAATTTAAACGAATATTGATTGAAAGTCACACGTGGTGCTGTAAAATGAAGACTGTTGAAAATTGATATCTATTGTAATCCGGTATCTACGAGTAATTTGGTTCATTAGCTCGAATACTCGAGCAAGAATTGTTTCTCGACAAAAACTCATAAACTCGACAAGAGGTTGTTTCAGTTTGCCAGTACAAGTGTTCTTCATTTTACAGCAATTGTAACAAACCTCGCATTTTTATCTCGCTTACAGTGATAATTTACAAACTTGAAGTGCTGGCTCTCGACGCTTTGTTAAGAACCTCTCACCATCAAAATAAAGAATGACTTATTGACTTGATTAGATGAAGAAACGAGATCCTTGATTAAAAGTTTTTGTCGATACCGGCAAGATAAAAGATTTTTTTTCCAATCCAGACTTTGTTACATCTATTTATGTATAGGTATGAACCAACCTAAGATTTTCTCGTTAAAGGAGAGGTATAAGGTTCGCCAAACAATACATTTTAATCGAAATAATTATTGTCGCGGAAAATCTAATTAAATCCCTGTTGAAATTCTCAAATCGTTCCGAGTTGCAGAAAATGAACTTTTTACAATTAATCAGATCCCACTGCAATTAGCACTATTCATACTTCTCTCAAGAAAATTAGCTTACTTACAATAATTAATTTCAGGGCAATGGGTGAAATGAAATGGAATCAGGAAACTCTGCAATTCGCTAATAAGGCTGCGAAGATTCTGACTTCGGTAAGTGCACTAAACATTCTTCTAAGCTTAATTTATATTTAGTTGTTTTAAAATTGGTATGGAATAAATAGCGCTCTTTAAATGCGTATTTTTTTGACATTTTCAATGGAAAAATTGAAGCGTTGATCCTATATTCAAATGTAGATTATACATAATAGTAAGTATTAAACAAAAACATCAAATAATGCGCTTAAATTTTAATGAAAAAAATAATAAACAATAAAACAACGAAATGATATTTCAAAAACATACATATCGATTGAATTGAACGAGTACGAACAAAGAACCGAATTTCAACGCTTACAGTTTGAAGCTTTCTGTTTGAAAGTATAAACAGGCGTTTATTACCGGCAACGTTACGCATTTTAGCATCAACCTGTTAGTTTTTCCCGTCAGGATCAAATCCATTCCCTACTTTTAGCATTTGTAATTCGCCATCGAACGGGAAAAAATCCCTGTTTTACCTGTACGATATTTATTGAAAAGTGATTTTTTTTTTCATAAATCAAATATTTTTCGATGTGCAACTGAAATTCGTAGTCATAAATCAAAGAAATCAATTCCACAAACATTTGCCTGCATTCATTGTGAGCTGTTATCCTGTTTTTAAAAGCGTTCCATCACGACCTGCACACATTCGTGTACATACATGCAGGAAATGTCCGGCGTGATATATTTAGATTTATTTCATTTTAATTTGTCTATACCATTTCCATTGAATGTTCCATCAAACGATTTTTTGCTCTATTAAATATCCCACATTAAAAATATTTTTGACCCAAATTATTTCCGATTTTTTTCTTCACTTAATCACTTCTCTTTTAACATTATTATCTTCAGTTTCTATTTTCATTATACGAGTACTTACTAAAATATGCTTCATTAACAAAGTATTTAAAATACTTTTTAGGCGTTGTACTTTTTTACTAAGTAAAACATTTTGTTAATGTAATAACATACATAACAAACTTTTTGGGAAGGATTCCTTTTCTCTAACCTCGTTATAATTTAATTACAGCTGGGAATTCTGTTGACACTAAGGCTGGCTATTTTACAAGGATCTCTTCCGAAATTTTCTCAGCAGGATAATCCCGCTGCGTTCCATCCGTCTGTCTATGTCAGGTGAGTGAAACGGTGTGTATGTGTGTATATTTTTGGTTTAATGTATTGCTGAATTCATTAAGCTTATGTCTCAGATTATGATGGATTGGGTGGAAAAGGTGTTATTTGCGCGCTTAAGGCTAAATATAAGGTTTCTTTTGCTCCAACTTCTTATATAATTTATTATCGTTCTTGTAGGTATATTTTATATTATTTTTTTGCAATCGATTTTTGCATATTTGCGTACCTACTTAATAATATTCTACTAATTTTTTTAATGTTTTACCTGAATAATTGTTTCATTTATCTTCTGCCGACAATATACTTTCAATTACACGGGGTTTTTGCGAAAATTATACCCGCATAATTTCAAAGGAAGCATATGGAAATCGGAATTAACAGCTCGGCTTTTTGCGCAAGAAGCCCTCAGTTTTTGCCCTTGGGGTATTTAGGACGAATAACTTTGACTCCGACGGGATCGCTGTAAAACGATCGCTTCCATTTCATTTTGCTTAAGGGATGATTTACTTGCCGTTCCTGCCGGGAATAGAGCTTTTAATTTTTATTTAATTAGAGCTCCCTCTGCAAAAAAGAGCTTTAATTGATCCTAAAGAATTGATAATGATCCGATAATAGGAATGTAAACATAAGTGAGTCAATAAAAATTGCAATGAAGCAATCGACAAAAAAATATTTAAAACATCGTAGAATTACAGGAATTTCTTCTTATAAATGTCTCTAACTAATACCCTATAAATTCTTAAGCTCAAAAAAACCAAATCTTATTTCACCTCGAGTTTCGTTTTATGAATATTATGTCTCGAACGTCAACTTGATAAATGATCGTCGGTTTCTGATAATTTCGTCTTGCTAATTCAAGCCAAACCACTCCGAGAGCAATGATAGACGAGCGTACGCTTTAAATAAATGTTTTTGCCATTCCTTCGGGAATGACACAACCCATATTTGCCGCGAAACTTCGAAATTCTCCCTTTTATTCGCACTGCAGGAAGATTGACAGGCGAGCTGCACGAGCTGTATCAAACGAGTAAAATATGTGTATAGAGCATGTATAGTTAGTCGAACGCACGATTTACTGGGGGTTCGTAGATTTTGATTCTAAGGAATATTTACAGAGAGAAAGAACTGTGCTTGCATTGGAATATTTTCCATATGCATAAATATTGCTAGTAAGCCACTGATTGTATGGGTAAAGCGAACGATAATCTTGACTTATGTCCCTTTTTCCTTTTGCAAAATCTGTGAAATATATGCAAATATTTTATGTAGAACAGTCATCTTAATTTACAAAGTATTATCTCGAATGTCACATAGTCTGAATGCGGAATTTATGGTGGTTGCGACCTAAACCAACAAAGAAAGAATAGCTGGGTTTTACTTTGAAACGAAATTTTATGCCACACTGCAAAAACTGTCTTCTTGTAATGTTTACGTAATTTATACACTGGTGAAAAATAACCATGGTACTTTAGAAAACTATTTTTTGTACTTGGAGATTCGCGGAGGAGTTTAATCAAAATAAATGGAGGTCACGAATTATTTCAGACATGCGCTCGAATATCTAATTGCTAATAGCAAGTTTGAATTTTTTTGTAAAATGAGGGCGATTTAGAACTATCAGATCGTTTTTTTATTCTAAATTTTATTAAAATTCCCCTCGTTTTATCCTGAACGCGCTTTAACCGAGCTATCTAATTTAAATGTTGAATTGAACTTGTAACATTCAACGGTTAATTTGATACGTAATTAAATTTGTGTTATAAAAAACTTCGCTTTTATAATAGCTGTAACATTTTTTTAATTTGTAGTACCTATTAAAAAGAGGAGTTGAAGGGAAAAAACTTTCCGGTTTGTTCGCACCCGGAAACAGGCTGTAAGCCACTTAACGGCTATAAACAAATAAAAAAGTATTATGAACAATCACGAACAGTTTTATTTGGACGAAAAGGAAAGTTTCCGAAAAGTTATCGCGTTACTCGCCTTGTCTCTCTAACTTTACACTTCCCGAATTCCCCAATTGGGCCTTTCGGTTTCCTTCAAAGTGTCCGAATTTAACATGCGTTACATACTTTCCACTCCAGGGAATTGAATTTTTTCATACCTATAGTGCCATTATCTGCGTGTATCTAAAAGGTACTGTCAATCACAAAATACGCTAAAATAAGTAATGAAATATTTACAACTTCTTCAAAATTTACATTTTTCTTCAAAGTAAAATAGAATAGAATGTAATTTAGACTTATAAGTAGGTACATACTAGAGTTGAAACCCAACAATAATTACATTTACCAAAGAAACGAAGTATGTTCTAAGAAGTCCTCCGCTTCGACGCGAATTAGCGGTTTTCTCTAGAAACAGGGGAATCGTTCATTATTTAATAGCATTTCCAACTCCGTTGTCTAATTTATGCATCGGATGGAGAGGAATTACAATTGCCGAATGAAATTCGCTCATGTAGGTACAGGTACCGCTTTAGTAATGTAATCTCCGGAACTCCGCGTCGAACATTAAATTTACAAAATATCAGGAAATCAAATACGATGGAGGGTAGGTAAACTTTCCGAGAAATGCGGAAGAGACAATGCGGAGAACGCGTTAACATGTGGCACCCTTTCGTGCTAACTGTAATAATTAGCATATATTCCAATAGCTAGGAATACTTGCTTGTTTTAACGGTACAAGTAATTTAATTTTGATATACATGTCTTTTGTTGCCTTTTAATCTACTAGTCTTTGTTGTAAATAGGAAAGTTTTTAGGAATAAAGTATATATTATTCCAAAAATCCTTGATTTAGGTTGATTTAATTAGTTGATCAGATGGCAAAATTCTTTCTGATGCCATAAGTTACCGTCGATTACAACTTGACGTGTATACCCTATATAAATAACAGTTTATTTATAATAAAATTATCAGTCTTTCCAGATCAAAATCCCCGCGATTTCAATTTACATACGGTGATATTTCGCTTCGACTACGCCTTCTATCTGCTATTTCATCGGTATTGTAAATCTGAAGCTGCGCCGTTAGAGAATGTGTTCGGTGTAAGTTCGAAATGCTAGGCGTTAATCTTAAATTCTCTGTGCAATCACCAGTTCTACCTCTGTATTCCCTGAAGCATTCATCAGCGGCGCTTTTTGTCGAAAAAACAGTTTAAATTACTTTTGTTGCCGTCTGATCGATATCCGCATAGAGGCGTTCGTTTCAAATAACAGAAATCCCGTATAAATGTTGCATGTTGCTTTTTAAAATCAATAGGTGATGCATAAAAATAATGATTACCATTAATAAAAAAATATTACAAAAATAGAGATTTTTTATGCTTCGAAAAAAAACTGTTTGAAAAGGTAATGTTTGAATATATGGCAATTAAATTTGGATAAAGCTGGAACGCTGACTTAACCTGATGTGCAAAAAATTGCCCGGTTGCAATAATAATGATAAAGTAAAAAAATAAATAAAAGTACCAAACGAGGCATGAATTAAAAAAACAATTTTGTATACACTGTAATTTACACTTTTTTTATAACTGAATTTAAAATTGTACAAGTTGATGAATATTTGAGAACTGTATGTAATATAATAATAACACAATACTCCTGTTAATATTTTACAAATTACAAATTTTTAATTCCTATGTAAGTAGGTATACTTAAAAATTGCGATTGCAGACACGTGTGTAATTAATATTATTTTTCCCAATTTTGTTCAATATCCAATTTCACCTAATCAGCTTATCTATTTCCAACATTTTATACGATATTTATTCGTCCATAGTCGCCTGCTCTTCCGCACCTTGCGGTGTCGAATTTATATAGATACATATTTATGTAGTTCTATAAACGGGCTAGTTCCCATAGCGTAGCGGAAATTGACTCCTTCGAAAAATTACGGCGACTATAGCTTGCCGGCTCGGCTGGCTTTCGGCATAAAGCAAAACTGGAGAATAATCGGCTCAACGTAAATTGGAAAATGACAAGACCTCAATCAGTTCTGACCCGAGCTCTCGGGCTGAAATCCATCTTCGTTCGGAAAATGTACACAACGTCTTTTACAAAATTTATTGAAATACGTTCTTTGAACCCAATCGCTCTTCATGCCTATTTTGGAATGTTGTTCTTTTATTTTTACCTCGAAAGTAAAAGCTTTTTGTCAATCCTCCTGAACACCAAACACAATTTTAATAACAATTATTTTAGACGCTCACGTTCAGTGAGAATCTTATATTATAAATAACATATCCAATTTTCCATCACATAATGTACTCTCTAAATTTTGAAAACAAATAATTTTCTTGGAGACGTGTAGAGAAAGGATCTAATGCACAAGTTCGAGCGGAAGACGAAACTCCAGCGCCGAGTGAGTTTGAGTTTATTATTTATATACAATATAAAGTTAAATTGAGCGAGTTATCTGCGGTAACCTCGTGCAAGTGCTTTCTGGGGATTATCTACAGACTTCGGTGGGTTCACTGGTTTCATCAACTTCAGCTAACTAATATACATCTTGCGTCCAGAGGCGGATTAGGTGCTTGTTATGCAGCCTAGTGCAGGCTCAATTACTTTTCGCTATTTTATTTTCATTACTAACTTCATCTGGAAACTTCTTTACTGTTGAGGATGTTTCGAAGAATGTTCCTGGCATTATAAAGTTACAAATTCGTACGAATGATGGAAACGAAGTACATTAATTGGACAGTATTTACTAGTGCTTAATTGGGGAGTGCATTTTCCTGAATAATAGGAACAGTACATATACCTACCTACAGAATTCATTTTCATTTTTGTTGAATGCATTTTTTTCGATGTATAATTGCAATTTTGAAAAGTAAATATAATAAACGCGTTAACCGTTGCATAACCTTCGGCGATAACTAATTGATTAAAAATACGGCCAATCATCCACTAGCCATTTTTCAAACAATTTCCGTTTGAAAATAAATCAGCTTAATACAAATTTACATTTCGAAATTCCGAATTTTATGATAAAAATAAACGACCGGCACGGAAATGTTTATTATAGTTATTTCATTCTTTTTGTGAATGATGGCCTTTTTTATACACCGGGATTTATAACCTAATTCTCATTTTTTTTATTTCATTTTACCCGATAGTTATTTCCAAATTGGATTTACTTCCGATTTAATTCAATTTTACATTTTTGTTGCAGATTCTTAACCTTCGGGTATCTAGCAGCTTTTAACATGTGGCTTCTGCTTTGTCCTGCTACTTTGTCTCACGACTGGCAAATGGGATCGATTCCGCTGGTAACTTCAATTTATGACCCGAGAAATTTAGTTACCGCTTTTTTCCTGGGACTGACGCTACTGCTAGCTATCAGAAGCCTTGCGGAGTTTGAGGTAAGCACAATATTGCGATGAAAATTGTTAGCGATTATACCTGGTATAGTTCGTGATGTATTGAGCAAATGTGTAGCTCTGGAACCTTAGGAATTTGTTGTGGCCATATAGAATAATTTGAAGGAATAATATAATTATCTTCATATAGTCCATTTATTGATTTCATAATGATAGATATAATTTAATAAATATTTGACGTGAAATTTAAATTACCTCTAATAAATATTTGCATAATGTAGAGCCAAACAGGACTTTTCGATTGACCGGCAGCGCCGCGGTAATGTCGGAAACGTCGAATCATAATCCCCGCCAGCCATCACATCACATCGCGGCTTTCATTTCGGAATCGTGCCAAAGTAGATAACATTTACGACCGCTCTTCAAATCAATCGAAATGGGAAATCTAAATCTGTTACTATTTATCTTTGGTGTGAATTTGTGTCCGCGAAAACGGATCGGAAAATTCGTTTAAATTCACATCGACGGGCTTTGGTATCAAAAGCGACGGCTTAATTTTCCTATTAAAATTGAAACTGTGGTTAACCGATGTACATTTTATGATACATCACTGTATCATTGCGGTGAATGAAACTTTAAAAAGTTGAAAATACTCCGTTTAACTAAATGCATTAAAACGGTTTTAACAATTGTCAACTCGTAACATATTCGTAGTTGGTCTCTAGAAATAATAGCGGTTAATTAATTCATTGTGTGGTAGAATCTGTAAGAGGATTTTCTATACAAACTTTACAGGTCTTAAGTTTAAGCTGTCGCACATGCCAGGAATTTTTTATATTACAGGATGTAACAAAACACGGGCTATAAATACCAAATATTCTGATCGGTTGAAAATTAAAGCGATTGAACTCTATGGTATCATTTTTTATACCCCACCTTTTTGTTACGCCCTGTATATCAGGGATTTAATTAATGTTTTAACGTGCCAGCAAATAACACACTAATTTGTAAATAAACCGGAATTAGTTGAAACTAATGCCAGCACTACTATGTATAGGTACGTACATTCCATCGTAAGCATTTCTAATTTATTAGTTACCTGTTCAATAATTTAATATAATCTAATAGTATTATGCTCGACGTCGATTCCGCCCTCATTTCGAACAATTAACAATTAATTTCTCGTAGAAAATCCGACAAAGCCGTAATTCAATATTCCTACAGTTCGTTCACGGTAAATAGTTCGTGATTATTTAATTATCCAGAACTGTTTTCCATATAACATCAATTATTAAGTCTCGGCTGGGAAGTCGCCCGAATATAGCGTCCTTCTCACAATAAGCCGTTTTGGGGACACGCATTTACAACTTAGATAAATCGAAATCGATTTACTATTTAAAGTCTCGCGTCGCCGTTTGTCGGGGTTTATCAGATAGCCGTTTCGGAAATTAGATTTGTGTTGGTGCTGGTAGGAAACTTTAAAATTCACCGTCGGTATGTTACTGGAAGGAAATTCGCCAGCACAACAAGCCTAATATATTATTAAATTATTTTCCAACACAACGACGTTTTGAAAATGTTAGTTTAAACTTGAGTCATAATTAATGTTACTAAATTCCATTGGACCTTATAGCGCGTATTCGTATAATCATACAACACATGTTATGCTACTCTAATATATATTTTGGTCTTCAATTGCTTTTTCCCTTTAAAATACACACGTCGAAATAACGTCGCTGGAGCAATATTATGATTGTAATTTAATTAATATCTTTTTATTTGCAGACTCAAAAACACACTCCGATGGTGCTGGGGCTACTGCTTCTCGTATTACCTTTTTTGCCGGCTACCAATCTGCTCGTTACAGTGGGCTTCGTAGTCGCTGAACGCGTATTGTACATCCCCAGGTAGGTGAATTAATTTACTTAAAAGTATTTGGTAATTTTCAATCGAGTTTTTTGCGATGTGTGTTTGCAGAAGGAGAAGCCTGCGCGTTTACCTTTTCTCGTTCCTATTGACTTTTTTATTTTATAAAACATTTATAAATGAAGGCGTTTTATCTACCACCTGGAGTAATAAATCAGTGCGAACGGATCACATCGGAAGAACTTACGTCTCGCAATAAAACTTCTACTATACGACTCTTCGTTTTGCTCTAAATATTCTCTCAAAACTACATAATACACTCCGAGTTGTATCACTTTGATCGAAGAGTCCGAGGCTTTGTTCTCCGGAGATATTTATTTCTTATTAGATTTGACTATCGATCCATATTTGGTGCCGTATAAAATGTAAAAGTTGGCGCAACTTCACCGCTTGTCCATCGCAAATAAGTTTCGGTCGTCTCGTTTATCTTTCCTTTTAACTTTGAAACGGAGCGACGTTTTAGAAAAATGGAACTTTGTGAATTTTGTATGGTTTTTTTAATGTATTATTCCGCAGGACATGCCACCGATTTACCGTTTTACAGCGGATAATGATCGGTGAATTTCGCAAATCCCAAAGAAAACCGTTCTATCGTAAAAGAGGATTTTGCATTGTACTTCGGCTTTAATAACGTTCATCTTATAATTTTTTTAATTTATCCAGTTTTATCCACTATTACTGAAGTTAGTCTAGTTGAGTGAGCAGAGGAATTCGATAAGCTTACCGATAAAAATTTAAACCTGTTCCATTATAAATTCAATTACCGACGATTCCTTTATTCTCCCAAGTAAGAACGTAAAATAAGATTCGGACCGGAGCTATCTCTAAGTGATTGTAGCTCGTAATCTAAAATTTATGTGTATTTGAAGTAGTTAGAAAATAGGAAATAAAAAGGGACGTTTCTATTAAAGCTTATTTTATTTCAACGTCTGTAATTTAATGGAAATATTAACAATATATTTAACAAGAATTTGTGAAATTCTCCTTTATACTGGTATTATATTAAAATAGAAAATTAACAAAGGTTTTTCAATGTTTCAGCCTAGGGAGCATTCTTCTTATTGTTTACGGTGTACAGCTATTGTGGTATAGATGCTACTTGCATCGACAAACAATAGCTAGTATGGTTATGCTTCTGCTGGTAACAGGTTGTTTGAGAACTGTTATAAGAAACAGGGATTGGAAGTCCAGGGAATCTCTTCTCAGGTAATAGAATTTATTATTTGCAATACATTTAAATATTTTTTTGCAATATAAGTAATAATTTAAAAGTGCCATTGGGTTTGTTCCTTAATTCTGTAAAATAGCTGGTGTTATTTGGAGAAACAAGTAAAAATTCTTGAAAGAATCTATTAGGAAGTAAAACTTTCGCAGTCTTTTGTGTTTAACTTTTATTATAAAAGTAGTAACAAGGCTTACAAGTTGGGGTTTTGCTTTATTTTAAATAAGTGCAGCTTTCTGGTCGCTTTAATTACTCGAAAGTTTCTAAATTACTTTTTAACTGCCGAAGCTAAACTGAAAACTTGTCGATTGATTTCTGGAATAAAATCCCCATTTTTTCCTGTATAAAAAGGAAAAAAAAAGTTTGGGTTTCTTTTACGTTAAAAATTCAAACAATTAAGATGAAACTTTATCTAAGTTTGGCATCGACGGAGTAAAAATGCAACAAGAGAAACTGCATTTTCCATTTAAAGTTTTCGAATATTCCTGTTAATGAATTTCAAACCGGAAAGAATTTCCTGTTCAAAAAGAGTTTTCTGCGCTGAATTTAAAATAGATATGCATTGTTCTTTAACAAGATTATGCCAGATTTTCCTTTTTAGAATGAAAATATGAAAACAGAAATGAACATCAAGCCGTAATCGTTGCACAATGAAGTAGAACTAACTGTTTCTAAAAAAAAAAAAACTATGAAAAGTGACAATAATTTACGAACGCGAAAATCCGATAAAATTTAAATTCCAATTTGAATAATCCCTCAAACGTTTGCTCGATATCTTACAAGTCTGAAAATTCCTGCAGAACCAATAGGGATAGAAGAAAATTAGATTCGATCGATTAACATTAAAACAAAAATCAAGGGGGATATTATCATGAGGGTAGTAATGAAAGGAGAGCATTATTCGAGATGGGCTGAAGGAATGTTCGCGAGATAAAGGATAATTTTAGATGAATGGTCCGGAAAATGCTTATAGAATTTTAAAATTAGGGCTGAATTCTAATCTGAATAGCGTCTCTAATGGGCGCGATGTAAGCGAGATGAACGTGAATTTTAAACGATTTATATTTAATTTTTTTCGATTTATAAAAGGGTTCGACAGTGTGAATTATATACTAGTATTTGGAGAAAATAATTATGTTTTTGAGCGGTATAAGTAATTGTATGTGGAATTCCTTCGGTAATTGCGACCGTAAATGAATTCATTCGGTTGTCTTCTTAATTGCAGGGCTGGCTTAATGACTCTTCCCTACAATGCCAAGATGCATTACAACTATGCAAATTTTCTGAGGGACTCTGCACGACCAGAATTAGCGAAAGACCACTATCTGAAAGCACTCAAGTAAGTACGTTGCCGCATCCTTCAGATACCTATATACCCCACGAAAATCGAATTTAATTCAGTGGAACAAGAGACTTAATGATCCGAGACGTTTACAGACGCAAATCCCATAGATTTATTAATAGGGAAAAGTAAAGTTTGGAGTCGAATGGTTTTAATAATGCAAACATTAAGACCACCATCGTTGGTTTTAAGTATGTAAACTCGTAAACTCGTATTTCGGCATTAAAATTTAACGAAAAACATCGCTAATGCCTTAATATTTAAATTTCTTGAAGAATTGTTCGTCAGGATAATTAAAATGAGCCCGTCCGATTTATCAGAAACTCTCCGTTTTCGCCGAACTGTGCTGAAAACTATTGAATTAGCGAAAACTTCCCTTTTCCAGACGGACTTGAAGTTTAATCAACCCCTGCAAATATTTTATAATGTTCAGATGAAATCGATAAAGATTATATTATCGTTAATGGACATCAATAATTAATGTAGGTACAATTGAACCGGTCGGCAAATTCAATTGGTAAACCCCTAGAACGTTTCCCATCTCTGAACACGTTTACAATTTAACGAAATTAATTTAATTAAGTACTAAATCAACAGTCAAATTATTGCTATATGGTGCTATACAAATTAAAGAGTATTTCGCTGTATAATTATAATGTGTTTCATAACTGTAGGTAGATTTAATTTGGTGCTCGTATTAGGAATAATATTCCTAACTAATTGTACATTTCAACACTTGTTGTATTATATTAGCATTCTCTGGGCCTCATCTAGTATATGAAAGTTTTACGTCAGGTAGTTTATTCTAATCTGGTTTCGGCTTTGTCTGTACCGAAACTTTATTTACAAACAGAGAACGTAATGGATTTATCGGAAACGACGGCAAGGCGAAGCCACCCCGATGCAATAATATCCAGAAGGGAAATTTTACCATAAATTTTTTACGACAACCTTTATTCCTATATCCCTAAATCAAACAGGCCTGTCCTCTTTGATACTTTCGGACGAATGAAAATTCCGGAGTCTAGATTAATTTGGTTTAATTTCATTCAAACCGTTCGCTTTTTATAAATTGTTCTCAAAGGATTAACCCTTGGAGGAATGCAGTCCTCATAACCTAATATTAAAGCTGCCCTCTCTACAATACCGCCTTAAGTGCACCGTTGAGTTAATTGACAATTCTAATGATACTTCACTTAGCTCTTAACGCTGTTTTCAATGCTAATTGAGCATCTAAACTATCCGGCATTTTCGGCAACCGTTTACTTCAGACCACTTAATTAAAACCCGTTAACAATGTGGAATCTAATTTAAATAATTTTGAACTATTAACTTGTCACGACTAATTATCGAACTAATGTAAGTCTATTAGTAGTCCCGAACGCATCTCAAAGGGTTCGTCAAAACGCTATGGAATTATTTAGTTGTGATCGAAGTCCATTCTGAGTTATTTTTTTCAGATTATGGCCAACTTACGCCAGCGCTCATAATAATCTGGGAACGTTGTTGAACGATAGACAAGAAGCTGAGGAACATTTTCTTCTAGCTATTCGGTACTCGATTGAACACATCAATGCGCATTACAACTTAGGGAGATTATACAGGTGAGATATTGCATCGTAAGAATGCTTTAAATGTTGTAAAACCTTCTAGTTACTGAATCGAAAAATATTTTAATAAAACATGTAAAATGTAAAGCGCTCCTTGGCACAAATTCCGGAAGAAACCCAGCATCAGTTATAAGCTTCCTTAGTCTATTTGTTACATAAAATGGTAGAGATTTCATCCTTTTGAATTACCGTCTGTCACGTTTCCAGAAAGCTCATAATATATTAGCTCGAGTGAACTTAAACTTACTTTTCTACGGGAGCTGTATCTATCAAAAACATCACGGAAATGGGAGAAATTTAAATTTTTGTTTGGTCGGCGTTTCATGCAGCTCCTGAGCGTGAAAAAAGCAATTTCCAGTTGCATCCATAAACACGATTTTATGTACCTACAACGTTTTCGTATAAACGTTTCCTCTTAATTTACCAAATCGACAATAAACTAAATAAAGAGGCTCTTTGTTTGTTTAGAAAGAGCAACAGATCTACCGAATCGGAAAGAATGCTCCGCAAATGCATACTATTAGATCCTAGGTTTACGCCTGCATACATGGAACTGGCCAAACTTCGAGGTCCTAACGACAAAAACGTTAATCAATTACTGAAACAAGCCGTGGACTTGAATCCCACCGATCCGTATTTTACCACGAATTTCGCTCACTGGTTGGTAAGGAAGGGTGAGTAATTCAGTTAATTAACCTCCAATTTATAAATTTTGAACGCATCGAAAAATGAACTAGAATGCAAATTAGTTTTTTCCGCAACGAAATAATTAATGTCACATAGCATTAAAACTCGCCATTTCATTAATTACATTCAGCAACTCGCTGTTTGTCGTTTGTAAAACAAACTTTATTATTTAGCACCGAATTATTTTTAATTAAATTTCTCCGAACCGGTTAATAATTAACGATTTGATAAATAATTAAAATTATTCGAGTAATGTTATACTGATAACAACACTAACAAGGATATTTAAAAATCAGCGGACAGATTAAATCACAATTAAATTTTACATATACTTCATTCTCTCTTTTAATAACTGCCACGCCGGATTGTTGTTGATCATCGGGTTTTGCTTTTTCGTCCGACTATCCATTATCACATTGAAACCTTTCAATTCCAAATTTTTCTGGAATTTTTTTATCGTTCTCCACGTGGGCACGCTCTCTCTGTGCACTTTCGAAATCTTCAGGCTGCCCTCGGAGCTCGCGAAATGCAACTCTTTCCTCAGCTTATTTTGCTCGATTTCGTCTTTTTTGGATTTGGGCAATATCGATTTTCGGATCGTTTTCGTGGCGGAAACTTCTTTGGGTCGCCCCGCTTTTCCTGATTTCGTCTTTTCGACAGCCGTCGAAGATTTGGTCTCCTTCAATTCCTGCTGTTGCTTGGCCGGCTTGCGCTTCCTCCGCGCCTTTTTTCCTTTGCTGGCGCGGCTTTCGTAATAATCCAGCGTGTCTATTAGAGTCAACGGTTCCAAATCGTTCAACGCGAAATTCGACTTCTGCGCGGCGGCTTGCTTCAGGAAGCCCAAATTGGTCACCACGTCCTGCTTCACGAACGTCGTGGGTTTCTGATACCCCGGATTTCCGCTGCTGTTCCAGCGGGGCACGTATCTGAAGTTTTCATTGATCAGGTTCTGCATTTTTTGTATTCCCTCGGAAGCGTTAATTGGGTTACGTTTTTGAAACATTTTTTACTGGAATTTCAAGGCATTAATTCGGAAGAAATTGATAATTTCTAAAATGAACTGTCACAACACTGACTGACGCTGTTTTTATTATACAGGTAGCTATCAAGAAGCTTTGAAACATTATTGGAAATCCTTGCAAATATCGCCGGCGCATCAGGAAGCGCTGATAGGGACCGCTAAGCTGCTTAAAAAATTAGGTCAGAAGTCCCGGCTATTTCAATTAGTTACAAGGTAAAAATAGCGACAGTATTTAAGTATATTTTTGAAACGATTGAATTGCAGATGGCAGACTATCAAGCGATGCGGAAAACAGCCAACCAGCTTGCACCTGTACTTACAAGATTGGCATCTCAAAGGTGAGCTGAGCCACAAAGCGAGGATCTACGATGTGAATCGATCGAGAGTAAGTAATTTTACGATTCTCATTTGTGGTGTTTCAATGGAGGAATCGAATCCAAAAAGAAATCCTTCCATTAAGCAGCGATCGGCTCCACCCCAAACAACCTTATATTCGACTCTTTTCGATTTTCAATTTCGACAGTCACATTATCTCTTTCATCGGAACGAGCGTCACTTCTTTCTCTATTCCAATTCCTGGTCTGAATCGATGAATTTTTTTTAAAGAAATTTTGTATCCCTCTCCCGACGCGCCGGCGAAATTAGTCGAATTTAATGCATTATTCATCTAACGTCATCTCTAGCGAGACCCTCGCCTTCTAATCAGAATAAAACGTAATGTATTCTTCTCAAGGGCGTTCGCAGTCAATGGAACATCCGAATTGCACCCATATAATTGCCATTACCGATCCGCTGGATGATCAATTTATCTAACGAAGTTTAATAGATAATTTCCCTTCCTAGTCGAGCTCCGAATTGCGCAATATTCTTTTTGTCTACGCGTCTCTGGTAGAAAACGCGATATTAAATCCGCTTGGGCAGTTGTAAATAAATGTATTTCGCCCCCGGTGGTACAAATAAACCCTTGGCGTTATTTTATATCGAATTGATCGATACCGTAATCGCACTTGAGGTAGCAGATACGGATTACAGCTTTGATTTTGATTAATGACCGAAATGGTTCGCTCAGTTAGGCGTTTTTTGGGGCTAACCAATATTTCGGATAAAGCCGGGTGATGTAGTATTAGAAACTGGATTTTTTTGTCGGGTCGTTTCCGGTATTAATATTTATCGTTGAACGGAATTGATTGCTCGGATTTAGTTTTGATGCGGCGTAGGTACGAAAGTGTTTTGTAGAAATTAGGGCAAATGCAGCTCATGCGATTTGAAATTCGATAAATCATTTGGATTAGAGTTTAAGGAAATTAAATAAATACGTGCGGAATTAATAATAATAAAAGGGTCGACTGGAAACTTTCGATAAGTTTAAATTGAGCCGACATTTCCTCCCGTAGAAGTTTACAAACTGTTTTAAAAATAGAAAGGACTTGCTTTATTGGGTTGGATTGAAGTTTGCGAAAGCTGTTTTAGCTTCATTTTAAATTTACACAGCCATTACCCAGGAAAGCCAATGTTTGCATATAAATAAATAATCAATAAAATATACTTACACCAAATTTTGCACCAGTTCTTTATTAAATATTTATATGTAATCTTCCTTTTATCTAAAACTTTTAATCCTAATTTCCATTTTTTAAATCTTATTTTTAATAATGTTCTCTTACATTTACCGTTGTACTGAGCCTTTCTATACGTTTTTATATACGTTATTTATTATAGAATAACAGCAAAACGTCGAATTCGTCAAAAGCTCAAGTCGCAGATCATTCAGGACATAAATCGCTCGGAAACAACAGCGCCAAAACTCAAGCGCAAAGCGCTAATTCTTTGAGGCCATTCATGGTACACCATTTTTCTGATAGCGTATAAGTAGAAAAATTACGTTAGAATTACTAGATAATGGCTCAGATTGGAAACTTGGTATCCATCTACCTACAGTAATTTTTTATTGCATATTATCAAGAAGATGCAACAAAAAGAATCGTCTGACCCGTTGTTTGAAGTAAAAAAATGTGATTAGTTTTGTAAAAAAATCTTTTACAGTATTAATATCATTAAGTAGTCACAAAGTACTCTAAACGAATCTCACCAGTTTTAGTTTGCGTTTAGGTAGAAGACAAATATTTTATAACGATTTTACGTCTTGTCGACGAACAAAAACTGAATTTGCGAAATTTTATTAAGTATTGAACATAAAAGGTATATTTTTATAAATTATTGAGCTAGCAGCATACCATTAGTTGTAAGAGAAGAACTGTTCTGATGAAATGTTTTGGTAGAGTGAAGTACTCTGCAGACAAACAGTTCGTGAGAATGGTTCACTCGATTGTTATAATTTACATTTTAAAACTATCTAGCATAAAAATATTTAAACCGTGAAGATTGTAAAAACAATGTGCGTCTTTAAATAGTAAAAAATATGGTATGTACAATTCTGTTACAAGTTTCTGTATCTTGGTAAAAATAAATAATTGCAAGTCTGATATTTATTGATATTTTTAGTAATTTAACCTTCTGTAAAATAAAAATTGTTTGCATAAAAATTCGAAAGATATAAAATATTTATCTATATTAACAATTTCGACATTTATCAAATTTATATCAAGATATAATATTTACGAAAATCTGATACTTGATTAATGTAATAAGTTGAAAAAATTTAATTTCGGTATATTGTTTCGAACAAATTATAAATTGCTTCTTTATTATATTCATGTTATTACGTGTAAAATTGAGAGAATCATGAAATCAAATAGCATGCTTTAGCCGTTTTCTGCCTTTGTACACAACTTTGAACACAACCCTTTTGTAACGCAGAATAAGGGTGCTTAATTAATGCTACTCAAAATTTAATTCGTTGCGAAAATAAATAGGTACATGCTCATTTTGGAGATGTTTGAATGATAATTTACAATGTATTATATTTCGCTTAATAATGAAAGCTTAATTGATCATCAGTTTTAATTTAGAATGAAACATTCCGAAACCGAATTAAATTAGATGCGTTATCAAGTAGCAGATTTTTAATTCAATATTTTCTTTTTAGTATTAGAGTTTAATTCTAGTGGGGCCATATTGCGTATACTGACTTCTGAGGGTAAAACAGAATTTTCGCCGGTAGATATTCAATTTAAGTTCAAATATCTATTAAAAAAACATAATTTTGTTGATTCATAAAACATGTATATAATTCAAAATTTTGCTTTTGAACAAATAATTTACATATGTATATGTATTTGCAGTACATGCTGAAGGGTAAACTAATAGAAAATGCACTTAGGTACTGCATTTATTGTACTTGAATTGTCCTACAGTTATTCACTTATTTTACCATGTACAACTTAAATTGTATTGCCAAAAACTACATTGTTCAGTTTTTTGATCATTGTATGAATAAAAAATATATGTTAATAAAATCGTTTTATTTCATTTGGTTCTTATGAAAAAATTATATCCTTATTATCTAAAAGTTGTGAGAAAATTAAAAACTCTTTGAGGTTTCATTCATTTATTGCCTTCTCCCATTCCGTCCATCCTCCAGGATAATGTTTAGCCCTAAATATAAACGAGTTAAATTAAGTTAATATCCTTATAAATTTATACTTACATTTTATATCCCAATTTATCAGCCATTTCGAGTGCTTTAGCACTTCGATTACCCGAATTGCAAGAAAATATAATCACATGATTTTTAGAGGGTTTATTGATCCCGTATTTCTCCCTGAATTCGTCAACCGATAAATTCCGAAGAGCATCTTCTAACTCGTCTACTGTTTAATAAAAAATTATTTTTAATACGTAAAAATGTAATTACAATAAGAAAGTACATAAATAAAATTACCTACGTGGTACATTTATACTTCCAGAAATTGCACCTTTATTTCGAAGCTCTTCCGGTTTCCGAACATCAATAACAAAATTATTATTTTTTTCCTGGATTATCTTTTTAAATGCACTGTGGGACACTTCCTTGGCATTTTCAGTCTCGATTAAACGTCTTATTGGAGACGTATGAAGACTGTGGATAAATGTATTACATGGTTTAGGATGAAATAGCATCAATCTTTCAAAAGATTTTATAAATCCAATGGTCTTGATGCTCATGTTTATTTCTGATCGATCTCTTATAGATAATGATAAATCGAGACATTGTTATATGTACGTATTACCTTTATATACCAATAAATTGAACTGATTAGATTAATAAGTAAATTGGAAATTCCCCGTTGAGTAAGTGGAAATTTTAAATTTAAATAATTTTTCCAACCACACATTCTCTTCTCTCTTCTTTTTTAATATTAAAAGGCCTTTGTCTTTATCAGTTACCAGTAAAAAGTTTATTATATTTGATACTTTGGCTGAATTTACGAAAAGTAAGAGGCACCAGTCTTTAAAAATGACAATAAAATGAAGTAAGTAACGTCAAATAAGTCAAATAAATTCGCCGATTTCGCGCCACTTTGTATAGAAAAACGACATTAACATTACCATAGAAAAGGAAATAATTGGACATTACTGTGAATTGTGATTTGTGATTCTGAATTATTCGAACATGGTGTTTTTATGGTTTGTTTTTTATCAATTTTAACACACTTTTGTAATTATTAGTTTTAAAGAAGTGAAATCATGAACATATTCAACGAAAAGAAACAATACCAAGAATATAGGTAAGCACATTTCTTCGTTTCGTTTAAAATAAGTTTCTTATTTGAGAATAGAATTTGTATTGGAAATGGTTTCAGCCAAGTTTTTATCAACAACGTTATTTACAAAACTAATGAAGCTGTAGTAATTGAAAACCAAGGGGAAAAATATGTAGGAATAATATGCAAAATAATTGACAACAATAATAACGAAACTCAGCTGTGTGTTAGAAAATACATTTTCGCTAAAAAGTTGAAGAAACTGTTTAATCAACAAGGACAAGATTATGATGAAGCTAATGAGGTAATAACGAATGAAATATATAACAAACAATTCTTCTAATATTAACATATTTAATTCGCAGGTTGTTCAGGATTTGTCGTGTTACTATATTGTAAATATTTCGAATATCATTAGTAAATGTGTGGTAGCTTTCCTTTCTATGGAAGATAGCATCTACTATGTATTAAGCAATAATTTAAATCCCAGTGTTTATTATTCCTGTCGTTTTGCTTTGAAAGGGAGCCAGCTGTTTCCCGTCGAAAAAACCATAATTAAAGAAATATATTTTGAAGAGAAAACTACGATTAGTAACGAAAACACGCCTATTACAAGCAGCATATGTCGCATCGAAATGCAGTTCGATGATGAAAAGGCCTCTCCACCTACTCGAAGAAATTCTGTCAAAAGAGATTTGAATAAATCGTTTGGTTATTCATCACCAACCAATCAAAAATCTATCTTAAACTATTCCATAATATCATCATCTGACGAAGAAAATGACTTGAAATTGAAATTGAGAGTTTCGAAAAGAGACAATCAAACGTCTAAGTCTAAAGACACTTGTACTACTCCTCCTAAATACAGACGATCAGCTAGAGATGTCCCCAGAAAGTCCTATGTGGACTATATAAGTCCTAAAAAGAGGCAACATGGAAGAAAAAGCGAATCTGATGGTTGCGATTTTAAAGATCCGCAAGAAAGTACACCCAAAAAACAGCCTAGGAAGGAGGTAAATGTTTATAATTTTGGAAAACAATTTTCAACACCTTCAAATTAAATTTTTATTCCAGATCTCAAGACGATCACAAAGAATCATAAAAACCCCACAGCGTTACGTAGATGACACTACAAGCACCCAGAGAAAAACACCAGTTAGGAGAAGTCTAAGGCTACTTAGCGAAGACTTACAGTTGGCTCAGAACAAAGAAAATGAAGTTGACAGAGACAATCGCCCAGCAAAAGAAAGTGACTGGTAATTTAAATTATACTATTTAATATAAACAAATCTATTCAAATTTTTTTATACATTTTAGTTTGGACGATTCATTGAGAAAAAATATCTTCAAGACAAATTTGAAAAGCACAATTTCAAATGAAGACAAAAACATTCTAAATGACTCCAATTGTGGAACTCACAATGGTACAAAACTAAACGGCGACGATAAGTATGCAAGACAATTAATTATTAAGAATTTATTTAAATGATCTCCTTTTTAGCAGAATTATGAATATAAATTCAGAGTTAAAAGTACAACTGTCCAAATTGAATTTGAGTACAAGCACTGAAACCAGTTCAGACGACTCTTCAGAATCCGATGTAACTGATAGGGAATCTAAACCAAAAAGTAAACGAAAAAGGTATGAACCAAACTCTTTATTCGTTGATTTATAAGTTAAAGATAACGTTATTTTAGTACACCGAAAAAAATTAAAATAGCCAACGACAGCCAGAAAGTACCCAAAACTCCCAGGCAGGTCTCGATCGAGTCAACCCGCAGCCCAAGAACGCCCAAGAATAGAGCAAGGCTCATCCGAGAAGGTGTCATTACACCGTCAATGCAAGAAAGGAGCACCAAAGTCGAGGAAAACAAGACGCCCTTAATGCGTGCCAAAAGTCAACTGCACTTATCCTACATTGTCGATTCGTTGCCTTGCAGAGAAAAAGAATACAGCGATGTTCAAAATTTTATTGAGGGTAAATTATTGGACGGCTGTGGAGGGTAAGTGTCGAGGATTTTTACCCTACATTACCCTCTAAATAATTGTTTTAATTATAGGTGCATGTACATATCCGGAGTACCCGGTACAGGAAAAACTGCCACAGTTACATCGGTGATAAAAAGTTTGCAAAAAAACAAAAAAATACCCCGGTTCGATTTTATTAGCATCAATGGGATGGCTTTATCGGAACCTAGACAATCCTATGTTGAGGTAAATATCGTTTAATCTTCTTGTACTATTGTTTCAACTAAAAACATTGCAGATACTAAAGCAGCTTAGAGGAAAAACGCATTCTTGGGAACAAGCGCAGAATATATTAGAAGATATCTTTGTTAAACAGAAAAAAATACCTCCGATCGTCATGTTGATAGATGAAGTAAGTGCTCAAACCCACAATAGAGGAAACATACTAGATTATTTATTATTTCAGTTAGATATTTTGTGTACCAAGCGACAGGACGTAGTTTACAACTTACTCGATTGGCCAACGAAAGCTAAGAACCAGCTCATCGTAATTACCATAGCGAATACAATGGACTTGCCCGAAAGACTACTGATGAGCAGGGTTACCAGCCGTTTGGGTTTGACCCGATTAACATTCCAAGCTTATACTTACAAGCAATTGCAAGAAATCGTTTCTAAGCGATTGTGCGGTACTGACACTTTCAACTCTGATGCCATTCAGTTTGTGGCCAGGTAGGAACTTTTCTTACTTATTTATTGTAATATTTGAAACCAATGGTTTTTGTGTGTTTATAGAAAAGTTGCTTCGGTGTCTGGCGATGCCAGAAGAGCTCTAGACATATGCAGACGAGCGGTAGAAATTGCTGAGACGAGTGGATCTGAGCAAATGGTCAACATTAGTCACGTCGATCAAGCTCTAAATGCCATGATAACCCAACCTAAAATATTAGCTATTATGAGTTGCTCGAAATTGGAAAAATTAATTTTGCAGTCCATAGTCGCCGAAGTAAGTCATTTAGGCCTAGCGAGAGAGGCTAATTTTAAAAACGTGTAACTATTTCAGGTGGAGAGAACAGGGGTAGAGGAAACGACGTTCTGTGATGTATACAAAATGCTTATCACTTGCAGTAGTATCGAAGGATTCAAAATTACATCTCCGACTGTGGCCCAAAGGTCTGTAGCCCGATTGAGCGCCTATAAGCTAATATTGACTGATCAAAAATGCAACAATATAAACCAGAAGATTATTTTGAACGTGAGTATAGATGACGTTTTCTATGCTCTTAATAAAAATTAGTTAAGAATAAAACGACTGTTAAGAATGTTGGTATTGAATGGTTTTTAAATTAATTGATGCTATTTATGTTTGATATTAAGTTACTTAATGTGAAGTTTGTTAATAAAGTTGATGCCTCAAAAAACTATATATTTAAATAATAAATGTTTATTTTAACGTAAACATAAAAACATTGAATGTAAGTAGATGGACTAGATAGCAACTACAAACTATTTTTGTTAATCCTTGAGAGTAAGTTTATTTTTTAGTAAATTATTAGGTACAATTATTTGTTCTGATTCCTAATCGAAGTCATTTGCCAATTCAGATGCCTCTATGAGTAATCCAAAATCGATTTCAGTTAGACTGGCTTTGGCCGTTAACAAATCAAGGAATGTATCTAAAGGGGACACGTTTTTACCTCCGTGGTAGGAACCTAAACCTTTAGAGCAAGAAGGATTTTGTGTTTTACTTCTTGTAGGCAATCCAGTAATTCCGGAAAGGATATTTTGAGAGTGTTCTCTAGCTCTTAATATCACACTAATTGGGTGACTCCATTGGTTAAGGAGCCTTTTAGCTCTTTGTCTCGGCAGTACTGAGAGCAGTCTCAGCTTCTTATTAATTCCATCCTTACTTTCATCGTGTTCTGAAAAAAAAATATTAAGTTGTACTTCCCATATGTATATTTCGTACAAATGATGAGTACCTGCTAAAATGATTTTCATCACATCCACCTGCAATTCAAACACGTGATTAACCACATATTGCATGAACATATCGAAATCCATAGTCCTGTAGCCCAAATAAGCGAAAAACGAAGTGAAACCTTGAGGTAAAGGAAAAGCCAAGGCTTCGACGGCCATGTAATATTTCTCCAATAGCTTGAACAATACATAGCGTCTCTCTTCTCCTAAATTATTACTGAAATATAAAATTTTAGTAGATTGTATCAGAGTTTTCCAACAGTATCTTACATTAAAATGAAACCTTTATCATCATCTTCTTCCGGATCGTAGGTAGCAGCTTTACAGACAATTTCGCAGAGCTGCCTGGACTGGTCCAATTGCGAGCTGACATAACGCGTGGCAGCTGCGTGTACGTGCATGTTTGACTGATCCGTTTGCCGGAATTTTTTCGAACTATTAGAAGTTTGCTTCAGCAGGTGCATACTCAGCTCCCTTAGATTCTGTGAACGTTTCCCAATTGTATAATACATTGAACGTACTCGATTTATTTCTACACTTACGACCGAAATAATGTGCTCTTGTCGACTGGCTGTGCAAGAGTCGATTTCATAAAACGGTAGACTGTCTGTTTGAGATCTTGCGTTGTTTAGAAAATCCGCGAAAGTCGAGGCAGCCCCTCCAGTTGGAGATGATGGGGTGGTGCATCTAGATAAAGCTTCCGGCTGTAATTTACAGAATGTACTATAAGCAAAAATATTTAGTAGCGCGATTTACTTGGTAACATTCCAGCGATATCCTCAGCTTGTCCAACACCTGACTAGGCTTGAACCGGATGCCGATTTTGCAAAACTTGGAGAGATGGTCCCAAAGCTTCAGCCATATGTCGGTTTTGTACGGCACGATGCGCAGCTGCGGAGACAACACCATCATCGAAGCGTTCCACAGCACTTCCTGCGACATGTTGATCACGTAATTGTCGCTCTTGATTTCCAAATCCAAGCCCAGTCGTTGCGTCGTTATCGGCAGCAACGTTGTTATTTTGTTCGCTTCGCTCGGCAAATTTTTCTGCATGGAAGCGAACGAAGTGGCCACCAGGAATTCTTTGAGCAGCTCCGGGTAGTCCATTGAAAAGGGCTTCGAGGAGTGCCAGCTAATCAGCTCCGAAGCCGTTTGGGTATCTTCCAGGTGGATTATAAAGTGGTGCAGAATGGAGAGTTTGTTTTCCAGGGTAGTGTTGGATTTGAACGTTTCCACGGCTAGGGTTTCCAGAACGCTCATATCGATCAGGTCTAAATTAGTTAAGTTAATGATGTAATCATCGGTGGATATAATGGGAGCTAAGTACAGTAAATTCGATTCTTTATCGGATATAAGTGGCCCTGTAGTAATGTGACAATAGGGCTCGTGCATCAGTCCTATGTCTAATAAGTGAGTGCAGATTTCGGGGATGAATACCACTAAATAATCACCTAAAAGTAAACTTAAAGTACACAGATACGTGTATTTCTAATATCCTTACCTCTTAATTTAAATAAAGGTCTTATATTTTTCGCTCTATTCCATGGGATATCATTCACAACGCAATGGATGACACAACTTTGATGCAAAGCTGTTACTGAATAAGCGAAATTAATGGGAGTCGTATCGTTTTCGTCTTTATAATTCTCAGACGGTTGGATTGGCTGTAAAGCAAGCAGTGTTCAATACAGAAACCCCCTTTTACGAATTCAATCCACACTTACCTGGTACAAATAATGATGGCAAATGCACACGCATCCATTGGAACTGGTAACAACAATCAAATCCAAGGAAGAATCGTGGACTCTCAAAGGTATTACATCGTCTTCATAAGTCGCGGAGGTATCTGATGTATTTAAATGCGGCAGATTTAGAGGAATGTTCAACTGAAATGCACGGGTAAATTAAAAATTGTCTACCGCGAGGTTTAAAAATACCTACTACTGATTCGTGTGGATGATCATCGTTAAATTGCAGTCCTGTTAGAGTAGGAGTACTCTTATTGTTCGCTTCTGTGGTTCTTTCTTCGCCGTCCACGAATCCTCGATTTCGGCTTTTGTTGTGGATGTGGTAAAGGGTTTGTTCGAGAGGATCCCATTGCGCCCAGAAAAAATTCTTCACCAGCACTTCGCTGGTTAAGGAACTTAGGGTTACGTTTTCGTTCGGGCTGTTACGTTTTATGAGATATTGGTAAATTCCTGAGAAATAAGTGCGATTTGAAAAGTTGAATGTATTAAAGAAACTGGCGAAATGTACCTTCTTGGTGTATTAGCAGAAGAAACTTCTCGGTTGAAGGTGGTTTGGAATTCAAAAATTGCACGTAAGTTTGCCTCTTTGTTTCTTCCTTAATTAGGTATGCGTTTTGATAATTATCGGATATATTGTATAAGTAACTTTTATAAACGAAATCGTTATCGTCGCGTTTTTCTTTAATCACGTATAAAAGAAGGGTTCTTTCGGGATTCACCGATGCTTGAATACAATCGATTTTTTCGCCGAAAGAATAAATGAAATTTAATGTATTTTCTTCGTAATTATATTCACCGATACACGTTTTGGAGGCATTGGTACTTGGATTCGACTGAACCCAGCTGAATAGGTAGGATTCGTCGCGTTCCTGGCCTAATAATCTGCATTCGTTTATATCATCTGCAAAATAACTGGTAAGTATGCAACCATTTTGACAACATATAAAGTATGCCACGCCACTGCAAAGCAACTAATTGCACGTTTGCCAGCGTTACGAGAGTTTCCGGAAATTCAAAACTTTTCGAGTTAATAAGCTTATAAAAACGTATTTTTTCAAAACGCATTATTATTAAATACATTTTATACCAAAAAAGCTACTAAAATGTAGGATTAGAATTAAAAAATAACTCGATATTTAATTATCTTATCCGTTATTTGAAGTAAGACGAATTCAGAAAAATAAAAATATTGATCCGGCAACGCTGTCTCGTCTTTTCCTCCCACATTCTTGTTGTCATTCAAAACGTCAATGTCAAAAATCGATAATATTTTTAAGAGCAAATAAAACAAATGTTCGTAAAATTATTATAAAAGGCGTTAAAGAAGAGAAGTAATTGAATAAGAATCAAGTAAATGAGTAAATTAGTATCAACTCACCATTATTAATGTGTGTAGAATTCAGCAAAACCAACTTGGAAGCGAGGTTATCAACAGAGACCATGTTTGGCCTTGACAGAATCTCTTTTACCAGTGGGGTGTTTAATTAATTTCAAAGGGGGAGAAGGTGATAAAATTCATGATACGAGGACCACCCCTTATATTTTCTCAAGTGAGTATTTAATTTATTTCTCATTTATTCAGTGGAAATTTACATTCACTATACGTATTAAGATTAATAATCCCTGAAAGAGGTCATTTGCTACTAATTAACATAATACTATTTATGTTCTTGTTTTCAGAATGTTTGCGGTAAATCCAGAGCTTGCCAGGAAATTTAAGAATGCAAGGAAAATACTGAGCGAAGACAGCACCGATTCCAAAACAGAGTTCGATGTTCGCGAAGACGAAGAGCAATCAGTCAAATTGCAGGAAATTATCGATATTTTAGTAGCTGCCGGTTACTTTAGAGCGAGAATAAAAGGCCTATCGTCCTTCGATAAAGTCATCGGAGGAATGGTATGGTGTATCGAATCATGTAACGTTGATTTAGACGTGGATCTTCTATTCAAAGAAAACCTAAGCATTGGCCAGAAGATAGCTTTGACTGAAAAAATAGTAGCCGTATTGCCGAAACTGAAGTGTCCTCGTACAATAGAACCGCATCAGATACAAGGATTGGATTTCATAAACATATTTCCAGTTATACAATGGCTGGTGAAGAAGTCATTAGAGCGTCGACAAGAAGTGGCCTCTTTCGTAAGAGCTTGTGCAGTAGACCAGTTTAATAAAACATTTCACGTGCTCGATAAGAACCACACGAAGCATTCCAATTTGATAGAAAATTTGAAGTTTGTATCAGAAGTTTACCGTCCTCATCGATTTTACAGGAGGGAAAATACCGGTCAAATCGATGCGAAATCTCAAATCCACCTAACTCTTGTCGAATACGGCCACAGCGATGGCAACCTAAAGGATATAATTACTGCTGAAGAGCACAAAATAGCAGATTTCAACGACGATTATCGCAGTAATTTGAATAAACATTATACTACGTTGCAACTGGAATTGAACGATGCCGGAATGCTATCCAGAGAGCAAGCCATTATCGAATCTTTGGAAGAGAAGAAACAAATTTTCGATGAGAAATGCAGCGACTTCATTAAGCAAGATAAAATCTTAGCCAATGAAATAAAATTAGCTAAAACAGATCTCGAGGAATTACGAGAAAAAAAGGAAGCCGCCGATAAGTCCTTACAAGAATTGAACATCGAGGACCAGGAAGACGCTAAACTCAAACAAATAGAAGAACTAATAATATTAAACGATGATTTAAAAGCGCAGGAAGCTAAATTTAAAGAGCATTGCAAGAAGGAATTGGATAACTTGAATAAACTAATAGAAGATGCGAAAAAAGCGAAAGTTAAAGTTCCTACGAACCAGAACGAGGATTTGTCTGAAGAAATAGAAGAGGCGACTCAAAATATACGCACGCTTCGAATAAAACTCGCCAAAGTCAACAGAGAAGTCGCCCATTTACAACGAAGCTTAGACGACGTACCGAAGAGGGCCGAATTGGCGCAGTATCAAAAGAGATTCGTCGAATTGTACAACCAAATGGCCGTCAAGCACAAGGAAACGAAGCAATATTACACCCTTTACAACACCTTGGAGGACACTAGATTGTGGATGAAGAAAGAATTGTCTATATTAAACTCGATTTCTGACAGCTACCCCGAGGCGATGACGTCTTGGAAATCGAAGGAAGAATTCTTGGACCAGTTCCAGAACATCATCGAGAACGTTCGCAGTTCGAAATCGAAAATCGAACAGAAATTGGAGACTGAGAAACAGACAAGAGATCAACTCAGCAACACGCTGCATGGGCTGGTCGAGCAGCAAAGGAAATATGTAATGGCTATTAAACAATTGGGAGTCGAGTGCAAAAAACAGGAGAATCTAATTAAGATGCAAGGGTGATATTTCATATAACGAGATTGTTTTGTAAATAAAAATATTCGTACATTGTATTTTAGCAGATTTTATTCTATGTTTTTCTAATTTAGTAACTAGTAAAGGCTAAGATTGACTTTATTAGTATACAGGGTGTCCAGCATAAGAACCGACACAGAGCAGGGGCGTGCAGTGGCCAACTTAACTTAATTCAGGCAATTTTTGAATTATGGACGATTTTAACTATGATTGATAGTGTAAATTACCTTATTTTTTAATGTTTTTCATCAAAACAACAAAGAATTATAAGAAACAAAAAGAATAAAAAATAATGCTCTTAGTACACTCATAACGTATACCAAATTTAGTAGTTTTAAGTTTGAGTACTTCTGAAATATTTTTTTTTTTATTTGTAACTCCGCTATGAATGCCTTTAACTTTTCATTAATGTAACTATGTTTTAAGTTAATCTAGATGAAACAACATACATATTTTGTGCTCCCCTACACTCACCTGCTCTGTGCCGATTCTTATGCGGGGCACCCTGTATAGTAAAGTGTTTTGTAGCCCTGATGAAGGCATAATAAATATCGAAACGTTGACAAATTTTCTTTCATTTCTTTCAATTATAACACATTACGAATCTTGAACATAAGGTGTAGTTAGACCTGTAAAATAATTATCAATTGAACTACCATGTACAAATTTAGTTCTGGCTAAACGGGGAGCATCGTCACCAATTACATAAATCCTAAAAAAACGACAAAATTCAATACAATTAAATTAAATCATAATACACTTACAAGTCGTTATTTTTTATTACTGAATGCACGTTGGGTAATTTAAATCCATTAAAATCGTACGTAATGGATAAAGTGTTAGCTCCAGTATCTTCGAATATTACCCAATCGCCAACTTCCATTTCCTGTAAATAATCCACTTCTTTGGTAATTTTATCCGTGCTGTCGCAAGTGGGGCCCCACAGAATGCTGGGAAAAACTTGCGATTCGGGTTGTTCTTTGACAGGGTTGCAAACGAAAGGCTTTTTGAAGAGCACGCTCGGCGCTAAGCCGTTGTAAATTCCAATGTCTAAGTGGTACATTCGAGTGTCATCTTTTATTCTTCTCGAGTGAATGTTGGAAATTACTTTAAAGGCCGAATCTACCAAATATTCGCCTAATTCGGCTACGATTTGCACGCTGGTGCTATCGAAGTACGTGTTTATTGCCTCGTTTAATACTTGAGAATCCTTGAACAATCACAAATTGCACCTATTGGATTCGAAATTAAATTACCTTACCTTAGAACAGGAATATTTTTTTTGGTACATTTCACCGATATCTAAGAACGTAAAGTGATAATTAAATAGGGAAGCTATGCTAAAAACTTTTCGAACGAATTCCATTTTTGTAGAAAAATTTTCAATGTTGTATTCGCTCTCCATAGCGATAGAAACGCCTATAACATTTAAATCCAGAGATTTGGCCACACGGAGAAGGTGTTTTATATCTTCTTCAGAATGTACCCCAAATTTCCTGCTATAAATATCCTTTTTTTCCGACTCGACTCTCAATATCAACCTGTGAATAATTGCATATGCAAAAGAAAAAGTTTTAACAGTAAATAATCATTACTTTCCAGATGAAAGGTATCTCTTGATTTTATACAATTCCTCTTCATTATCGAATGATGTAAACGTAACTCCATTTCCAGAGGCATAAACCAAGTGGCTGATTTTCTTTGTAGGATTGGCGAAAATTATTTTATCAGCAGGAACGCCTAATGACAAAACTCGACGAATTTCTTCTTGTGATACGCACGAAAAGCCCACATCCATAGCTGCTAATGTTTCTAGTACTATCCTGCTTTCGTTGCATTTTACCACTGCAAATTAATCTTAATCAATTTCAGTAAGACATTGGCCAATTTCAATAAGACATTGGGCTTAGGTATATTTGTAATAAAATTAGGCTTACTGTAAAAAACTGGTATATGAGCAAAATTTATTTTCCAATTTAGGTAATTTTTGATTATTTCACTAGCATCGCAGAGGCAGAAACCGTTTTTTTGTCGACCATCCCCCACAATTTTTCTAATCACTGAATATACATCTTCTTTCTCTTCTAATATTTGGATTTTATTATTTTCCATGTTTCTGTATTAAATTGTATTAACAGCAAACACATCTAAAACCTTAAGCAACGATACGTGCTGTATTTGTACAACTTGAAAACACCTATCAGAAAACAAATAAGTAAAGAAAATTGTAGAAATGAAAAATCGATAAGTATTGTAATAAGTGCTTCAAGGTTTGTTAATCAAGGCGTGAGGTGACTGGGAGATGAAAAGAAATGTTATGACTAAAGTATTTATTGAATTACATTGAACTTTAAATATTTGCAGGATATTTTCAAAAAGTTCATGTTGTCGACCTATGTCTGCCAATAATATAGATACTTAATAATTTGTTTTTTGAAAAATATTTAGGTGTATTTTCATAACAAATATAATTCATTTAAAGAAATTTCTTGAAAAATATTTATTTCATATTCATTATGAGGTTATCAAGATAGTTAATCATTCCATTTAATAATAATTACTGTTACATTACATTTTATTAGATAGTAAAAAGATAAGATAACCGAAATGTCTATTCAATGAGAATAAAGCATGTAGATAAACTTTAAACTATTAATAAAAGTATCTTTTAAGCCTGACGTGAGATATAAGGAATGAAATAAAACATTATTAAAATACAGGGTGCTCCTATAAACATCGTGTACATACAGAAGGGGTAATTATTTGCCTTATTTCATGTGTTTCCATGCACGTTTAGGAACACCTTGTATAAAACAATTAATTCCACTGTTCTAGATTAAAATTTTAACTTTTAAATAGATAATTGTTTAAAGATTAAAACGATTAAAAAAATGTAGATATGAAATAATCTCCTCAAACTACCTATAGAGACATCAAAACGAAGCATGAGTCGCATTTTTTATGAAAAAACGAATCTCATACCTACTTATTTTCTATTTGTTCTTGCTAATCATGAGTTTGCAATAAAATAGGTACTCCTAAAAGGTTTCAATATGTATCCAGATCAATTACATTAATATAAGTCATTTGCTGTTACGAATAACAAAAAATATAAATCTGCCTTTAAATGAATTAAAACTGAACCCAATTATCAATAATTATTAATTATTATTAACTGTATCAAAGGCCAGAACCAAGTTGGCGCCCAATTGATTTTCACTATCTGACTCGAAAAAGGTGTCGTAAAGAAATTGGTTTCCTGTCTCAATCTTCTACTCTCGATTCTCTACTCTCTAATCTCTACTCTCTACTCTATAATCTTTACTCTACATAAGTCATATTTTTTTATCACATTTTTTAATGATCAAAATTCTCTTCGTTTGATTTAAGAATTGTTGATTTGTATAAGCAGATTTGCAGATTTTAATCTAATCAAATATGTGCCCGGAGCCAATTTGGCCTTATCCACTCTGGAACCAATTCGGAAATTTCGAAAAATATACATATAAAGACTTAATTATCGTGAAGAGCAATGAAATAATCTGCTATATCGTTATATTTTAAGGATCAATAAATAATTATCATAGCAAATAAAAACAGAAAATACATGTATACCAGGTGATTTAGTTCATTTTTGCCTAAATAAAATAATTGGAAATTTAACTTTTGTATACTGACAATATTGGAGATTTCTCACATTACCCTGTAAAAATAAAAAAGAAGTTATTTAGAATTCGTGTCATTAGTAGATAGTATAATAAAGTCGTAAATTAAATAACAATAAATATTCTATACAAAGAAGCTTTATTTAACGTAAGTATTTTTGATAGAATCTTGTATAAATACGATAAATTTACATTCAGCCGTACAGTCAACGATGGATTACCAAAGTTTAAAAGTGGCTCTCAGTCTTTTGTTAAAAGATTTTTGCTATGCGAATAAAATCGTGAGTGATGTGCCTCAGAATTCTGATGTAGATCTATCGAATTGTGTATTTTTTGATAGTCCAGATATAAAGGAGCTGGAAAAAGGATTAAACGAATTTACAAAGACGTTCAACAATCGAAATCCAGGGAGTCAAATCGATGACATAATTTACAAAAGTATAAAGGTAATTTTTTCCAATACAACCCAATCTCAACGGCTGCGTCATCTAAGAAACATTCTAAAAGAATTTTACGATGAAATAAATAAAACATTAATAGAATCAAATAGATTGAACGAAATCGTATCTTTAGAAAAATTTAATGACATCGTCTGGAAAATGATACCTTTGGTCAAATATACGCTTATAAACGAACCAGCATCCGATAACAATGCAAATGTTAAAAACCTAAAAGAACTAGCTCAAGAACTGCACGAATTCATTAAATTTCCGAAACTTTCCATCGAGGATTGTTACGACATCATCTCTAATAAACTACAAGATTTAGAAGACCTCGAATTCATCAATTACACCACAACGCCAACACAAAACAGCGGCTTGTTGGGAGAATACTACAAACTAAAAATAAATTTAAAGAAAAACAATCAAACACAATCGCACTATTTCTTCATAAAGTACCTGCTAACAGACCACGAATCCCAACGACAATACCTAGCAGAAGCGACGTTCAAAAAAGAAGACCAATTCTACATGGAATTCATCCCTTTGCTAAAGCAACTCGGATGCGAGGGTATACTAAACTTCGCCCCGAAATGCTACTATTCTAGGAAAAACCTATGCGTGGTGCTCGAAGATGTGACCCAACAAGGCTACCATGAAGCCGCCAACAAGACCCTGCTGACGTACGAACAACTATCGCAAGCTTTGAGACAATTGGCCAAAGTGCATGCCAGCGGGATCCTCTTCGAGGAAAAGCTTTCCCGGCTGTTAGGAGAAGAGGTCCGACTGGATAGATTCTTCGCTGAGATGACGAAGGAGCGAATGGTGGTGCGTGAGGAGCCTACGAAGACTTTATTCGACAATGCCGCCGAGTCTATCGGCTATATGATTGGAAAATTCGCGAAGGAGTTCCGAGAAATTCCCTTGGAGGAGTTCCAAATCAAGGCGAAGGAGGTTTTAAAGAGCTTGTACGAAGTGGTCAAGCCGGCGAGAGGACGTAGAAATTTTATTGGACACGGCGATCTTTGGTCGAACAACTTACTGTTTAAAGACAATTCTGAATGTCTAATAATAGATTTCCAATTACTCAGATACTGTAGTCCTCTTGTGGACGTTATGTTCCTGTTGACTTTAAATACTGACAAAAAGTTTAGAGACGAATTTAGAGAGGTGTTGTTAAATGAATACTATACAAATTTGCGGGAGCTATTGTCCGAATATGACGTGGATTTGAAAACGATTATGTCCGAAAAACAGTTTTTAGAGGACGCCGATAGAGTTACACCCGCCATTATTTTCCATTGCCTAAACTACATACCTTTTATTCTAATCCCGACGGAGGTACAAGGAGAAATGTTATTTGGAAAACGGTGTAAAACTATAGAAGAATACTGGAATAAAGTAAACATAAGTAGGTATAGGGAGTTATTAGAAGATTTGTATGTAGCTTTATATAAATCGTAATGTGTTACCTAATTATGATATTTAATAGGTTTTTAATTAATTTTAAATGATAAATTGAACTTCGAATTTTCAAATTAATATAGAGAATACCTGGTATATTACCTTGAAATAAAATTCTGTACATTGTAAAAAAAATCCCGTATTATATTAATATACATGTAAAAAAACTTATACCTACTCGTATAAAGCGTTTAATTAACTACATCAAAATTGCGAAGGTAATGTAACATTGAAAGTAACAATAAATAAGTATCGTGCAATTCTGTTTACCTAAATACGCCACTATTAATTGGGACTAAAAAACTGTTCACGATAACCCAAGTTACATTATTTGCGTAATTTTACTTCCTTCATTTTCCGATAATGTTCGTATGAAATTGTTGAACGCTTTTAACAAGCATTTGCATCTTTTGTGTACAGGTAAGCACATTTAATTTACTACAATTTGTATGTAGTTTTATGAATATCCTTTTATTTGCAAATATTTGATTTTATCATACAAATTTATTTTTCAAATTAACTATTTCCTTTCAGATCAAAATGCAATTTATATTCCGCAATTTCGTTATATTGTTCGGCATTTGTCAATTCCACAGTTCTTTATCTTATTATAAAAAATTCCGCTTACCGGAACACGTTAAACCGATTAATTACAATTTGTACTTGAAAATCGAGCCAACAAAAAATTATTTTTACGGTAAAGTCCAAATATCGCTGAAGATTTTAAACGAGACGACGAACAGTCTGTATCTACACGCAGATCATGATTACATAGAAATCAAAACTATCGAATTGAACGGAACCAAATGCAATTCCTCCATACATCAGAACGTCGCTACGAATATATTTCCGATAAAATGTCCCTTACAATTCAGGTAATTATTTTTACGCCTTCGATTATATCAAACAAAATTAAATGGATTCTTTAAGAACCGGTCAGGTATTGAAAATTTCGTACAAAGGAAAGATAGGCAACGATATGAGTGGCGTTTACCGGAGCACATACGACGATGGAATCATAGTAGCGACGAATTTCGAACCTAATTACGCCCGAAGAGCCTTTCCGTGTTTCGACGAACCCGAATTTAAGGCTACATTCGAAATAACTATTGAAAATCCTCGATTATACAACGCTCTATCCAACGCCCCATCAGAAAGCATTTTAATAAGGTACAACAATAACTAATTATACGGATCTCAAAATTTGTATTATTTTTTTTTGTTAGGAATACCAGTGTAACGAAATTCCAAAAGACCCCGATAATGTCCCCTTATTTGTTGGCTTTCGTCGTGTCCCAACTTCGACCAGCTATTTTAAAGGACCAGGATTTCAACGTATTCGCTCGTCCCAGCGAAATCAACCACTTGGGAATCGCTATAAATTACGGACCGAAACTCTTTGATTACATGAGCCAATGGACAGGCATCCAATACGCCGATTTGGGCAACCCTCAGGAGTACTTGGTAGCCTTGCCGGATTTCGCAGCAGGCGCTATGGAAAATTGGGGCCTCATAATATTTAGGTATTTAGGCGCAAATTAAAATTAAGGAAGCAAACAATATCGGATGTTTGCAGAGAAATGGACTTGCTAGATAGTGGAAACAAGACGTCAGTGGATTCGTTTCAAACGATCCTGATGGTGATGGGCCACGAGATAGCCCACCAATGGTTCGGTAATTATGTAACGCTGGACTGGTGGTCTAATGTTTGGCTCAATGAAGGTTTCGCTAATTATTTCGGCAAAATCATCACCGATGGAGTAAGTAAATAGGCTATAGAAGAAATAGCAACAGCAAAACATATTCGTAATATTAAACAGGTCGTGAATGGAACATTCGAGCTCGACAAGCAATCTGTTGTAACCACTTTGCAAAAGTATTTAGAAAAAGATTCCTTGGTCTCATCGAAACCGCTAAGTGCTCCTTATGAAGCTGTACAAACCAATTTCGAAATAAATTTAGCCTTCGACGAATTGGCATATTACAAAGGTAAGTTCGATTTCTACTTGCTTTAAAAATACAATTTCATTGCACTTCTAGGGGAGTGCATAGTGAGAATGATACGGAACATCTTGGGTAAAGACAACTTCAGAAGAGGAATTCAAAATTATTTAACCAAAAAGTAAGATAGGTACACACTCGAACCAGCTCTGTATGCAGTAATTTAATATTTTTGTCAGTAAATACAAGAACGTGAGCCCAGAAAAATTCCTTCAGTCCTTTGAGGACGCGCCTGGAAATAAAATAATAAATTTGGAAGAAAAAATGCATAACTGGATATACAAAGCCGGTTATCCTTTAGTCACAGTTACTCAAACGGATAACACAACTGTGAGAATAACGCAAGTAAGTACCTAATTCAAAATTAAATATTCGTCAGATTGCCTGATATCTATTTAAATTCAGGAAAGATTTTGCACCAGCACAACCTGCAATGCAACAACCCAATGGTACGTTCCAATTAGTTATACCACGCAAAGCGAAAACAATTTCTCCATAAATATAAAAGACTGGTTGAAGCCGAATAAACCTTTGGAAATTAACCACGATAGCAAGGAATGGTTGATTGTTAATTTACAACAAAACGGTAAGTTATGTCGTAGTGTCTATAAGTGCACCTACAAATATAAAAGTGTAAAAAATATTCAGGTTTTTATAGAGTCAATTACGATAAGTCCTTGTGGGCGAAAATAATAAAAGATCTCACTACGTCCATGGAAATTGATCCCCTCAACAGAGCGCAATTAATCGACGACATATTTCATTTAGCCAAAGCCGGAAAAATCTCTTATAACAAAGCCTTCGAATTGGCGCAATATTTGAAACACGAAACGAGTTACTACCCTTGGTTTTCAGCAATAAGAAGCTTCTACAATATAATTGACAATGTTGATTCAAATGTCGAAATTTTACTGAAGGTACGAATACAAATAGCCCAAAATAAACACAATTTTTTTCAATTATGTTTTTTAGAAGTGGCTACTAAATTTAATTAGCGACATCCCTCGCAGTCTTCCGAATAGTCAATCCCATATTGCAGCCTTACAACAAACTTTAATTATAGAATTTGCTTGCAAAATAGGCCATAAAAAATACCTTGCATACGCTGAAAAAAGATTCAAGGCATTCAAAAGAAACAAAAAGTAAGAGGTATTTTAAAAAATATCCCAACATCTCGGATTAAGATGTGATTATTTTTAGCCTTATTCCTGTTGAATATACTTTCTTGTGCTATGGTTTGATGTATAGTAACAATTTGCAAGACGACTATAACTTTCTACTAAACATATTCAATACATCTACTTCTTACGAGCAGTATCAGATACTAATCGCGCTAGGATGTATGAATGATGAGGAGTTTCTCATGAAGAAAGTAGTTCAAATAATTCCATTGTTGTTGAAATGGTACACAAAGCTCTAATAACTATTGTATTTTTTTTAGATATCTAAAATTAACAATAATAGAGCCGAGTCCGATAAGACAACAAGACTTCACTACCCTCTTCAATTCGGTATATTACAATAACAAACTGGGAATTGGTGTAGCTTTAGATTTTATGTTCAAGTACTTCAAAGCTATGGAATTTGCGTAAGCCCAAAATAGTTCATTTATGTCTTAACATTTTTTCTACACCATGTGCACAATTTCGTCCCTTCTCCACCTGTACAATGTATAATTATAATAAACAATTATTTTAGTTACGGTGGAGTAACGGGGTTACCATCATTAATGATAGACATTGCAGAAAAAATAACTACTGAAGAGAACATTAAAAAAGTAAGTACCTGTTTATTAAAACAATTATTAAGATAAACATCAATCTTCTTAATATTTCATCTATTTAAAAATTTTTAGATGGATAAAATTTTGGACTATTACAAGGAAAACGAGAATGTGAAATTAGTGGAAGCGTCGGTGAACGAGATAATTGATACGAATCAACAATGGAGAAATAATTACGAAATGGAAATCCAAAATTATTTAAAGAAATCAACAAGTGGGAGTGCTCGCTTTTATCCTGAATTTAACATTGCTTACATTGTATCATACTGTGTTTTTTACATAATTACAATGTAATTCTGCTTCATTGAAAAATGATTCTTTTCATGACAAGATACACACATACAACATGAGTATTATTCAGTTAAATGCTTTAACACGATAAAAAATCTATTATAACAATTTTATATTGTATTTTTTAAATAAACGTAGCTATATGTTTAATATGTAATTAAATTTGATAATTGTAATACAACCTTGCTATATGAATAGACAAAGTAATCTATTCGTCGGTAATTTAAATTTATTAACGGTGCCCAATTTTGCGACGACGCGATTCAAGGACATTTTCCTATCACATAGGTAATTATGAATACAAATTAATATAAAGTACAAGGATTCATAATAGAATGTAGAAAGGTAATGTCACATATGATAAATAGTTTAAGTTAGTTTAAACTTTGTTACAGATAAAGCTACTTTCATTGATCCTTTTACGTAGATACTGTAGCTCATCCTTTAATGTAACTTTCTGGTCTTATGATTACCTAATACCACTGATGACATGATTTTGCATTATTAAAATTGAAAATAACGTAAATTTCTTATCTTCTAATCTTTCAAAAAATGTATGTACCTAAACACGTTTTTATGTATACCTACACGGGTGTAACTCGATAAACTTTAAGTGGATTATTTAACTTAAATTGACATAAAATAGGGACAATTTAATAAGATAGTAAACAAAAATCAAGATGTCCTTTTTCGGAGAGGTCGAGTTGTCACCCGAATTCTAACCGGTCAGTTCTTATGGGTCGAGTTGTCACCCGATAGGGGTCGAGTTGTCACCCGTTACCTGGGGTAGGTATGGCAGTGTGCAATTAGGTTTTCGATTAATCCTACTTCATTCAAAAATCCTAAATATTTTTTGAACGTAACCAACTTTTGTTTTTTTTTTATTATTTAGATAGATACATTAAATATTTTTTATATTTTATAAGATCAATATGATTCTGAAAATATTAAAATTTAAATAAACTCAAATTTCCTTTTACTTACATGTATGTAGAATTTATTTAATGAACAAACGCAAATACAAATTTGAAAATTTAAAGGAACAGTTAAAAATTTATGTACATTAGGGTGGGTCGTATAAAACGATTGATTACTTGTCACATGGAATGATTCACATACATTTGTGGTTCGTATTAAGGACGAAGATTGTCAACCCATACTTGAGGAGGAAATTTTGAATTGCTGTCAATGTACGTTTCCACTAAATAATTACAAAATTTTGTAACTTTATTGCAATTTGGTTTTATCTCTAAAAGTTCCAATGCAAAACATTTACTATTTCTAACCCAAATCACCAACCCCAAAACCCAACATTATTAAGCAATTAGACCCTTATAATCTGCATCGAACGGGTAACAATAGACGGGTGACAACTCGGACATGACCTTTTTTCGCACAGGTAAAATTTTGAAATTTGGGTGACAACTCGGACCTGTCCGTTTTTTTGAATGCGCCATTTATAACCCTTCTCGTATGTTTTATTGCATTAGGTTACAGTGGGGAAAGCAGCGAGTAATATAATTATAACTAATTACATATTAATAAAAATGTCAATTTCATTGTTTTCGATTATTCTATTTTACAATTGGCGATTTTATCGATTCTAATCACATTTATCACGTTTATAAATTGATAAACTGTAAGTGCATTATTAACTTAAATTGATATATAAGAGGAACAATTCAATACAAGAGTGCACAAAAAACTAAGATGTTTTCAAACGCGGCATTTATAACCTTTGCAGTGTGCTTTATTGCATTAGGTTGCAGTGGGGAAAGCAGTGAGTATATTATAAAAAGAATATTTTCATCGTACAAACTAAAAATGTAATATAAATTCAATCTATTATTCGATTTTAGGTACTCCGCAACGTTGGCAACAAAGCGTCAAAGCCGGAAATAAAACATATTTTCTCTTCAATCAACCGGTAAATTTTTAATTATTTCGCTAGAATTTACTCAATAACCAATAAACCAATATCATTATTTACAGTTAACGTTAATTGAAGCAGATATACAATGCAGACAAGAAAAAATGAAATTGCTTTCGATCGAAAATGAAGCAGAATATAGAGATCTTGTTGCAAAAATAAACGAGTTCGGTATGTTACATAATAAATGATTATTAACTTACAAGTATTCAATAGTGCAACAGTTCAATTTGTCTAGTACTTACGTACCTCTATATAGAAGAGAATATATTTTTTTTAGATACAGGAAACCCTTTATACGTCTGGTCATCAGGAACCTTGAATTCGGATGGAACATGGTTGTGGTTATCAACGAGAGAACCAATAACCTTCTTCGATTGGGTTGGTGATTTCGAACCAGAACCTGGGATGGATTGCATTAATTTGAACTTTAACTTTTACCCGAAAGGTACTTACACCACTACTGCATGCAGTACTCCATCAAACTTTATTTGTGAATTGTAATTAATTAATAATTAAAGAAGAGATTTTAGTTTTAATTTGTTTTGAACTCTGTACCACAACCATCAAAATTAGACTTTTCGAATAGATTTTTTTTGATAGATTCAAGGGTAGATTTTTCGATAGATTGAGAGTAGAGAAAAAATTTTATGCATAAAAGTAGAGAGAAAATTTTGTCCATAACAGTAGTGAGAAAATGTTGTTCAAGAAACTAGAGAGAAAATGTTCATGAAACTAGAAACTTTTGTGCAAAAATAGAGAGAAAATATTCATGAAAGTAGAGAGAAATTTGTGTGCATAAAAGTGGAGAGAAAATTTTGTGCATAAAAGTAGATAGAAAATTTTGTTCATGAAAGTAGAGAGAAAAATTTGTTTACAATAGTAGTGAAATAATGTTATTGCTTCGTGAGGTTGAGTTTAAAATATTTGGAATAGTCCTTAAAAATAAGGACTTTTTTAATGAGATAAAAACCAGCCCAGGTGTGATGAAGAAAAGGCTCATACAGGCCGTGGAAAGTCGTATATTCGTCACAAATGAAGATCATACATATGTAAATGACAATCATAGAGAATAGTAATAACTACTGAAGCACATAAATATGTACATAGGTAAACTTTAAATTCCTGAATTTATTCCTACCCACCCTACTCCCCCAAAAAATTTTCAAACGGTTGCACAATGTACGTTTGATAGCCGAATTCTACTCTGAGTCACCCTGTACATAGTATGTACGTGATCAATATTTAATATGTTATCTACCTAAATTATATTTAAAAAAAACTAATTTTCTCAATAATCTACATTGATATAGAAGTCCTCAGTTTAAGTACTACGAATGTTAACCAATGGTCTAATTAACACTTACTTGTACCTTTAGAGATTTAACTAATTAAAATTTAAGTCTTTTTCAGTATCTGTAATTGTCTTTAAATTAACATACAAATTACAATTAGCTTATTTTACTTATTTCCAGAAAACCATATAAATATGTAAAAGTCACCGACCAAATCATTACAAAAAATTTGTCAGTTTCGAACATTGGTAAATGTGAGTCGAGTTTATGTGATTGATAAACTCAGTGAAAAATCATCAATCACTAACAAGACGCCTTTTGGGGAGAGAAGTACGTACCAGGTAGAATATAAAACAGATATTAGTCTATATTTATAAAAATGAAGCATTTACTTTGAAGTAAAAGGTAGAGGCAAAAAATAAGAGAAAAAGGTTCTAAAACCTTATACAAAGACTTTAAAACCATAAAACCTTTTGCTTTAAAGCAACAGCAGGGTCCTCAAAGCAAAACCTCTCTTTCTTCTCTTCTTATTATTATTACGCATCTACCTTGAAGCAATTCCTTCATTTTTTGAAGCAGAAGGTTGTGCTTCTTTTTATAAATACGGTCTAATGGCTATGCAGTATTAAATTATTATTTATTATTATTTAATGAAATTGGAAAGTGTGCAACTTATTTTAAACTATTTTTGAGGCCCACTCACTTAACAAAAACAACAGCAAATGATAATTGGTTTTAAAGTTGTTTACGAAAATTCCTGTTTTCACCTCGGTTTTTACCAATATTTTAAAGCATTCCAAAAGATTGAGTGACGAATTTGGACGAAAAGGTTTATTTCCATCAGATTTAAATTCGTAAATATTCATGTTAAATTCAAAAATTTACGTTGAAAACTGATAAAGAGTAATTAAATACTAAATTTCGTTTCCACGTTATGAACAAAAAATGTATTTTTGATTTGCTAATAATTGTACAATATTTTCAGGCATTAAGATTGATTTTATTATAAACTTCTTTCTAAACCGACTGCTTTTTCAATAATTTGTAAATGAAGTTGATTGTGTGTTTGTTTGGAATTTTCTGTTATGGAGAATGTGCCAAAATTCTAGGAGCATTTATATATCCCTCAGTCTCTCATCAGGTAAGTACGAACATTTTGCTTCATCTACATCATCCATTAATATACTTTCCGACAAAAAAGTACCCGGAAATACTGATTTAAATTACCTGCGCTTAATATTTTTCAACTATTTCAAGTGTCTGTATGTAGATAACACTGTTCTTTATTAGCCTGCAAAAAATTAGAGAGATTTTTTAATCAGTTTGGTTGTAGCAGCTGATTGAATTAGTTTACCTATCTTAGTAGTCGTCAGCAAATTTTTCAATGGCCAAAAACACAACGAGGTTTGAACGAAATTTCATTGTCAGAATCGATGCTATAATGCTTAAGGTGACAGACGGCCTTCGACCTCTTCAACCAATGATTATAGCGAGACAATGAAGGAAATTGAGTTCGAAAATCATCATGCTAGTATTAGAGAAGTCGTAGCACTTGACTTGAACATCTCTCGTGAAGCCGCTCGTTTGGTTTTGTTTAACCAATCAGACATGCTGCGCATTGAGGCTCGGCTCGTTCCAATAGAGCTGACTTTCTTCTAAAACGGTAAAGTCAACTGGTCACTGGATACATGCTGCATCATGTTAAGTACCAATGTTAAGTTCCAATTTTCCGAGTACTTTTTTGTCACTGTGTAAAGTATAAAAATTGAATTTTTATTTTCTCTAGTCAACTTTCCAACCAATATGGAAGGAGTTGTCTCTAAGAGGACATCAAGTAACTGTGATCACACCAAATCCTTTAAACGATCCTACTCTAACAAATCTAACTGAAATCGATGTGTCCTTTGTGTACAAAAACCCGAAACTGAGGCACATTATAAACAATATTAAGAAGGATGACCACCCGCTAAAAGCTCACAAAATAATATTCGAATTGTTTCGATTTATTTTCGAAGAGGAAATGCAATACGAACCAATAAAGCGATTAATTGAGAACCAAGACAAACACGCGTACGATTTATTGCTTATACAGTATTCGTATTTTACGGATCCATTATTGGCGTTTTTGAACAAATTTAACGCTCCTCTTGTTGGTAAGTAGTTAATTAAATAGTAATACTTTTGTGTAATTTTGTTTTTCTTATTTAGGAGTGTCATCATTAGGACTGCTTCTACATGGTCATGATGCCATGGGTAATCCCACTCATCCGGTGGTTTCCCCCGATTTTATGCTCGGTCTGCCCAAAAGGCTGAATATAATTCAAAAGTAAGTTAATCACGTACTTATTGATTAATTTCAATTGCATTTGTGTTTTACTTCTAGAGTTGAAAGTTTGTTTCACAATTTTGCTTATCGATTGTTCTACCATTGGTACATCCTTCCGAAACTAGACGAGAGCGCCAGGAAATATTTCGGAGACGATATGGTACCATTGAGAGAGTTACATAAAAATGTAAGCCTCGTACTGTATAATAACAATCGACTTATTCATGAAGTAAGGCCGAATGTACCGAACGTTATAGAAATCAACCAATTGCACATCAAAAAACCTAAACCACTGCCAGAGGTTTGTTATAGATATTTATATAAATTATCGTTTTTTGAGTTCTGTGTATCATTTTAGGATATTCAAAAGTATTTGGATTCCTCTCCTCAAGGTGTGGTATATTTCAGTTTTGGTACTAACGTTAAAAGCTCGAACTTGTCGTATACTTTAAGAAAAGAAATTATCGGCGCTTTAGCTGAATTACCTTACAAAGTAATATGGAAGTGGGAAGATGACTACTTACCCGATCAGCCGATAAATGTGCTAGTAAGGAAATGGTTACCTCAACAAGACATATTAAGTACGTTTAATTAAAATAAATAGATATAGGCGATGCATTTTACAAATTTTTTCTTTACAGATCATCCGAACGTGAAGGTTTTTCTAACTCAAGGAGGATTACAATCTATTGAAGAGACCATTAACTGCGAAGTGCCTATAGTCGGTATGCCGTTTTTCACAGATCAACCCACGAATATACAAAAAATTGCAGAACTTGGAATGGGCCTGTACATTGAACATACAACGGTCACCAAGGATATATTAAAAAATGCATTATTGGAAGTAGCTCAAAACAAAAAGTAGGTCGCAAACTTTTAAGAGGTTTTAATAGCTATTCTTATAACAACACTTTTGTAGATACAAAGAAAACGTGGTAAAATATAAACAAATTTTGGTAGATGAACCCATGAGAGGAGTAGAAAAAGCCATATGGTGGATAGAATATGTTATGAGACATAATGGAGCAGCTCATTTACGCAGCATGGCAGCAGATATGACATTTTTCGAATATTTCATGATAGACGTAGTAGTATTTTCTTTAATAGTAATTTCCCTAATGATATACATTTCCCTTAAATTGTTCTCATACGCTAAAATGTTACTAATTACTCTAAGTAGGAAACTGAAACCAGCCAGAAATATAGTACTCAAGATAGAAATTAATAAAGTTAAGAAAAATTAAAGTTATAAGATAAATTAAAGAGTTTTTTTAGTCACTATACAACCTTTATGAACTCTGTGGTATACATGGGACGAAAATAATCGTCCATATTTATAAAAATGAAGCATTTACTTTGAAATAAAAGGTATATAGAAGCAAAAGGTAGGAGGAAGGTTTTGCTCTGATGCATAATAGTTCTAAATGGTTCTAGACTATTTAAATGCTTCTTGATCATTCCAGATTGTTCTTGACGGTTCTAAATGAACCTGGAGCGTTATAAATGGTTCTAGACAGTTCTAACGTAAATGTACCCTCTCAAATGGCAAACTGGAGAAGCACAGCCAAAATACACAAATATTTTACGTTACAAGCTGTATGGTGGCTGAGTAACTACTGAAAAGATTGTGATAACTTGCTATGAACCTAGTTTCTATTTTTACAAGCAAATCCTTTATTTTTTAAGCAATTTTTGGTGCTTGAATAACGAATTAGATGAAGGCGACGAATTCTATTTTATATATTAATAAAAAAGAAGAAGAAAAAGTAATTTTTATAACCTAAAATTTTGAAAAATTTGATTTCATATTTGATGATATTAGAATTTTAGGTTTTTTAACAGTTGTTAATTAAAGGTACAAAATGAGAATAACCCCTGTATTACTGAAACAGCACCTCGGGTGGCATTTTTACAAGCACTGGGTAGTACAAGGAAAAGTTAAACCCCTAGAAACTGGAGCCACAGCAATTCTCAAATCAAAAGGAATACCAGTATATGATCCTAAAGATATAATATCCGAAAAGCGAACTATCGAAAAGTATTGTGTTACTCACGTTGTAGTGTCAATATCTTCATTTAATATTTGTTTGTAGAATACAGGTAATTGGTGAAAGAGATCTTCCCCAACCCCTGGATGAGACTCATCCAAATTGGCACGAAACACCCCTTTTTAAAGTCGGCAATAATAATGTGTTATTAGAAGGGTTGAATCAAGCTCAAATTGTTACGAATTCTGTAAAAATCGCGGATGATCTACCAAATAAGATTAATGTTGAGGCCTTGCCGAAGAGTGTGGATAAAGTAATGAAAAGCATTATTATGCAATCGCATGTATTCGATGCTGAGCAAAAGACATTGCCAAAAATTAAGGATCCGGAAAGACCTGCTTGGAACTTTCCTAGAATTTATGGAATTAGCCAAGAAAGGAGAAAGTATAAAATTAAATAAAATCGCTTAATACGAAATTATTAATTATCTTTTTTAGTAAAATTATTACGCACAAATTAATCAACCTGTTGGAGAATACTAGCGATAAGGATTTGGCTAAACAGAGGTATATTTTTGAAGATTTGTTATTTTCTTATCCATTCGAACGGAATGGTCAATTAGCCCAACTGGAAGTTTCCGGAAACGTTGTCATGACGTCTACAAAACCTCTTCCGCCTATAACTAACGACTCTTTGGAAAGTCACAACCTGCCTAACATTGATCCAATTGATCCGTTAATCACTTTTACTAAAGAACACATTTACGAATTACGAAACATTTACCGTAAGTATATTAGTATTTCAAAATTTATACGGCGAGTTACATTGTGTAATATTTCAGCGATTAAGTCAACAGTAAAGGCGCACCATCCACATACAATTTTTATTCACTTTGACAGAGAATTTGTAAAAAATCTGTATGAAGAAGAAGTTACAACAGAGCAAATTTTTGGTAGATCCCTTCTGCATACATTTACTGTAGCTGCCAGCTATGCAAGACAGAAATACGGGGTAAGGAATTTTTCCACGACGACTCTGATGTTTAAACACCATAATTGCTATTTAAGATTTTGCTGCGTCTTCCATTAATACAAATTGGTTCATTAGAGAACTAACTCGTTATTATTTATAGGATGGGAAAACTCTCGACGAACCTGTTACTGTACAATGTGTCCAAACTGACGGTAGAATCTTCCACTTTGGTGTACTTCAATTGAACACTTTGAATTTGTTAGATGCCAGTACTAAGAACGTGTGGTATCAAACACCCTTGCAATATTTGTTCGAAAATTGTGAATACGTTAAGGGCAAACCGGTTTTGGAAGGGTACAACAATCAAATTATACAGCAATTACATTCTTTTTACCGTAATGTATAAAACTGTTTATTTTTAAGTGAATTAAAACTACATAGAAGTTTATTTAATTATTTGAAATATCTATCTGTAACCCTGATCAGAGGCGCATGTTTAGTGCGGTTCAATACAAAATCTAAGTTACTCTGAATAAAAATCTGATATCAAATACCACGTCTGTTTTTAAAACATTTCTGATGTTACCATAAGAATTATATAATTTAAATTTGATTACTAAAGACAATAACAATTGAGTAGGATCAGTTAAGGCGCGGATACACGTGTCAAGTAGCTATTTATGATTTAGCTACTTGATATGTGTAATCGCGCCTTTAGTGTAGTAGAAATCATCGCTTTATGAGAATGAAAAAAAGCTATAAAAACAACAAAGAATAATATCCGCAATAGAACAAATACTGATGCGTCTGGACATATTTGAGTACTTTAATTTCGAAAACACATACACTCGCTATATTTTGGCTATTAGGTTCACTATGCAATGATTTTAAGGCGTGGGGACAAGGACACGTATCAAGTAGCTAAAGCAAGTTACTAAAACAAGTAACTAAAATATAATAAACTTAATAAACAACTTAACTGGAGAACTGGAGATCTTAATAGGGGTAAATGGTGCAACATTTTTTATATAATGACTTTTTTAAAATTTTATACCATTTATCCCCAACAGGATCTCCAGCTACGTTGTTTATTAGAGAGTGTATGAGTTTGCATCAGTATTTGTTCTACTGCCGATATTCTTTGTTGTTTTTATGGCATTTTTTTCATTCTCATAAAGAGATGAATTCTACTATGCAAATAAGTACACATATGCCCGTTTTATATTAAAATTTCGAGATATTTTTATGATCTTTGATTGCATCGAGATTATCTAAATGTTCCCACCAAAATTTCAACTTTTCTTTTAAAATCAAACGAAACCAAGGCGACAGAGGTTCTTTTATATCACTAACAAAACTATCTACCTCGTTTTTGCCTATGTAACGAACTTCTGCTATCTCATTTGGATTCGGATCGACTTCGACGTCGTCCTTAAAGAAGAAAATATAATCTAATTCGTGCTCTCCCCACGTTCCATCTGAAAATTTATAGAGAATCCTTGTAATATATTCGAATTTTTCTAAGGGCATGCTTTCAATGGGAATGCCGAGTTCGTAATTTAGTCTACGTATTGCCGCCCTTTTCACTCCCTCGGTGCCGTTTTCTTCGCCAGCCACTTCTGCTATGGGATGACTGCAGCAAGTGTTTGTGTAACAATTAGGATACGTTATCTGTAATAAACAATTTCATTATTATTTACACAGTATTTCAGAGAATGAACCAGACTAAAACAATGTTTGATAAAAAGGTAGAATGTGCATATACAGGGTGGTCAATTGTCAAAATTTGAAATTTGGTGTCTTGGGCATTTTGAATAGTTTATTTCTTAGACTTTAGTATCAATTTAGATTGAATAGTGGTGTTTTCTAAAAAAGAATATACTTGATTAATTTATGTTTTCATAAATAAGAAAATTCTGTGCCAGTCTAATATGCGGTCTACCCTAACGCATCTGGTTTACTATGCAGTCTACCCAAATTTATTTAATACAAAATATAACGGAAAGATTTTGAAAATTGACCCGTCATTAAGCAAAAGAAAAAAATTACTAGTATTGTATTATTTATAGAACAGCGTGTGGGCAATTCAATTTAATAAAATTACAGAAGTGTCAGAATTATACAGGGTGAGTATTTAAATACACTTGGGCGAAAATTCTATAAATATCTCTAACACCTTTTGTTATAGAAAACTCCATAAAATTACAGCAACTATTAAAAAATATGAGTAGTATTTTAATAGTTTTTTAAATAATAATAACAATATGTAACAATAGCATGACCTCATCTGCATTTTATTCGCGTTAAATAAAAACCAGCCTTATAGTAACAAATGAAAATTAAACTTGTTTTATTTCAATTAACCATTAAAAAAAGTCTAATCAAAAACTAAATAGCTTGTTATTTTAAAAAATAAAGCTTTTTATGACGCATTAATTAAAAGTTGTTCACACAAAGCAATTAACGAAAAACATGTGTTATTCGCTGTAGTAAAATGAACTAGTTCAAGCATATTTCAATGTCGAAATACATATATCTACAACTAATTTTGATGTATTCTAGGTATATTTTAATGACTTATGACCTTTACCTTCGTCATACTACGTTTTTTGTGCATGTATTTATCATTACAAACTCATTTCCATTCAAAATCTAAAGCACTAAACAGCTGTTTTTCTTGTATTAGTCTGAAAGAAATTTCAATGCTTACTTTGTAAGGAGATCTTTTCTGTAGAAGTAAATCTCCTTTCTTATTAAATAGGAACACGCTAAAAGCCCTGTGCAACAGTAATTCCCCGTTGTTTACCAAGTGACAGTTTTTTTTACTGGCCTTTCCGATAATTTTGTCAGTTTCGTCTACTAAGAAACAATTTTCATTCATCATCGCAGCTTGTTGCTGAGCATCCAAATTGTCCAACGAAGCTGCCCTACTCGAAAAGGACCTTCCCATTGATCTCATTACGGAACTTCTGAGTACTGTTAACATTTTGGCAACTCCTGAAAAAATAGTTTGAATTACTTACCTTTTAGAAATCATGTATAATTTTAAGCAGAGTAGAAAGTTTTTATTCTAAAGATGACAAAGTATACATTTTGTCATTTTAAAATTTAAATTCAAGGAGTGCATTTCAAAAAATTTCTAATACTGAATCCAAATTATTAAATGTGAAAGTGTTACAACACAATTTTTATTCACACTTATTTAGCAGGTCATGAATTTTGTTATTTGTACTCACTTTAAAATTAACACTAACTCACAAAAAACGACCCCGGAGTAAATTAATTATGATGTATGATCGCTTTCCGTAATTTGTAGTTTAAAAATGTTTTTAAAGATTTTTTCCATCATTTATATCATAGGAAACATGGTTTAGAGTTGTTTTGTTGTTGTTATTTTAACAAATTTAACGAAACTGTCACTGGTCGTTAAAATGGAACGTATATTTTGTACTAACTTGTACCAATATTAGTAAAAGTAAAAGGCAATAAAATTGAGCTGGTTGATATTTATGAACCAGGCCATTCTATTACGTCAAACGTCAATAATGTTATGTCGTTTATGTCACTTCCTTCCTGAATCTGTCAAGTTACCTAGAAGTAGCTTCTGGTTCAGCGCTGTTCAATTTTAGTGAAAAAATTGATTACCTCGACCAGAAAACTTAAAAAAATGGTAATTATAGCATTATAATAACATATTCATAACAATTTCAGTCATCTATCAAAATATTATTCTAACATTTTGAGGTTATGTCGCTTGACCGCATGGTAAATTTTTCTCCTTAATTTTTAGGCATCTGTAGAGAAAGTCAACCCTGAAAAACCAGGACAAGAAACCGCGTCAGTCCATCACATTCGTATCACGCTTACCTCTCGCAACGTTCGTTCGTTGGAAAAGGTGTGTTCGGACCTGATAGATGCCGCCAAGAAGCAGAAGCTCAAAGTGAAGGGGCCCGTGCGTATGCCCACCAAGATTCTGCGTATCACCACTCGTAAGACACCTTGTGGTGAGGGTTCCAAAACTTGGGATCGCTTCCAGATGAGGATCCACAAAAGGGTCATTGATCTGCATTCTCCTTCCGAAATCGTCAAGCAAATCACCTCGATTAACATCGAGCCTGGCGTAGAAGTAGAAGTTACTATCGCAGACGCTTAAACATCGTTTTTTACAAATATTTAATTTTGTATAATTAATAAAATGTTTTAAAACAGTTCAGACTTTTTTTATTTAATATCAGTAGTGATAATATTAATAATTTCGGATTATCTTCATGTGTGTTACGTCCGTATGGTTTAAAAGAACGTTTAAAGTTTAAACTATTAGTAATATTGTCTAAAGTTAGATTTAATTTTGGTCTTGAAGTGTCCACAGACCCATTAGGTGCAGACCTACATACCTAAAAAAGAATAATGAAAAAATATGACATTGACAGTTCATTTGACTTTGACATATCAATTTGTTTATATTGTGGAATGTGATTATACTTTTAATTATCCATGAATTCCGTAATTTATGGAGTACATTAAGTAAATTTAAAAAATATATCTTATTCCTTCCCAAAAATAGTGTTTTTAAACTAAATATGGCCGATGTACGAGATATTATGGAGTTGGAGAGACCCTCCACTCCGGAGGTAACTCGAGACATGATAATGGGGCACGATAAAGTGAAGAAAAAAACATCTACTGGCCCCAAAGTACCTCGAAGACCGGAGGGAATGCACCGAGAAGTGTTTGCTTTGCTGTATAATGATAATAAAGATGCCCCACCACTGTTCCCTTCCGATACTAGTAGGTGCATTTTTAAATACACGGCACGATTTTATTAAGTTGTAATTATTTATAGTTGGTAATAACGGTTACAAGCAAACTAAGATAAAACTGGGAATGAGAAAGCCTAGGAAATGGATGTGGATGCCTTTTACCAACCCGGCCAGAACAGACAATGCTACTTTCCATCATTGGAGAAGGCCTTCCGATGAGCCTAAAGAATATCCTTTCGCTAAATTTAATAAAGTGAGTTAACATACTAACGTTAACATAGTTAATATACTAAGGCATTTATCTTACTCGAATTATTACATTATTTTTAGAAAGTTGATATCCCAAAGTACACCGATGTGGAATACCAGCAGCATTTAAAATGTGACCGATGGTCGAAAGAAGAAACCGATCACTTAATGGAATTAGCCGAGAGATTTGACCTAAGGTTCATCATAATGGCCGATCGTTACAATAGCGAGAAATTTTCTAAACGATCTGTAGAGGATCTAAAGCAGCGCTATTACAAAGTAAAAAGGAATATATTATCCTACTTACTTTCAAGTAAACTAATTTATTGTAGATTTGTGGAATATTAGCCAAAATGAGCGGGGAAAAGCGGATCTACACTTACGATGCTGACCACGAGCGCAGAAGAAAGGAACAGTTAAAGAAATTGTACCAAAGGAAACCCGAGCAGATCGAAGAAGAACAATTTCTGATAAGCGAGCTGAAGAAGATCGAAGCGCGCAAGAAAGAAAGAGAAAGGAAAACTCAAGATTTGCAGAAACTGATAAGTCAGGCAGACAGTCAAAATGACACGCCTCGAAGAAGCGATAAAAAAATAACGAAGAAGAAAATCACGAATCTCAACAGACCTTCTAGAGTGGACACCAATGTAAATATGTACTTCTTTATTCTACTAAAGAAACTCAATTATTTAAAATAGCATTTATTGACTGTAGAATCTCATTATGTAATTGAGTTTCTGTTTAGTGTATGTATATATTTTTTTGTAAGATTCTTGTTCTTGTCTTGAAAAGGGGGCAATCATACTCAAGTGTTTTATTTTAACAGCATATTTTACAGAGTATAGAAAGTGCAGGTATCAAATTCCCCGATTACAAGAATAGCGGTGTATCGTTGAGATCGCAGAGGATGAAATTACCCGCAAATGTCGGTCAGAAAAAGTCCAAAGGAGTCGAACAAATTTTACAAGAAATGGATTTGGGTAAAACTTTAGATATTTGTTGCAATTTATTAATCTTATATGAATCCTTTCAGAATTAAATCCAACACCTTCCGAAGAAATATGCCAGCATTTTAACGAACTGAGAAGCGATATGGTATTGTTAATGGAGATAAAAAGCGCTCTAGGCACTTGTGAGTACGAATTGCAGTCACTGAGACATCAATACGAAGCTGTTAATCCTGGAAAGGTGATAATTCTTTTTAGTTATTTAAGGTAATTGTATTAAATGCATAAATTTTTAGACGTTATCCATTCCTCCGCAACTTATGCCTAACACTACAGAAGTTGAGGCCAAAATAAACACCAGTGAAATAATCGATGTGGTTGGATCTCCAGAAACACAATCTAATATTTAAGTAATTATATTGAAATGTTTAGTTTGATTTAGTAATAAAATTTTCCATTGGTGAATTCTACTTCCATAATTATAATATATTTTGACCACGTTGGAGTTTGTTGTAGAGAAATCTTTGTAATTTGTTATAATGAAACAAGAAGGTAGATCATAAACATATTTAATTAACTTAAACAAGAATCTCTAAGGGATTAAATACCAAAAATTCTAAGCCATTTATTTAAGGAATGGTACAGTTCAGTACGTTGGGAAGAACATATTCAACAAAATCGCTTTTTTAGCATTATTTTAGAAGAAATTTGTTGCACTATTACCTCAACATTCTTAGCATTCATTTACTATTCTGAAGAGGTCAAAAAAATTTATTAGGGGCACCATTTTTGACAAAAATAATAACTGAAACCAACTTAGCACATGAGTAGAGGTGGATAAAGAAATAAAATTTTTGAACAGATCACATTAAAAGCCTTACATAAAGTAAGAGTATACTTAAAAATAATACACATTGCAGGTTTTTATTTCTGTAATCGGTTCAAATAGAAAAGATAGTGCACCAAAAACTCCATTTTAATTTTTGTAATCGTTTAAAATTGAATAGGGAGGAATTGTAAAGTATCGAACCTTTATAGAATAGATGCTTTTTGGATATTGCAACAGCGTTTTGTTTCAACTTAAATGATATATCTAATTACACGAAATTACTATGATAGTTCTCTATTAAGTATAATTAATCTGTTGAATAACATGCATACATCAATTTTAAAATAAATGAGATATCTTTATAATTGAATGCTACACTAGAAAAATAACTCGAGATTGCTATTTCCCATATATTACTTACAAAACACCATAGATAATACTTTGCTGACGCTGTTCAGATAATTTTCCTCGTATTTTTTTTGAGAGAAATTTATGTTACACAAAAGCAGAGGAAATTCATCAAAATCAGCAAGAGACTCTAAACAAAACATATATTCAATTTGGAAAAGATTTTTAAATCCTTAGCGACACATTACTTTGCATGTGATTTGTGATAAAACGAGTATGTGCATCTGTACAATCTGCTCTAACATGTATATAGATAAAATATTTGAACTTTTCATGTATACGAATTCGATCCAACAAACATTTACATTCAAAAACCCACTCTAAAATGAACAGAATATGATTTTAATAATTTAATGGCAAAGAAGAGAACATATGGATTGGACTTTATGAGAAGTCGAAAAAATCATTTTGTTGGATTTAACCTTAAATAGAACATCGTGCGTTCAATAATCGTTAAGAACTCCGTAATCTCGAGAATTTTCCCTGCTAGTGGTCTCCAATCTCGCTTTCTTCTTAGATGGCTCGTGCGATAGGGGGCTCGTATCTCTCTTTTTCAAATTCTAAAACGCAAAAAATCTGTAATTTAACTTAGGACACGTTGGATTTACTCACATATTTCTTGTCCCAATGTTGCTGCATATATTTTAGTAATATACTCGTCTTCTCCGTAACGATAACTAAAATATTACATCGAACCAAATATGTAACCTAATAATAAATTGTGTGTTTACAATGTGTAACTTACTTTGCTCAGCAGGATAGTCTTTAGTTGGCACGTACACAGAAGGTCTTTTAAGTGGCGTTCTATTATTGTTATCTACGTGGAATTTGGTGAAGTTATTTGCGTTGTAAGAAGGCAAACCTTCCAAAAATCGTGATATTGACTAAAAGAAAGCAGAAATTACTTACGACATTCTCGGTTAGGGTGCGTGTTTTACCATTATTTATCCCAATAGAATAATTTTCTGTTCGATAATAGTTACAATTTCACATGCACGAGACTTTGGTGTTGTTATTTTCTCCCATTCATCAATTTACTTCGCACTTCCCATTCGCCAATCGCTAATCTCACTCTCACTAACCTTCCTTCCTTCCTATCTCTATTTATCCCAATCACTATCACTAATCACTACTATAAAATAGAGTTTTTATTTACAGTTTTGATGTTGGCGACATTGACGATATATATCTGTCACTTGTCGCTGTTATATATTTTTCTGTGTTAATAAAAAAAGAAGAACGAAGTGAAGAATCTCAATTTCTCAATCTCAAAAATTATAAGAAACTAGAAGCTAGTAGAAATTCATTTTTTTTTATAATTCAATCTTCAAATTAACGTAGCCGGTTGTCAACAAACATTCAATTTAGCGGTACCTTCCTTCAAATACGAAAATGTTGGTGAGTATCGCTCTAATTACATCAATTAATAAGCCGAATTCAAAAGTTACACAACCCTACTTTTGTTGCAGCAACCGCAAATTATCCTCTTTAAAGAAGGCACGGATACCTCGCAAGGTAAACCTCAGTTGTTGTCGAACATCAACGCTTGCCAGACGATAGTCGAAGCAGTACGTACTACATTGGGCCCCCGTGGTATGGATAAGCTCATAGTCGAGAGGAGTATAGGCAAAGCGACTATATCGAACGACGGGGCGACGATTCTGAAATTGCTAGAAGTAATCCATCCGGCTGCGAAGACTTTGGTGGATATAGCCAAGTCTCAAGATGCGGAAGTAGGCGATGGCACTACGAGCGTTGTATTGCTCGCCAGCGAGTTTTTGAAGCAGATGAAGCCTTATATAGAAGAGGGCGTTCATTCGAGAACCATCATCAAGGCAGTGAGGAAGTCTTTGAACCTTTGCTTGGAAAGACTGAACGAATTGGCTATTAAAATAGACAAATCGAACGTAGCCGAGTTTAGATCCGTGTTGGAGAAATGCGCCGTAACAACTATGAGCTCGAAATTAATCAACCAACAGAGATCGTTCTTCTCTAAAATGGTCGTTGACGCTGTTTTGCTGCTCGATGATTTATTACCCGTGAAAATGATTGGCATCAAAAAAGTGAAAGGAGGCGCTCTCAAAGACTCCTTTATAATCCCCGGGGTAGCTTTTAAGAAAACGTTTTCGTACGCTGGCTTTGAAATGCAACCGAAAGTCTACAAAAATTGCCGAATCGCTTTGCTCAACATTGAATTGGAACTGAAAGCCGAAAGAGACAACGCTGAAGTCAGGGTAGACAACATTCAGGAGTATCAGAAAATAGTTGATGCCGAATGGAATATTTTGTACAGAAAACTACAAAAAATCTACGAGTCCGGAGCTAACATTGTTCTGTCGAAATTCCCCATCGGAGATGTAGCTACTCAATATTTCGCAGACAGGTACTTGTTACTAGAAGTAATACTTCAGTATTACAATACTTATAAATGTTTATTATAATTTCAGGGACTTGTTCTGTGCCGGTCGAGTACCAGAGGAGGACATGAAGAGAACATTAAAAGCCTGCGGAGGAGCTGTATTATCTACTGTCGAGGATTTGAACGATTCGGCTCTAGGAAAATGCGAAGTATTCGAGGAGAAGCAAATCGGAAACGACAGGTACAATTTATTCAGAGGATGTCCGAATTCGAAAACGTGCACCATTATTCTACGAGGGGGAACGGAACAATTCCTCGAAGAAACTGAAAGGTCCTTGCACGACGCCATAATGATTGTCAAAAAAACGATCAAGAGCGTCGCTGTCGTCGCGGGCGGAGGGGCCATCGAAATGGAGCTGTCGAAGTATTTGAGAGATTATTCCAGGACGATTGCTGGTAAAGAGCAGCTCTTGATCGGCGCCATTGCCAAAGCTTTGGAAGTGATTCCGAGGCAATTGTGCGACAACGCCGGATTCGATTCGACGAACATATTGAACAAGCTCAGACAGAAGCACGCTCAGGGACATTGTTGGTACGGAGTGGATGTCAACAAGGAGGATATCAGCGATAATTTTGCAGCTTGCATTTGGGAGCCTGTTATCGTTAAACAGAATGCACTGACCGCTGCTACGGAAGCTACTTGTCTCATTATCTCCGTCGATGAGACTATTAGAAACGAGAAAAGTGCAGAGCCACCTATGGCAGGAGGTCGTGGGTTCGGGAGACCTAATTAATGATTGTTTTTTTTTCTGGTTGTTCGTTAATTTTTTCAAATAAATTTTCTCTTTTGAATTAATGAATCATTTTTAGTCAAAAATAAGAGCTACTGTGACAAGGATCAGATTTATTAGAGACCTCTAGCAGAAACAATGACTTTACAACAGAGGGAAAACTACAGAGGATCTCGGTGGTTACGGGGGTGAAAAGACCTGCCAGCAAACAACTACTAATCATTAAAAAAATACCAAATTTTAATTCAACGCTTATTACAAATGTGTTAAAATGTGCTTCTTTAAATCGGGCATATGTTTAGGTTCGTACTTGCATTTATGACAATGAAGTGGTGTGTTAATATAATCTTTGCACTGCTGTGGAGTGGGCAACGAAACTTTACCATCTGTTTCCAAACTTTCTCTAACATCTGCAATCATATAGCTATTAGCTTACTGATAATAATAATAGAACAATTGTTAATTTCTCTTACCTTGGGGGTTGAGGAAGAATGGCGTATTAAAAGAATTCCAATGTTTTTTCGTTTTTACACAAGAGGAATTCATATCATCACTTATAACGTGCAAATGCAGGTGGGCCATACTAGGTTCTGCATGATAACCGAATTTGAAAATTTTGTTCTTATGTTCTTCCAAGCTTGCTACCTCTTGAGCAATGTTTTCGATATGTTTCAATAGTTCAACGTGATCCTTATTCAAAGCTTTTAAATTGCTAATATCCTCTTTAGGAATGACTAAATAGTGAAATTCTGCTTTGGGATAGGCGTCTTTTATTACTGTAACTAAATCATCGGATTTAACTATATTTTTTGGATCCTTCATCGCGTCCATAAGCCCCATTGCCCAATGAGGTTTAATTTTTTTAGGTGTATTGCCTTCAATTTCACTTTTACGTTTACCCATTACTTCACAATTAAAATAATATTTCCTACTTAAACTCAAAATATAATTTTTACACCGAAAAATTGTTAATTTTTTAAAATATTGTGTGTGAGAATTCAGGCGGTTTTAGAGGTTATGAATTTCCATTTTCAAATAATAAAAAGAAGAAAATTATGTCATGTGATATTTAACTGGAAAATACAGTAATTGGAGACCAAATGGATAACTCTATTCAGGAAAGAAGTAATATTTTTTCATACATCCGTCAACTGTCACTCGAAGTAAATATTGATTTTTTGAAAGGCTATTTAAATTTATAATATTCTGGAAAAATGGATTTGGAAAATAAAGAAAACCAATCTGAAACCATTGAGTCATTAACCAAAGAAGCTGAAACGTTAAAAAAGAAACTGGAAGATGAGCGGCAGAAACTGAACGACGTTACACGTAAAGAATTATTTATTTTCCAACTACTGTTTCTTAATAATTGTTTTTTTAGTGGCCCAAGTAGCCGAAAGACTAGATATTATAAATTACATGAACATTAAACCAAGAAGAACACTGAAAGGTCACCAAGCTAAGGTTCTATGTTCAGATTGGTCGCCTGACAAGCGGCACATTGTATCTTCATCACAGGTTTCGTATGATTTATTGTTCAGAAAGGCTTGCATTAAAAGATTGAATGAATTAAATCACAATAACGTTATTCTCTCACTCTATCAACACCCGATAAGTTCACTCAAAGCTAATAATCATTCACAATTTTTTAATATAAGCCTTCATTCATTAATTTAGTAGCATCACTAAATTAATTTCTTGATTATTTATAACAGGACGGTAAAATGATTATTTGGGATGCTTTTACGACTAACAAGGAGCATGCTGTCACAATGCCAACTACATGGGTTATGGCATGTGCTTATGCGCCATCAGGGAATTTGGTTGCTTGCGGGTATTTTAAATATAATCCAACGGATAGAGGATTTACAGAAACATTTCACGTAACTTTTAATTTAATTATAGGTAGTATTTTCCTTTATTGTTAGCTGTATGATACATACATGGTGGCACATTAGTATAGAAAAGCTCAATATATCATCAGTTATTGTAGAAGATATCGAAAAAAAACTTCATTACAAAAGTTGCAGATCTTTTTAAGTTGCATATTTTAAAATTAGTTACATTTATATAGAGTGTCCCGTTTTTTTGTGGTAGACCAAACTTACTTTTTTAAATGGAGCACCCTGTTGTTTATTCAAGAATTTAGCTCGTTTTCAGCTTTCCAAAAATATCATATTGTATAATGTTATACTGAGTGGTTTAAAAGTTATGGCCACTTTTCCACGAAAATCGTACTAAGTTTAATACTCTCTATAAACTAAAGGGATTGAATTGAAAATTAATTTCAGGCTTCACAACATTGCAATAAATATCCTGAAAATGTACAAAATAAATATTTTTCGTCACTTTTAATCATACTGCTTACAGGGTGGATCCAAACGCAAAAGTAACAATTTCTCAGTTATTTTTAATGGAACCCTGTATTTCATATCATTATATTTCGCTAAAAAATTAAGATTTCTTTTTGTAATAAACGAAGTACATTAAAGAAAGAACTAAGAAACTTCAATTAAACACTATCTGGTAAAAAATGTATATTTTTCCCCTATAATTGGATAACAAAAACTTATTTTCATAAAAATAGAACCTCTCAAAATCGTAAACCTCCTGAGTAAACCATTCCTGTAATGGCTTCATTTGGATTACTTCAAAGTTTGTGATTGTTTCTGTAATTCTCCAACGAGATCATAAATAAAAATGTTTATCAAACTCTTTTATAGGGGTTTAGACAATAAGGTAACAGTTTACCCGCTAAGTTTAGAAGAAGATGTTTCGTTGAAGAAGAAAACAGTCGGTACGCACACGAGTTACATGAGCTGCTGTATTTTTCCCAACTCCGATCAGCAGGTCAGTTATTTTGAGATTCGTATTATAATATCAATTCGTATTCAATTCGAAATGCTTGTGCAGATTTTAACCGGCAGCGGAGACTCCACCTGCGCCCTTTGGGACGTCGAATCCGGCCAGCTCCTGCAAAGCTTCCACGGCCACTCTTCCGATGTCATGGCCATCGATTTAGCTCCGTCAGAAACGGGGAATACCTTTGTATCGGGTGTAAGTATTTTACTGTAAGGAATATGCTTTAGAAATAATAATCGTGGATTTGTAATGGAAGAGTTGCGACAAAATGGTACTCATCTGGGACATGCGTACAGGGAATTGCGTGCAGTCTTTCGAAGGGCACGAATCCGATGTGAATAGCGTTAAATTCCATCCGAGTGGAGATGCTGTAGGGACAGGAAGCGATGATGCCACTGTGAGTATACATCTTTAAATCATTCTTTTAGGAGGTTTATTAAATGTTTAATTTTTTTAGTGTCGTTTGTTCGATTTGAGAGCTGATAAAGAAATCGCAATCTACAGTAAAGAGAGCATAATTTTTGGATCGAACTCTGTTGATTTCTCAGTTTCAGGTTTGTCTACAGACAATTTTCATCTCCAATAGATTAACTTACTTTTTGTATTATCTACAGGTCGTTTACTTTTTGCTGGTTACAATGATTATACAGTTAATGTGTGGGATACACTAAAATGCGCAAGAGTTTGCCTGTTATATGGACATGAAAATAGAGTATCATGCCTTCAAGTTTCTCCAGATGGCACCGCTTTATCCACAGGATCCTGGGATTATACTCTGAGGGTAATTTTTTTTTGTAAAAATTATATATTCGTTTAAAACTCGTTTGTTTCAGGTTTGGGCATAAGGATTTATTATAGTTTATTTATTTTAACTTTAAGAATATTGTACGCTTACCTGACATGTTGACAAATATTTTATGTAAAGTATGAAATCATTGAAATCATTGTATCTATAATGAGCGTTTAACTTTATGATATATTAAACATTTAAGATAGTTACAGTTTAGGAAAAAATATATAATGTTATACAAATATTTTTAGAGTAATTCGAAATTAAATATTTAAGAATTTTCATTTAGTTTTAATTCATGGCCACTTTTGAGTAATTGCTGGAAAGGAAACGGGACAAGGAAAAATCGATAAACTTGTTGAAGGTTTATTGAAAACATGGTAGTAAATTTGAATGAGATCTTTCAACGTAGCACAAAAAGTACTATCAAATCTCTTAAAAAAAGCTTATAATAATTTAGAACCATTTTTGCGCCTTTAAACTTTTCTATGATCGTTTCAAAAATCAACTAACAAGATTAAGTGTTTTCCTAAACGATCATAGAAAGTAAAAAGGGAATTCGAAAACGGTCCTGGTCCTTCTGTGGAAGTGTTACGTCGTCAAAAATTCAACATATTTTCAAAAATCTTGAAAGATGATATATTTTATCATTTTTTTTTGTAACTGACCAACAATATTTTTTGTGCAAGCACCATATTTTTTTAAATCTAAATTGCAAATACTAGAAGAAATTTTTCGTTTGAGATGGAAATCGAATAATTGACTTTAAACTATCAACTTATAAACATCAAAACGGAAAATAAAAATCTGCTATTCCACTTCAATCTCCGTCTCAAATAGACAAAATGGGAATTTTAATTCAATTATCATTTTAACTATAATATTCCAATGACTTAAAAATAATATGTCCGATGCTTTGGGATTCTTTTATTTTTCTTTACGAGTAAAAAATAAATTTGTCCGTTATTTTTAAGTCATCTATTTTACTTTTTTTTAATAAATCTAAGCCAGCTACGCGTAAAATTTGAATAGAAAGTAATGAAAAATCCGTCTAAACTACAACTTGGCCAACCACAGCAGCTATTTCGCTAAACCAATTCTACACCAATCGGAAAGAAGGGAATTCGACTAGCAGAAATGGCAGTGATGTAATATAGCGAATACATTTTATTAAATTCATTTCGCGGATAATCCAGCGAAAGACTTAATAAGATGCACTCACAATTAGTAATTTTTTTTTTACAATTGAATTATTCGGATTAATAACGTCAATCTGAACGATTTGTTTTCTTACAATACGACGAAGTTTTGGAAGCACATTAGTTCGCCTTTAAGTACCTACGAAATAAACTCATCTGCTAACACAAATAAAAACATCACATCCAAAGTAAATAAAAGCGGTTCCGAATCGCCCTTTCGTCGTGCAATATTCTTTCGTTAAATCTCGAAAAACCAGACGACGAAAGGGCCCTTCGGAATGACAAATTTCGTTACACAAAAACGAAACATTTTGTACACAAGGCATATTTTTCTACTCATTTTTTCAACTTACGCTAATTACGATTGTTCGAATCGTTTCATTTTGAATAACTACACTGTGGTTCGCCGTGGAACTCAACGAACAAAATCCAAACGGACGATTGAGAATTCGTTCTGTTTCTCTTATAACATTTCAAAAATTTTAATGTCTATAGTAGCGCCGAGCGGTGAAATAGAAGCAGAGCCCTACTAGTTTCGAAGTCTACTAGTACCGATTACGAAAAATACACGGAGTGCAATAATTTAATACTATTCTTAGTACTTTTAATTGTTAATACAGACGCTATACGGCGCCGGAGTAAATTTCGCACGCTTTTAGACTTCAAATCGCGTCTATCCTAAATTTAATTTCAACGAAACGCGAAACTTACTTGGGCTATCATCGAGCCTGTCTGTTGTATTTTCTATTAGCGTCAGGTGCCTGCATATTATCCAGTAATTATTTTTTGGCAATTTTCTTTGCCGAAAACGATTTGGCTGGTGTCGATTGCCAAACGATTTTAGCCAATTTAAATTCGCAGTCGAGATAAAACAGTAATTACATCGAGCAAATAAGGAAGATTAAATTCGGGATTTTGAGGAATCGGTTCGACATGTCAATTCAAATATTTTTTGAGTTAATCGATCTTTTTGTTCAAATTAAAATTGTAAATATACGATTATAATAATGTAATATGGACGTCATATTGCAGATTTGCTTCATGAAGTTAAATTAATGTAATAATAATACAATTTATATATGTCCGATCGATATTGAGAGCGTTGCAAATAGATCATAGCTTTAATCATAAAAACAGATTATTTTTTTTAATTAACAAATTTACACAAAAAATAGAGTAGCAATTTTTTTCGACTGTGCTTTTAATTAAATTTGTGTACCCAAAACGATGTTTTGTTTGTTAAGGCAGCAGCCGTAATTAAATGTTAATTTTCATTTGATATTTATTTTGGTCCCTGAACGTTAGCAAATAACAAACTTTTCCATTTTCTCAGTTAAAGGTCTGTAGGCGTGTTCAGTGCGTTTCTAATTAATCCTGCTCTTTTCTTTTCAGCTAATTATCTGCAACTTTGCCTTCTCGTTATCCTATTTAAGATATTCCTGCCTCTTCGGGTATAAATACAAAAACAAGTTTCTAAAAGCACAAAAGCGATTGCACTAACCAAGTAGGTAGAAATTTAATTAGCATAATTTTTAGTTTACTGTCTTTATCATCACAAGTACTTTTCATTATTAATAAATCACAGCAATATTATAAACATTCGTTGTTGTTTTTCAAAAAGTCTAATTTATGTGAAATGATCCCTTAAAAATCCTCAAATTTAACGCAATAACCAAAGAAACAAATAAAGGAACAAAAAATAAATGTCGTAGCAACCATTTTATTGTTAACAAAAAAAAAACTTAAATTAAATACTCTTGATACATATTACTATATTATATAAAACAGAATAATTATTGGAAAATATACAGATTTTAGACCTCAATCTATAAGTCTATCCTCAGAAATATATTTTTGGAAATGGTGAAGATGAAGCACTTTTCAATTTTGTTATTTTCATTTACCCAGTGGAAGCGGTTAACGAAATATTCTTAACCATAAATGTCAAAAATGATCAAGTAATTCCTTGTAAATTCATTATCCAGTAATGTAGTTAATACATTAATTTAATCAAATATTTTTGTAATGCTTTATCCAAAAATTGAAAAAAGGCAAAACATGAAAATGCAAGGAATGTACAAACAAAAATTAATAATCTGGAATGATACAACACGAAAAATTTGAATTATGAAAGCAAAATAAATTAAAATTTACCAAATATGTTATTCACAAAGAATCACTATTTAATAGTTTAAATACCACGTTAAACTAGTTCTCATGCAATATACAATATTAAAAATGTAGTAATTTATTGCTTGTTAAAATGTTCTGTTATTAATAATCGGTGTCTTTCAAGTGATAAAACCATTTCAATTTGCACTAGCCCTCGATAGTGCAGTATTTTTCTACTGGTACTTTAAATACTTTTCTGGAACGAACCGCTACCACTTTATCACAAAAATCGAAAAATAATATGATGATAATATGTAATACATAAAATAAAAAATAAACAGTCCACAAAAAAAAACTTAAATTTTCTTTAACAATGCGTAATAATATGAACAGGAGTGTACATTTTTACTTTTTCTTTTTACTTTTTTAAATCTTATTATGTTATAAATATATATTTACAATGGTATGACGAGTGTTTACATTAAATATCAGCCGTTTTAGTAGCATAACAATGATTTTACATTATCTACATATATTTATTAAGTACTAAAAAACTCGTTTTTAACAAAAAACTTGCTTCAAAAATATAGAACACATGCAATATTTAATTTCTACAATAAAAAGGCTGTTATCTAAGGCAAACCGAGTCGGAAGGCTTTGTAACAATTTTCAACCTAACCTAAAATTTTTAGTTTTATTTATTTTTTTTTTGTTTGTACAGTACCTCCAGATTTGTTGGGGCGCGCGATTTGTGGCCGTGTTAAGAGTCCCAACAGCACAACATGAATATTTTAAAACCTTTATGACTTCTAGCTAGTTGTTGTTTTTTTTGTTAAATTTTTCTTCAGTACTGCTTAATTTGCTGTTTTTTATTAGCTTGTATACTTACTAGTTATATTCACTGTCTGTGCCTCAGATTTGCATCTTTCCCGTGATCGGGAGTATTTTTTCTGTAACAAAGAAAATATTAACTATTTTAATTATTTATTTATTCCTATTATTCGTTATTTAAAAGAGAAACAACCTGCAGGAAGTTAAAATTATAATATACATACATATCTAATATGTGGACTAATAAGAAAATTATGACAGAAAAGTATTTTTTTTTAAATTGTAACACCCTGTAGCTCGAAAACTTAGGACATACATTGATATAAACTTTTCTTCTTAAAATCATCCAAATATTCACATCCTGAAGTATCGGCACTCAATTAATTAACACCCTGTATATGAAGGACATATTGCAGGAGCCGTAGAATGTATGCAGTTGACATGCGAATTATTTTTTATGGGCGTGAATATTTTAAAACAAATTTAATATCGAAAGCCCGCATTGTGTAAAAAACCGACCAGCTTTCGAGCGCTTGGTCATGTCGAAAAAATTGTGTTTGGTCTGTAAAATACTTGGATAAAGGCCAATGTCACGTAATAATCGAATCGGCGCTCTGGCGGTCGATTATTTTTAGCTTTATGATTAAAAATACAAAAAAATCCCGTTACAATAATTATTATATTTAGTGCAGTTTTAATACAAAGCGCGACCGGTCGATTTCAAGCTGCAATAAAATCCTGAATCGGGATGAATCATTTTGACTCTGTCTATTACGATCAGTTTTTTTCGGTAAATTGAGCTCCAACACCCCGGGAATTTTAAATGATTATTTCTAATAATCGAGCTATAGAAGAACTCACGAAACTAGGAAGCAAAACATGTACTTACTGGTCTGGACTTTGGTCTGTATCACTTTCTTCGAGTTCGGTCTTATTGCGTTTTTTCTCGTAGATTATAATAATGGCACATAATGCGATAACTTCGGCGCAAATTCCTATGAAAGGCCATAGGGCGGCATATTTGTCTGAAACAATACAATGCAAAATGATTGTTTGGAAAAAAAAGCACAAAAAAACGTGTTATTAACCTTTCACTCTAACCATACACTCCGAGCTGTCCGAGGTATTCGTAATGAGGTCCACACCTAAGCACGTCACGGTTCCTCTGTCTTCCTTTTTTATGTCCGATACTGTGAGCGCTCCGTTTATCACCAATTTTCCTTCATCCGTGTAGTTTTCGACGGTAACGCGGCCTTGCGATTCGGTGTAAGTTTCATTTACTAAAACAAAAATACCAATAATACAGAACAATCTGTTCAAAGCAGTTACAAAAATGTTGATGTACTCATGTTGATAAAAATTTTGTTCAGAAGATACATGCCACAGTAATGGATGGGATGTTGACCAAAGTCTTGGGAATTGTGCTTTAATTAAATTAGGCAAAAGTTATATGCAATGGTGTTGGTGACAGACAAGTCTTCACATGTTTATGCAACTATCCAGTGCAACAATGTTCAGTCTGATTCAGGTGTTTGTCATTGTTGTCATAGGACTGTTTTTGTAACCATGGAAAACGCAGCAAAATCTGAGAGCAATATTTTCTTTTTATGGAAAAAGGGTGAGGAATCATCAGAAATTATTCAGCCTATACAAAGAGTATTTGGTGAGCCTAGAGAATCCAAAAGTACCTGTTACAGGTGTTCCACGGTTACAAAAATGGTGCTATGAAAATGCATGAAATCAGGAAAGACCTGAATCAGTCTAAACAATGTTGCACTGGATAGTTGCATAAACATATCAAGACTTGTCCGTCACCAATAAGACGGAACTATGTTGGTCTGGATAGACAAGGTTTGTCTGACACCAGCAACATTGCCTATAAGTTCTGCCTAATTAATCAAAATTCCCAGTACTTTGGACTGTGTTAATTTACACTGTAATATTAACAAAAAATTCTGATATTAAACATCTAGGTGACCTTATGTAATTTTTTTATAGAAAATTTTGAAGGAACATTCTCGTTCACATGGAAAACGTGTATGTTCTAAACAACCATTTTCCATATGTAATGTCATGTAATGTCATTTTAATGACAGAAACAATGCATATTTTATGTAGACTGTTCATTATGAACTATAAAATTTGTTTAATGACTATTGATCTGAATTTAAGTAACAATTCTATAGTTTGTCTCAAGGTATTTAGAGAAAAACAATTTATAAGTCCTATCAGTCCCTGTCTGTAAATTAAAATTTGTATATAAACATGACCCTATTAAATGCTTAAAAGTACCATGGTAATGTAAGGTGTTAAGTACTTAGACAAATTGTTATAATACATAAGCTCACAGTCTTTATTTTATTTTCCTAAATGTTTTGAGACAAATTAAACATATCTAATTGAATCAACAACTTGTCTCTTTCTTCATCTAAATCTGCATAAGTATTGCAGAGACGTAAAGAACCCCGTATACTAAAAATCTGTTAAATATTTGAAAGTTAGTTGAGACAAACAGAAATTATTTTACAAATTACATTGAAATAATTGTGCTATAATTTAAACGGTAAAAATACATTTTTCTACAAATTATACTGAATAAACAATGTCAAAAAAAACTTCATGGAGCGAAACAAAAACAACTTCCTTGAAATTTTAATCAATATTTCCACGAAGCAATAAAACGGGAAATTATACATTTCCTTAGAACCAAATGGATAACTATCCACTTAAGTGATAAAAAATGTGTAATAATTTGTATTGTACTTACAGAATACCCACGATATCGTTGGAAATCCTAAAATTTTACAATGTACTCTTAATTTTTCTTCTTCTACTACATTTATATTTGCTGGAACTTTAACTAAAACTTTTCCTAAAAAAAAAAAAAAAGAATAAAAATATATAAATTTTTCATTCACATGTAAAACATCGTATTGTATTCGAGAAAGTATTTTTAGAAAAAAAATCGAGTTTTATAAATTGACGGAATTAGAATTATTACTGTTAATGATTAGATAAATAATTCAGTCCAGTCGATCGTCGTTTCGATATCTCTAAATAGATTTATAAACGAAAAATTCGAGGGTTGTCGGCACCGCAAACAATATACTCGTACATCGATACGATTCCATTAACCGTATTTTTTCATGCTTTTTGTTTAACTAGGGACCAAGTTTATTGCGACGACGAATACACCCAATCAATATTGTATATTTTCGTGAATTCGTTGAACAAATCTATAAACTCGCATCGATTAGAGGCTCGAGTCGAGAAGCGTTTAAAGGCGAGGTCGCGTAATTACCGAGTGCATAAACGTTAACACCGCAAATGGAAATTTCTGAAACATAACTTAACTTCCAGGAATAATATTTGAACTAGACAATTACGTTAATTAAACGAGCAAGAGCTGCATAAACCCACCGTACGTTAATTGAATTAAAGTCGGAGGAAAACATATTTGTTAATTTACGAAAAACTAATTATAGTTGTATACAAACAAAAACTCGATTTTCATTCTGTTTCTGTTACGTAAACTTCTCGACTCATCAACTCGGTGCATCCCTAGCAATATCTCGTTTAAACCGTGTTTATTGCGGCGCAACAAAATTCTCCACCGTAATAATAATTTATTTTTGCATCGTATTTTACCCTTAATCCCTACCGGAATTCCACATCGAAAAATAGCAGTACTTAATACTTGTGAAATGGATTTAAATTAATTTCTAGTAGAGTAATCAGAAGAACGAAATTTGAAAAATAACGATTTTTTTGTAACGGTCGTTAGTCCACCTCTAAACTATAAAGGATTCCCACCTCAATTAAACTTCTGTCAATCGAAATGTCATTAATGTAAATTGACAATTTTGTTTATGTATCATCGAATGCATCTAAAAGTCCCACTTATCGTAGAATAGAAAAGGGTGTGGAATTCCGAGATATTTGGAGCGTAATGTCGATACCGAATTCGGTAAATTCGGTGCAGGGTTCCGGTGCGCCCTTCATCCGCATATTCTTTCATTCCTTCACTTACTTCTAACTTCAATCGAATCCGAAGATTCCGGCGTGACACACGTGTAATTCCCGGCAGCGTGTTCTTTCGGTTCATTTACTGTCAATGTGACAGCGTTATTCGACGCGTCGTATTTCATTACCGTCTTGAGGTCTTCTATGGCCGCTACCTTTGTGCCGTCCTTATACCTGCAAACAAAAATTTTAACCTAAGTACTTGGGGTAAATTGAAGCGGTTTTGTGCGAAAACGGGCGATTTTATTGACATTATTGACGTAGAAAGTGCAGCCAATAAACTCGATTAGAATGAAATGTTCGCTTCGGGAATATTCCGCTCGCTTTGGAATATTTTTAATCTAACCTCGTTACTATTTTATATTACGTTTATTTATAAAAAAAATGTGATAATATGCTTGTGTAATGATTAGAGTGTTTATAAGTAGGTAATCTGTGGATTCTTAACAATTTTTTTGCGATTATAAATAGAATTTCATAAAAATCTATCTTGATTAATATTTAGACATAAATTAGATCTAATTTAGTAGCAACCCTTTTTTATAATGATGCAAGGTTTGTAGAATTTTATATAAATTACTGGTTATATTTAATGTCGTTAAAATGAAATTACAGGCAAAGTAATAATTTTATAAGTTAGACACATAAAATCAGTGAGTGATGGTAATTCGCGCAATATTATTCCTAATAGATTCGAATCCATTTATGGGGAAATTTTATCGATGCAACTCATTAAAAGTCGTAATAAAGCTCGCAACTTTCATACATAGGATGATTGTTTTAGAACTGAAATGGCCATTTTTATCTCCGCGATTTTATTCGTTCGAATTAACCGTTCAACGAAATAAAAAAACAAAAATGACGAAGCTCTCAACAAACATTATTTCCAGCAAATTTACAAGTTGATGAAGCTAAACATTTAATTAGAGCGTCGGGAGGCTCTCGATACCAGAAGCGACATTGTCGATAACGTTTTAATTACTGTTGATGAGAATTCCAAAAATAGATTTCAATTTCCACATGAGAACGACAACGATAGTTTTTTCGCTCGTTGATTTTTACACTTTTTTAACGGTTGCATTTGGATGAAGCGATTTTTTTCGAATGAACAGCGCCCCATAAATTAACCGAACAAATTCTACCGATTATTCTTTAGTCACTTTTTTTGCATTTGCTTAAAATATTTCAAAATATTCCAAGATTTACCATGTAAATAGTGTAAAGAACGCGTAAATTTAGTGTGTGATAATAACTCCTGCCACAAACAACAATAATTAGAAAAATCCTGATCTATAAATACAAACCTCTCATCGGAGTAAAATGCAGACAAATAACCTATTTTTATTACAAATTGCAAACAAAATATTCGCGCATAAATGTCTTTAAAATGCGATAAATTTTAATTGGCACGTTGCATTTTGGGAAATTCGAATGTGGAACAACAAAAAAAACGCAACGTAAGCCGCGTGTGTTTTGTGTATACACCTCGGCGAAACGGACGACCTACCTATCTATTAATAAGCCATTTAAAAATAACCATAAATACAAAATTCACGTATATAAAGCGAGAAAACAGAAGAAACGGCCAAGATCGTTTCTGTGTAAAAGTCGATTAGAAATTTTTAACGTGCTTCGATAAAGTAAACAAAGACCTACCGATGCAACAATACTTCGTTGTGTATTCTTCCATTGTTCGGTATCAAAAGCGAGCGAGATGTTTGTTCGCATTTCAATTTTCGAGCTTAACAATGTGCCCGCATTATTTAATTATTGTTTGAAGAAAGAATTACCGAAAGGACATTTCTCCACAAGCGCTTTCGCTTATCAAATTTTATTCCTAAATTGAAAATAAAAAAAAATCGTCGACAACTTTACGAATAAAGCGATTCGATTAAATTTAACGTGTAATTATTTTATTTCATTTCATTCAATCAAATTGCCGGGTACGCGCATTTCATTCATGTAATTTACTTTAAAATTCCAGACCAATTTAGATTTGATATTAACTCGAACTGTAAATAGATTACAGCAGTTTCATAGATTTTCAATTAAATGCATTTATTTAATGTTAATTTTGATGCACAGCAGATCGATTGCTGCAGTAATTACATAAATGTTTAAATGCAGGAAATGCTATTAGTTTTAAAGAACATCAATATCAATTAATACCGGCAATAACAACATTTGTTTTACTAAAAGCGATACCATTATAAAAGTAATTGTTCCGAAATCTAAATATTTAAAGAAAGCGATTACTCCGATCAGAAATTCCCCCGCTGTATAATCAAACATCGGTTTTGCAACAGTTAATCGACTACAGTATATCAAAGTTTTTAAAAATAATTGACCACCTTCGTCACAGTTTATAAATTATACATAGTACCTACATATCTATAGTACATGAGACAACGTCGGAATTTAACAATAAAAACTTTATCTTATATCCAATATTGTAAAATTTTCCAAATGGCAAATATAGCGAGCAAAGTAGTCAATTTTTTCATACGCAGACATTTTAAAGAAAATACCACTTTAACATTCTACTAAATTCTTTGAGAATAAAATTTCATTGCGCATACATCGCAATACATTCCCTTTAAAACGAGAAACAAACCGAGCAGAGAGCAGGAAAATTACGAATGCCGTTCTCGCATTTCATCTCGCATGCAGGAAAAACAAGTCGAGTCCGTCGGCGTCGCGTCGCTCTTTGAAATTTCAATTCATCGGCGACTGTTTAGGCGTATTCACATTAAATTACATATGCATACAAACCGCCTCACCGCCTCTATTCGCATACAACGTTCTGTATATACATAGATGTTCTCGGCGAACGGACGAAAGATAATTAAATTGTAGTATGTTGAACACAATGAGGATGAATAACAACGTCGCTACGTAATCGAGCAGACGAAAAACAAAAACATTTTATACGCCGAAAACAATGACCAGAAACGCGGATAAGCGTTTTGATAAGAATTTTAACAGTAAGCAAATTGTTTAGGCATCAAATACTAAATAATTAAACTAAGTGGTCACCATGCTGGAAATAAATACAGATTGGAATCATTTAGAGAATTATGACAAAACTAAATGAGTAAACAAAATTTAATCTTGTAGTTGACTAATATTGGAAATTCCATTTACACACATCTGTGCTGAAGTTGCCTAAATGCTTTTCCCCATAATTTTCCGTTTAGGGTTCGGGAGATCTTATAAATTTTTTATTCGTCAAACTATATGGTGAAACACCCTCTTATATTCTAGAAGCATTTAGGTTTTTAAATCGTTTCTATCCGCTATAGAAAATACAAACTGTTAGGATAAACAACGGAATATTAAGCGATAGAAAACGAGGAAATACGTCCGTTAGTGTTTTTATTGGAATAGTGCAAATATCAATTACGGCAATGCGAACGCACAACACAAATAAACCCGCGAGCATATAAATCATTCAATTCGAATAGCCGTTGAAATCTGTTGATTGGATATTGAAAGCGGTGGTAACAGAAAGAGAAACTGTTTTGTTGGTTTTAATGAAGCGATAAAATTAAAAATAAAACTAAGTACCCACAGTAAAATAATCGACTAACATTGCAATCGAGGGAATACTGCGAGAAATACACTCTGTTACATATAGCAAATACTCTATTTGGTACATCAAAATATTACTGCTTTATCAATTTGTAATGGAACAAAATGAACATGAATTGTTAATTAACCATTAGTCCAAAGCTAATTACTAAAAATTACAAAACCTATTTTATTATTAATTGAACCCTATTTGTATCAATTAAGTCTGGAACCGAACCCCTTTCACGAAGTTTAAAGATAAATGCCACGTAATTAATAGTTAATAAGTTTGAAAATTTACTGATGTAATTCGAGTTAAACTCAATCCAGGAAACCAGCAACTAACTCGCTATCAAAAGCCCTAAAATGCAGCCGTACTAAATCAATTCATTCTCTATGTATAGGTAAAATTGAAGTGCGAAAAGTTTTACGAGCTAGTTAACACATCGGACATTTATCGAGGAAAGTTTTGAATATATCATATTAGTAAAGTTTATGTCGATTTGTGCTTCCTCGGTAAACCGTAATTATATTTACTTCATTTCTATTACATGTATAATTGCATTATTAATAGAGGATTAATCAAAGTGCGTGGTTGTAAATACAGTGAATTGCATATTGCAATAAAGGGAGATTATGTGCTAATTTTAGATTCTAGGTCTATGTGCGAGGATTAATAAATTCCTAGCCTATATTATAAAATGTATATCCATAACTTACCACACAACATCTGGATTTTCATCTTCTTCAGAAACTTTACAAGTTAATGTAAAACTACCTTTTGGAGCGAAAACTATGATTTTTTCGCTGGCCGTTAATTGAACTGTAACAAAAAATGTAATTATAATAAAATGAATATAAAAATATAACATTACAAATACGACAGATAACTTTTATTAAATTAAAAGAACGCTTTATTTTCTCTGTTCTCAACGGAATTAAATTTTTATTGTTACTATCTAATAAGAATAATTTTATTACCATACTTAACAGTAATCTACGTCGAATCTACGTAATATGTTCAATATTACTCCAGAAAAATGCCATAATCGTAAAAGGAAAATTCATACAACATTAAGCGAGTATCAATCACATCTCGGCATTTTATCTCTGGAGTCCTGTTAAGGCTTGTTTGTTTTGTGGCTCTTCGTAAAAATTTCCTTTTTTTATTAACGCTACGACGCCTATATTAACCTAATATCTGTTACGCGTTTTTCACTATATGTGTAACTTCATGTATTTCATGTAATTTCATGTATTTTTTTATTAAATAAAAAGAAAAATTAAAGAAAAATTAAAGAAAAATAAAGCTTTTGCGGGAACATCGGAAGCATAAAACTGAATAATCTGTGCTATCTAAATCTACTCCAATTCCACTCCCTATCGCTTTGCCCTTGTTAAAGGATATTATTTTTGTGGCGCCGATATGTCAGTTACTTTTCCCGAGAAATCGGGAAATCAATCGACAATATCTAACCCGTCAGACAATTTTACCTGACTGTAGTCACACTTACAATTCGACTCAATCAACTGAATTGTAAGATTAGACTAAATTACAATTTACTTAATAAGAAACTGTATAATTAAGTTATACCAAAAACTTATTAATTAATTAATTCATTCAACAAGTTTAGATTGAGAATAGAAAACAAGACTTAAATGTTAATGATATTAATTGCCGAGTTTCAGGCATTATTTCAATTCAATTCTAATCGATTTAAACCAAATCAACCCCCAAACTTATACAAAACAAGTCATATTTTGAAATTATAATGTATTATTTCACTATAATTCATAGAATGGGTTATTTATGAAGGACTTTGTACCCTTTGTATTTCTCCTAAGTGTCCAATTACACTGTAAGACGATTCTTTATACATACATCCTCATAAAAAAATCAGTTCAATATGTTTCATTTTTATACAATATGTCGAATTCTCACCATATAGATTTTGATCAAATCCAATCTACAACCCACTCAACCTTTGAACTAATTTGTACAGTAAATAGAAAAGCGTATCATATCGCTAAGTACACAAATAACTAACCAATTAATAAAGTTTGAGGACGACAGTCGAGTAAGAGAATAATTTATGTAGTACAAAATGGCAAGCGTTAAAATTTGATCAAATAATTCGTGGAACAAGAGAGAATTAATTAATGCATGATGAATTACAAAATATTCAAAGCGCATACTCTAATTAATACTACCTATACCAAAGGATACTGTAATTAATACTATATCAAAGAATACCTACAAGATATTAATTAAGTTCTAAGTGAAATCTAGCCTTTGCAAATTGGATAGAGGAACTCTTAATTAGAACAAAATATTCCTATATCTATATTTACAGGCACGAGTAGAATGTAGTGAAATTAAAAGAAATTAGACGGGACTATGCTCTCATTTGAAAAGCAAATGGAAATTCTACGTTACAATGAACACAAATAGGAGACATAATTTCCTACTAATCAACAAAACCTACTTTGGAGCTTTTCAACTACAAATTACAGCTGAACAATGCCAAATTGGGAATAGCCAGCTTATAATGGCACCAAACCAAATCAAAATGTGGTTGACCAAATTCAAATTGAAACCCTCGATTGCATATTATTTAGGGTCAATGATTTATTTGATATATTTGAAAATGTATAATGAGCACGTGGTAGAGTAATAATTTAGAGAAAGAATTAAGAATAGGGAATAATAGTTAACTTTTTTAATTTGCTTATTCCATAGCTTCATTGAGGGGATGCAGAAAGGAAGGTCCTAGACTCCATAATTACATTCCCTTGAGGGCTCTAGCACCTGAATTATTCGAGGATAAGTGGACTTGCCAGTGCGACCGCCAGACTTAAGTCCTCTGGATTATTCGATTTTATTGAGTAAATACTCATAATTGTAAGTTTTTATTGTTTTCAGTAAAAGCAGACTTTCCCTTTTACTCCAACTATTTTAAATACCTATAATAGAAGTAAATTATGTAAATATTTAAATATTGTTTAGATTAATCACCTATGAACTTCCATTATGAACCTGTTATACGAAATAATAATAGGCAGTTGCGATGAAAGTGTGTAGCATTTGGTATATTTCAAAATTGGTAATAATAGAACAGGCCTAGTAGATAACCTAACATTCGATTGAAAGCGAATAAAAATACAGCCCATCTAAGAAAGCAAAATAGGTCAAAAATATATTAGATTCTTCAAGATTTCGGGCTGATCTGACCTCTGAAATAGACATCAAATATCAATTTTAGCTTAGGAAGTAACCAAATATCGATTCAGACAAAAATACTGAAATCCATAGTAACCTCGGGTTCCCCGACAAACCCATAAATCTAATTGTACGGCCACATTTCCATCGGTTCGTACCGCACCCTGAGTCATCCAACGAGTTATACTTTACTTACTTGAGACTACGGTGTTGATAAAAAATAGGAAATTCAAGGTAACGCACAACACAAAATTTTTCATTTTTTAATTTGTTTTTCGACCTAAATTCTGTACTACACCATTAACGACACCTTACTATCGCGGTACACACAACACACGCACACTATCTTTGTCGAGCTCGCATTAATTCTCTCGAAAAAGAACGATGTAAAATGGCGATAATCAACCAAAAGACAGTCACGAGCTGCTCCTACTACTTTACGTAATCTCCGACTCCGACACGACAGTTGGAGACCGTTGCGACGTTGCCTCATCGACCAAAACAATTTCCCGTCTTGCAAAAAACTCATGAAAGATACCTACATTATACCTTAAAAAACTTTTATTACAAGACATTTTAACACATTTTAAAATTATTCTTTTTTTTATTAGTCACTTCAAAATCAATAATAATTTTTATTGGAATATAATATGTTGTCACGTTACGAGTGTCGGAAAATTAAGACCATCTGGCAACTATGTTCGCGCAATTCGATGACGTCAAGAGTATGCGCTCCAAACAAAGCAGGGTTTTAGCAAATTTGAATTTTAATCCGGTTTGGCCAATGAAAATAATTTATCTTTATGGATGTAGAATATTTTAGGATTATCAAATTATTTACTCTTGCAATCAAGCATTCAATGACAAGTAATGCGTAAACTTTGCGTAATGTAATAAAGGAAAAAATGGTACTTATGTATGATTGCGAGATAAATGTAATAAAATGAAAAGTATCCATTGTAATTTAAATAGCGAGATAAAAATCGTAAAGGATTCAATTTATTGACGCACGTTATATTATCGTTACCTCAGTAATTATTTTTCATTTAAAAAGTTGGAAAAGATGGAAAAGAGGAAGAAGGTCAAGGACATTAGACAGCTTCACATTTGTCTTTTGTCTTTGTCTTTTTGTTCTTCTTATAAATAAAAAATAAAAATTGAATTCAATGCCTGCTCCTAACAGTAAAGGCCACGTGTTCAAGAAGAAAAAAATTATATATTAAATATAGATGGCTGCTTACAATAATTTGAATGTTGTTAGTTTGAACACTCAACTAAAGATGTCACTTAATAAAAATAATTCACAGAACCATAGAATTTCAAGGTACGGACATTCTGGGCTAATTTCTAGTATTTTTGAAACTTTTGTTGAATTAAAAGCAAAGAGGTATGTTTTGGGACTGCAAGATGAAACCATGGTCTACATTCCTTTTCTACTGGTGAAACAATATCCATAAATTTAATTTATTGATTTTTGTAGTGAAATCAATGTTACCAACAAGTATTACAAATTTCCCTACAAAATTACAAATTATTTAGATAACTCGAACAAAGTTTTATAAAAAAATTAGAGCAAGAAAAAAAAGAAAGCACAGAGCACGAAATTTAATTGGAAAATAACAATAAGTGGCATCATAAGAAGTTATATTGACATATCCTTCCATTTTATAGTAACCTTGTACGCTTGTACCGGACGAACGTCACGATCCGTCAAAATTGTCACAATTGTCATCAGTCAATCGGTTTTATCTAGAAAGTGATGAAAGAATTGTTGAAATCGAAATAGTTTCGTCATTGATAAGAAAGTCGCAGTCGGATAACTTGCTTTTTTCCGTCTTTTTAATTATGATTATTACTGCCTCTGAGGCTTTTAATTTCGATTCGAGTACTGAAAGTAATAGTGACGAAGCCATGCCTGCTATAATGAGTAGTAATTCGTAAGTATACCAGGGATTGTTTTGCTACTTGTTTTCAATGCCTATAGTTCTAATATTAACCTTGTGACTTGTGTATTTATAGGTGGATTCTATTCGAGTAGATGAATTGTCTTATTGCGCGTTAAATGCGTATTCTCTATTAATAATCATATTGAAAAATCCATAAATAGTGGCACAAAGAAACCAGCTGATCGCTAAATTAAATATTATCAATGTAACATTAAATGCAATATCGTTAAAACTACATTGAAACTAGGTACTTTTCCACTTGTAAGATTGTGTTCAAAGGTTTTTGTGCATAGTTTTATTTTTTTCTTTTAGTAGACAACACAATTTAATCTTAATTGGACAATTAATTGAACGAAAATACACGTTTTACAAACTGAAAAACTAATGGTTTATGATAAAATTGATAAACATATTTTTAGTAGTAAATACGGGAACTTTATGTATAAATTTAAAAATTGTAAACAATACAGTGTCATTGTTCTCTATTATCTAGTTCGAAATGAGAACTTTCAATAAATTCGAATTATTTCCATTGTTCAATATTTAAATGGCTGTCAATTTGAATAATGTATTAATAAATTAGTTTTTATATTATACACGCAGAAAATGCATATGGATCCTAATATTCAATTTGAAAATTGAATGATATGGTTAATAAAATACATATGTTAGGTTTAATGAAAATATAATCTGGATGAGCAATAGTGTTATTAAATTACTTTCAAAAGCTTTCGAAAATGTTTTACCAAGTACAGTTGGTACTATTTTTTTAATTATAATTTTACAAATTTTCATGCTATAGTCGACTGACATTCTAAACATTGTAATAACACGTTTATTACATTTTAAAAAATAATCTATTCAAATGAAATAAAAGTGTAATGTCATAAACTTATTACGTACACGATGTACTATGATAAAGTACCACTATAATTTAAAACTATCTTAATAAAGAAATCTGTGTATGTCCAATGAAAATTGTTATAGAATTTACGCTCTTTTGACCTTAAATGTTTCAGTTTTATCATCTTTTATCAATCTTAATAACACATACGTTGATTAGAAACCATGTACTCTTGCTCGTGTTTATCACATTCTTTGTAATGTTACACAGCTCTTATTATAAATTTGTTTAATAGGGGGTAACGTTAATTCGGTGAGAAAAGGGCCTATTTTTGAGATTTTTTTAAATGGTAGGGGTAATTCAAATTTGTTTAATTGACTATGGCACATTCAAAATGATCAAAAAAACTCCGCACCTGGTTATTTATCTAAAGAAGTTCCATACGAAATTTCAAAATTTTTGTGTTCAAAAATGACAAGTCTCAGAAAATCGCTTTAAAGTTTTGTATACTAGTGAATTCAATACTTATAGAACAATAGTCCTATAATAAATTTCTTTATCTCCGTTACTTTTGCTCCAATTTGTTTCAAATTTAAATGCAATCTTAAGATGTTATACAATAAAATGAAACAATAAAAATAAAAAGAAAAACTTTAAAAACGTGACCCCCTCAAAACGAAAAAGTCACATTACAACAAACTTGCACTTTTGTAAATATGAAATATTTTTTTTTCTTGTCAGGAATACCCTGTTGAGTAATAAGCGCTCCGCTAGTAGCGCGTCCGAGGCCGATTGCTACAATATGTCTCTGGGCGCCGGGCCTCTGTGGTGGTCCTGATGCCCCTGGGGAGGCCAGGGGCGCACCGCCGCCGCCGCCGCTGCGGCTAACTTTCCGTACGGCACGTCAACCATGGGACGCCGTCCTCAGGGGGCGCACGCTCTACGTGGCCCTGCCGGCCCAAGTGCTGCCGGGGGGCTCGCGCGAGGCCTTCGTCTCCCTGCTCGAGGCCGCCGAGGAGCAACTCAAATGCGAACACGTCGTCGTGGTATGACCGATTATTGTCAATTATCATCGTCGTTGTAGTTTATTTTTAATGGTATTTTCGTAGGTCTTCGCGTCCGATCGTCCGGACAGGGCCGTTCTGGTTAGAACGTTCATGTTCCTGGGTTTCGCCGTGCTGTCGCCCACTTCGCCCCTGGTGCCGCCCCCAATGGCCACCGGCAACGTTTGCATGCTCTACAACATCGAATAATCAAAGGAAAAAAATGCAAACGCAGCCTCGGACGTCGTGAGTTTTGTTCACTCCGCTTGGTTTTAATTTCTTCTTGTATCTTTTAACGAATATTCGTAGCTTGTAAGGTGCTTAGAATTGGATGATTATGTACGTTGTTTATTGTCAATTTGAATACTACTGTATTGTTTAAGGTACCCTTAATTGTCATTCTTTTTTGGATACTTAATGCAGTTTGTTAACTTCTGGTGAATTAAATTTTGTTTCAGTTATAACTTCAAAAATGGTTCTTCGCCAAATAAGGACAAAAATTGGATTTTTCAATTGTTTAAATGAGCTATGAAATATTTTATTTTAAGTGCATTTTCATCCATTTTAAAGCGAATTTATTTACATGATAATAATAGGCTAAGTTTGTCGTTTTTAATTTTTATTTCATCCATACTTTGTTTTTGGAAAATTAGTGTTTTTTTAACAGTTTTATCGAGTTTGTGTACTGTTTAATCGAAAATTTTATTTTTCAATTGATTTCGGTCACTTCATGGTTGATAATTTTAGATATAATTTTCGATGGTTAACATCTTTTAGGTTTAAGTGTATCTACATTGTGAGTATAATCTAGTATATTCGTAGAATGTGAACAAAACGAGACGATAAATAACAAATAAGTACGGAAAGTTTATTTAGCCCCTATTAAAAAATAAATAAAAAAAAATGTATAAAATATCTTAAAAATCTCAAAAAAATGTGTAGTTTTAGTCTAACATTAATCGCTACTTTAAATCACACCTAACTCTTATTCTTAGATGTGTTAATTAACTTTGCTAGTTTATTATAAGGTTAGATAATTCCTGTAAGTAAATAATCTTGGTTATTTTGTCAGTGTAATTATTATTTCTTGTATTAAACATATTAGTTACAAATAAATGAGTATTTTTATTCAATGAAATATACCCATCAAAATGGAATATCTAGTGTTACTTAATACAGGATGTCCCGCATAAAACCTGACAGAGAAGGGGAGTGTAGGGAGCCTAAAATATGTTGCTTAACCCAATTTTAGGTCAAATTGGTAGTGTCCATGACTTTATATTTTAGCCTTTTGCATAAAAATGACAAAGAATTAAAAAAAATAAAGTTTTAAAATGAAATTACCTATAAAATGAACTAATAATTTTTTAAATCGTCCATCAAGTAAAAAATTCTGTTACATTTTAAGGGAACATCGTCACTGATGAATCCTTTCAAATACATCAACTGATCTCTATTACAGATACAGTGTGTCCCTAGATGGTGTTGACGAGAAGAAAAAATCGTTATTCTAATTTTACAAAAAAATCATTCTTTATTAATAGTTCTGCTTGTCGAAAAAATAAGTTTTTCGTATTAAAATCTGGAATCTGATGTACAGGGTGATGCTGAAGTAAAGGATCATTAAAATGAGTTTAGAGAGAATAAGTACCATTATTAAACATTTTCAGAGCTACATTTTTTACAAGTTGTTTTTTCGTACAATACGTAAATAGAAATTTGTTCTAAATTGAATGTGGATTCCGAAAATAATTTTTATTTCAATATTAGGCAGTGGCATACAATTTTTCATCCAATAATATTCAATGTAAAACCATACGGACGCCTCTGCTAAAAATAATAAAATTATTTGTACAATAGAAAGTTCATCTCAATTCATAGAAAACGTGTTCCGAATTTCATAAATATATCTACAATAGTATCACAGTTATTACAAAAAAATGATTTTTAAAACTTTAACACCCTGCATCTCAAAACTTAAGACATTTAGGACATAGGTTCATATGAAGTTTTTTCCTTAAAATGGTTCCAGGAATCACCCCCTTAAATATTAGCATGTCATTTTGGAACACCTTGTATCATTTATCTCTAATAATACAAACTTCTTAATAACAAAGACTAAACGACAATTTTCAAAAAAAATAAGATAGCCAATCATTAGTTAATAAATTTGAATTAAACAGACTTTGTTTTAACTATGTTACAGACTGTGTTTATTAGTATTATAAAAATATGATGTAAAATGATGAATAATGCTTCTCTCTTGGAGAATTTTATGTTTTCCTTATTTATTAACACCCTGTATTGTAGACCAGATTCCAGATTTTAATACAGCAAACTTATTTTTTCGACAAGCAGAACTTTTTATAAAAATTACCTTTTTTGGGGATGAACAATATTTTTCCTCTCATCAACCCCATCCAGGGACACACACACCGTATTTTCCCTGGAAAAGGTATCATATCCGAGTCCGCCCCTGCCCGGTCCTTCGGCAGTTCCGATCTAGATAGTACCGTTTCCGATCCGCAGGCACCGCTTCACCCCCGACTAGCCACTTCGTTTGTTCGGTGAGAACTTGTCAGTATATTTGTTCTCATGAGGCCGGGGCGTAGACAAAAGGGGGGCATTTCAGACTCTAACTTTAGGGCCCAGTAGTTACATTTTCCACCTAATGCATAAGTACACATAGCGGTTTTCTATATCTAGGTACCTATCTATAGTTACACTATACATAGTACCATCCCCTGAAATGTAAATGTATTCCTATAGCGCTGTGTTAATAGGGAATAAATTAATTAAGATACAATGTAACATTTATAAGTACTAAAAATAAACATATTTTAAAATTTAATAACTGAACATAGTACTACGTTTATTTATCCAATCAATTTTAATAACGCTCAATTTCCTCAATACCTCTTGCATTTATAATATTAATTATTATTTTTCTGCTTATTTTTATTGGTTAATTAAACAAATTAATTACTTGAACAATAACTTTTTAATAAATTGAATGTATTAAATATCTACCTATTCAGTAAGTAAATACCATAAGTAATTTCAATTCAGTACCCAAGCAAGTACATACAATTCCGAATCGAATGTAAACAGGGGCCTACCCGAAAAAGGAAGTACTTATACCGATATATCGAAGAAGGGTTTCTGTTCGGTCAGTTCACCTGTTTGTTCCTCGTATTGTGTGCGGGTTCTATGGGAATTTCCGATGCGGATTGTCACACGCACGCACGTCCATACGCGTTTTTCTATACAACTCATTATTATAAGGCATTATGCCTCTCGGTTGTGTAACGTGGAAAAATAACGGGGCCCTCCGCAAAAAAAGGCCATGCGCAAAAGAGGGAGTCGTCATGTGGGAAACATTTTAATTGCTGGTATACTGTTATACAGGGTGTTCCCGAAAGATGGGATTTTACAACGGATTCTTGTACCTTGTTCAAGCCAATTTAAGCTCGTACATTCGAATGTTGGATATAACATAAATTATAGTAACTCAGTTAAATTGTAACTTTTCCCATTCCTGAAGCTTTAATCCACTCGACTGCAGAGTATGATTTATTAATATTTCAGAAAAAGAAATATTAAACCTTTCTTTTTGATCCTTATGTGCGGTTCTATCGATTCCACCTGTTTCTTTTTTCTGACCACTGCGGGGACAACAACCACAAAAAAACCGACGATTAATCTTTCTCAAGGTCTAGTGCAAGGGTTCATTAGGGCGTGTAACGGGAATCATCAAAGGAAATGGTCCGAAATGCCTTTCGCCCTCTTTTCGGGGTATCGCTCGTGTGGCTTGATGTCTTGGAGAAATCTTTTTAGGCCGGGCCCGAGAGATTGGGAATTGTCAAATAAAATCAAAATGTACAATCCCAATATTCAACTAATATCGTTGTTCTAGTTTATAGTATTTCCTTAGAGTGTAACAGGACAAATCATCTGGTAAAGAAAACTATTCTTATAGTATTAGATACTAAGTTGAGTTATATATTTTAATCGAAATTAGATCTCTTAACAACGGGCCTAAATCTTTCAACGTCAAGTCCCTTTCTTTGAAGGAATGCCTTACAGACCTAGTTTCTTCAGTGCTTCTTTGTATTTCAGGTGTGAAATGTGAAAATAATATTCGGGCATTATTTGCTTGAAAGGCACTTGTATTAAACTCGTAATCGCCAGACAGGCTAGATTTTTTTAAAAAAGGGCTTTTTAGGAGGAAAAAGGATAGTTTATAAAAAATCGAGATACCGCAGGTATACCTTGTTTACCTTCGAATTTCGAAGAAATGTTATTAAATTCGAAAGTGGATAAAAAATAGATTGAAATACCTGAATGGAGCTTCGTATACTGGAACACAATGTTAAATAAATACCCTAGAAATTTGGAATTTCAAAAGTTTTGTTATTTAAAAGAATTGAAAGGGAAGAAATATTTTTTTAAATTTTATTTTTTTAAAGTCGCCTAAAATAGTGGGTAAGAAAAGCACAATGGGAAGAACCAATTCGTTTTATTTACCTATTAGATTTTACTCGATAAAGGTAAAAAACCACAAACAAAAATTACATATTTAAGTTGTAGTAAAAACCCCATTCAAGGGGACCTCTTCAAATAAGAAAGAAATTGGTTAACAATCAATTTAAAATCTGTGAATAAACACCCGCCCACTTGTTTTTCGAGCACGTTTTTCTCCTTTTTCTTGTGTATCTTTCGCCTTTTATTAAGGGCGATAGTAAAGTCCACATCCGTTCGGCCACACGACTTTTCGAGCATCCATTGGCGTATCATATGGAAAATTTATACACTTTTCCCCAATACAAAATTTCTTCTGCGCACTCTTCATACAGCTTTACCCCAGCCAAACTACAATTATGTCTATGGGATATGAGTAAGAGTATAATATAGTGTTTCTAAAGTCAGCTCTTTACATTGGTAAATTATATTGGTAAATTATATCAAAACATAAAAATTGCTGTAAATTAAACAGATTAAATTACTGCAGAATAACTAAACCTTTCTATTATTTTTAGAAATGTATTAAATACATCTACATCTTAAGAAAAAAGAGATTCTTTTAAATTATATTCAATTAACTTTGAAAATTTTATGAATTTGATAGGGTACCTATTAAAAAAGTGTGTAGTACAAATTTTAGAAATTCAACCCTATTACCTGGAGTATGTGGCGCAGCTGGAGCGGTCCCGAGGAACATTTTAACAGTTATTTCCCATGTCTCATTCTTCTATACTCACCTTGATCCGTGGGAACTTCACATAGCTTTACAGATATTTCACATGGTGCACTCATTCAACCCTACAGGGCGTTGCCACATTTACCTCACTGCTTTCTCGGCTTCAATGCATATTGAAACTATCTGAATTAATGAAAGAAAATTCAAATGGTCAAATCTATTTTTTTAAGATTGTTCGTAACCGCACAGGACTAGCAGAATGTTGATTATAAAATAATTGCATATGAGTTTTTATAGTTTTTTTAACCAAAATTTAATCGGTGAAATATTAGTAAAATATGATAAATTGAACTAAAGTTTAGTCCATTTTTTTGACTCACCTTGTACTATTTTGGGATTTTGGGATAAAATTCCTTAAAATGTATCTTTACAAATATGCTCAATTAGTTAATTAAACTTTTAACTAAATAATTCGAACTAAACGTTGAATTAAATGGGGTCAAATTCGATAGGTAAATCCGGAGGTATTGTGAAATGTAGTGTAATGCGGCAACACCGGGCGAGTTCCTGTAGTAGTCGTATAGAAGAGAAACACCCCCTGACCAATCGAACGAGTGGGGGGCACATTCCCACGGTATATGTGTGTGTGTATCGGAATTTCGTTTTTGGATATTAAAAACAATCATTTGCCGATTGTTGACCGAGAGAAGAGAGTCCAAGAAAGTGCGCTGTTTCGGATAAGTTTGTGTGAAAGTGCCATATTTTTTGGAATAAGGATATTAAAAAAAATTAAAATCTCATAAAAAGAGGTGAGTTGAATTATAGTTAAATTTTTATTTTTAATTTTATTATTTTTTATTATCATCCTTTTCGTTAATTTATTTAAAAAAAGTGCTAATGGTAATTTAAAAAAACAGTAAAAATTTTTATTAGTTACATTCAAATCCCATTGTAACAAAAAACATGTAAGACATCAAAAAGCCTACTTTTTAAATTACATTCTTAATTAATCCGCAATCATTAATCACTCAGCCATGATAATTAATCGACCTAAAAAAGAAACAACGCAACCACAGGAATTCTAGTAATTTTTATTTAATTCGTTTCTCAGGTGAAAAAATGCCAATAAGCGAAGACGAAATCGACTACAATAGATCTCGAGAACCGCAATCGACCATGTCGAAAGCGGAATTAAGAAAAACGCACAAGCCCATAATGGAAAAACGGCGACGGGCCAGGATCAATCACTGCTTGAACGAAATCAAAACTTTAATTCTCGAAGCCATGAACAAAGATGTAAGTATGAGAAACACCTATTAGAATCCCTATTAGTCTCCATTGATTAGAAAAAGAAAAAAATAATATTCGAGTTCATATAAAAGATACATCAATCTAACTTTTTCTATTATTTTTAATATTTCACCTTTACCATTTTACCTCATTTATTTATTTAGGTACTAATAGATTTATGTCATTTACAGCCCTCTCGGCATACAAAACTAGAGAAAGCCGACATCCTGGAAATGGCCGTGAAGCATCTCCAGAACGTCCAGCGGCAACAGCTGGCCCTCTCCATGGCCTCCGATCCATCGGTAATGCGGAAATTCAAGACGGGCTTCGACGAATGCGCCTCGGAAATCGACAGATACATGAACCGAATCGACGGGCTGGACACCACCATGAAGCTGCGCGTCGCCAACCACCTGAGGAAGTGCATCGGCGGTATAGAGCAAGTGGCCCAATTTTCCGTTGCTGGTTTCGGGAATTTATCGTTGGTATCCAGCAGCGGGGGAGCCTCCACGCAATCCCTAGGTGCCCCAGCTGGTGATCACAACAACAACCCTAGGATCCAAATACCGCAAGGCATCCAGCTGATACCTAGCCGGCTGCCCACCGGCGAATTAGCGCTGTTAGTGCCGAACTCCCGGCATATAAACTTCTTCCCGTCGAACTCGAGGTCTAGCGCCTTCGCCGCCGTGGTGCCCTCTTCCACCGAAGTCTCCACCAAGCTGAGTCCACCGGTGAGCCCAACTGCTACCGAGGAACATCGGTTAAGAAGCGATTCTCCTAGGGGGTTCCGACCGGTCGTGCCCGCCAAATCGCTCTACACCGAAGAGCACCAAGTGCCTCAAATTTCCTCCACCGTTATCCAACCGCCTGAAGTCAAAACTCTTAAGTTTCCGATCAGCAGGAAATTGGAGTCGCCTCGCAAACTGGCCGAGCCGCTTTGCATCATCACCAACCAATCGGAGAGGTACAGGCAAGCCAGGGCGGCGGAGGACTCCGTGGCCTACGAGGAGAACGTCCAAGTGCAAGGCGTGAAGAGGAAGTACCCGGACGGGCAAGGTTTGCTGGCTGTTGTCGGTGAGCAGTACCATCCTACCGCTCCGAAAATCGTGAAGACTCAGTTGATTACCGTCGATTGCCAGTCGACCTCCGGCTCGGACGGTGCTAAAGAGGAGTCGCCGAAGAAGAATGCGAATTGTGAACCCTCCAGTGATATGTGGAGGCCTTGGTGACTGATGGAATTGAATTGTGGCAGTTTCGTATGCTGCGAAAGTGATATGCAAAAGATCGAAAAAATTGGAGTCAATCGATTTGATTTAAACGTTAATTGTGCCTTTTTATTATGTGTTAGAGATTTGTTTAATTTCTATGATTAGTTATAGACTATTTAACGGATCGTTAAATTAATTCATCTGCTTGTTAACGAAAATTAACATGGGAGGTATTAACGCAGCACGATTTTTGACTATAGTTTTTAGGCAAATTAATAAATAATAGTGATACAATGACTCGTATTCAGCGCTTATTTTAACTATTTGGTATATTCGTTTTATAATGGTTATTTCACTAAAGATAAACAAAATTAAGTAATCTAAATATCTAAAGAATGTTTAAACTTTTAAAAAGTGTGCTAAATACGTGAAATTGTGAGGTAGTATAATTTATAGAGGCTGATAAACACTGTGATTATTAATATTAATTACTAATGTTTGTAAACGTAAACGCTCAATTCAAGCTTTAATAATATAGAGTATATAGAGTACAAAAATGGTCGTGTATCTGAGTTTGAATGACAATTTTTGTTTTTTTTTGTACTTTCTATATCTATATGTAACAATTAATTCATGGTAGATAAATGTTAAGGATAAATGGAATCTAAATCGAATTACGAATGAATGTGTGCCTACATAATTAGAATTGATTAGTTTTAAATAAAAAAATGTTATATTTTACAGATGTTCTATTAAAAAATATATAAATTTTGATGCGTTTCATTTCTAATTTCTAGTATGATGAAATAAAAATTCGCATGAATACGCCGAGTATGCATTGATATTTTTGACCATTTTAAGTAAGCGTTAAAAGTGTTGCCTATAGAGTAGGTCAACTGGTGAAAATTATGTCGCTGGCATCAGAAAGTGGCCAAACACCCACAGTAGCCAAGTCGATTCATTTGATAAAGAAGAAAAGAGTGACATTTGAAAGCTGTCACATAATTTTTGTTTGAGTTTAAATTTGTTTAGTGTTGGTTGTTTTGTCGTTTAATTGTTTAATTTAATATTTAAGGTAATATTAATTTAAATAATATATTTGATTTAAATCTAAATTTTTCAGTTCTTGCCGAGCCAAATAAATAATCCAAGTGTTATTCAAGATTTTGAAAATTTTCAATTTACCACAGGTAAAGAAACGTTTTTATTACATTCAAAACATGAGAAATGTATAAAATTTAAGGGAAGTTTGCTTTTCCAACTAATTAAAATATAATTTTGAATAGCTAATGAAAGTGCAAAATACATTGTTCCCAAATTATTAATAACTTTAATAAATATTCAACTTTGCAGAAGTTGGGGAGTTTACGAAGGTAACAATTTGAATTCAAATAATTTTAATAACACGGGAGAGCAAATAAAGTGGCCTTCTTATAGTACAATGATTTATTTTAACACCTACTTACGAACAAATACGATTTTTTTACAATACATTTATATATTTTTACACTAATTTTACGTCACAATATATATCTGCGTATCGCTACAGTTACAAAAAAAAGGGGTAGGTTCATCTACAAATTATATACATAGTACAATCATTCATACATTAAATCTAATAGGAACTTTGGTTTCTTTCGAGGATTTTTCAAACCCTCTACTTGCATAAAAAAATATTTACATGTACATTACTATGAGATCTCGATTAAAAACGACGATCAACGGAAGATAAAAAAAAGATTTATAATTAAGAGATTCTAAAAATGTTCGAGTTCCTAAAATCGAGAGATTATCATTTATGTCATATAACTTCTATTATATTATTATACCTCGAAATTAAATTCGCCTGATTGAGAATCATTTAGTTGCGCTTTAAGAAATCGAACATTACGAAAAAATTTTACTATTTAAGTGTTTTTTTAAAAAAATATACTCTTTCTTTTGTTGAAACATCGTATACTACAATTATAAGATATGTGACAATAATTTTTTTTTGTTAAAACCGTATACAGAGAGACTTTGAATTTTTAAACGATAATTTTATTATTCACAAACTCCCGCTTACTTCCGAAAAGGATTTCAAACGTTCAATGAAGTGAAATTGACGAGTTAATTAACAACTCGTCCGGTGCAAAATTAGATTATTTCTAATTTTGAGGGCCTTTCGTTTGGCTGCGCTTTATTTTTGATTTGAATTTTTATTGTATTCTTTTATATTACATAAGCTTAAAAATTTCATTTGCTGTTGGTTCGCAAATGTTCTTAGTACTTTGTACAAAAAACACATTATTTTTATTCAATATCAGTCGAAACTCATTTTTATGCTCAATGTAGCCTCTAAAACTGTTTATTTTCACGGCATAAAATTTCTTGCGAACGACTTACTCGAATACCACGATATTTTAACTTTGTCATTAGAATTCGAAACACAGTCTATAGGTATTTACACATTTATTACACGTTTTATTTTATATTAAAAAAATTAAAGAAATAAAAAATCACAGACTTAAACCATGCCTTTCGACATCATTCTAACGGTATTTTTAAGGGCTTGTCGCTTATTACAGAACCATATTCGAATCACCTCCCTTTCGTAGCCGAGCTGATGGGCAAGACCGGTGATCTCTGTCCCTAAAATAATTTTATCATTAATTCACGATGCTAATCATGGAAATTTAACAACACCTTCGATAAGGATAATTAAGGATTCCTTATAAAAAATTTCTGATTACCTTATCGAAGGGTTAGATGTAGTATACCTCATCAAATGTAGCTTGGCAGTTGGCATTTTTAGGAAGTAAGAGCCTTTAGCAAAATTTAAAGAAGGGATAGGATAAAGATCTCAAGTGTAGTTGATTTTTATGATTGTATATGTATTTTCAGAATGATGTTTGGTTTCTTTTTATACAGTGTTTTATTATAGAGTTTTAAATTAAATTAATTTTTAAATTTAATTAATCCCTGAAATCTTTATTATTAAAGATTCAAATTATGCATTAATTTTCAAATTATTTATTAAATCAACAAGCACAAAGAAGGTTACTGTAGTACATAAAATGCATATTTAAAATCTTCCTATTCATATGCATAATTACCAAATTTGTATAAATTTTTATATGTTCATATAAATAAATTATTAACCTGGGAAAATTTAAAGCGATATGCACGTATTCCCCAATACTGCATCAACATTTGTACAGTCCCGCAGTTCTCAGGTGTTGAGAGACATTTTCTTTAAAATCCTTTCATATTTCTCCCCCGTTTACGCATCTAATGCAATTTTCAACTGCCCAGCTGCATTGGGTGAGCTATATAGTTACCTGAGGGATGAGTGTTCCTTTCGAAATGAGCGTTGAGAAGTTCTAGGGCTTGTGGGGTGAAGGATGTCCGTCGTTTTCTTTTCTTCGAAGGTTCAATACCAATGAAATCGGTGAGGTGGTTTTGCCCGCTTTTGTACCTACAAATTGCAGAAAAATAACCATAAAATTGACCAAGAAAATAAGCATGATGTGGTTTAGCTCACCTATCTTCGGCCTCCTTCATCCATCTCTCCAAAACCGGCTTGATTTTCTGCGCGCTCTTTGGCGTGATGTCCAATTTCTCGAACCTAATCGAATAAAATAAACAATTGTACAAAAAACAAACTAATTATTTATTGTTCGGAGTAATTTCCGATTCGAATTCGGCTTCTTTGATTTTACAATTGGTGTATGAATGCGGCACAGGACACTAGCATATACGAAAAGAAGCTTTATTCAATTGACGAACGTAGCAAATGCCAGTGCCCTGGCCAGTCTTTAGCGTACCAAATAGAACAAAACGGAACAAACACATATATTAAACAAAATATTTAATCATACACTTTTCCAAAATATGCAACCCTATCGAATCTCGAAACTGTGCAGATGATACCGACGCAAAGGGGAGTTGAATTTAATCAGAAAAAAATAGTCAAGGTGCATTTAAGAGGGGTTGCATGTTTGGCAAAGTTACTATCTAAATATAGTGTAAATAGTGTAAAAGAAACATACATTGCTTGTTGCTGAGTAGATAGTTGCGCGGCGGCAAACATCTGAGAAGCCAGGGCACTGGGAACAAACCATAAATAATTACTTACGTATTATCTATTATTTTATACAGTGTTAGAATATTTAAGGTAGGTAAATCGATATAAAGCAAGGCGGGACCAAATAATTTCGTTTAGTTTAAAAACGTTCGATTTATTAAATTTTAATCAAGAAAAAGGTGTCGTTGGTCGATATATTATACCTTTTAATTAATTTTTTATAATTAATAATATTGTCATTCTTAAGCCTCCAAGGCCCTTGTAATTATCGTAGTAAAATAAAATACCGCTAATGTAGATAAAGAAAATGAAGATTGTCATTTTCCGTTGTTTTAGCAACATTTATTTCTCGAAGATGTAGAATAAAAAAACTAAAAATTACCAACGAATCCACGATAATTCTTTATTCCGTCCAGTTGGCACGAATTATTCACCACCCCTTTTCGATTATAACTATTCAATTAAATCGCGTTAAATCGAAGTCTCTGTTAAATAATCGCGTGCAACGATGCGAGCCAACCGACCCCGGAACGTTTTGATTTTGAACATTATTTATGTGCGAACCAAACACTATATTATATAGTTTATTTCCACTTCCTGATAAAATATAAAATAATCCACCTGTTGCTTGTCGGCGCTCGGCCCGAGGGCACCTCCATTCGCCGAATGTAATAGAATAGAAGGCGACAACACGAGCCTTCAACGAACGATGATATTCACATTCATACGACTATTATCAACAAAATATCGAAATTGATGATTCTCGAAACAGACGAGCAGAAACTTACAAAGTTAAGACTGGGAATCAAGGACTCATCGAACTCCTACAACTTTGCATAGATCTCGTTTGCTTATGTCCTGTCTTGAGTGAAGGAGTATCAGGAACGGAGGGATAAACAGAAGGTGGATAAAGACCTCGATTCCCATTCTCTGGTACCTATAAGGTGTGGGAGTATTACCTGCATATGGCGCTTTGGCTGTAAGCCGGTCCTTCGGTAACGCTAAGGGCCTGTCCGACTTGGGTTTGCGTTAGTCCGAGGGACAATCGCCGCAACTTGAACGCCTTGGCGAAATCTTTGATTTCATCTAAATTGATGCCATCGACGACGTTCGAATTCGTTTGATTTATTGTTGGTTGATCTGGAAAAGAAATAATCGCTTCGTAATAATCTTCGGTTGATAATCGCTGGCATATCAAAGTTAAAAGTGAATTTATCAAAAATTTCCAGCTATTTTATTTGTACAAAAGTTACGTCGTAAAAAATCGAGGTTTAATTAATCAAGGAACGAATTAAAGCTCATTATACTTAATAAAATTAAGGACATTCCTAATAATCAAACACCAATTTTCTTTTGTGTTATTTTTCTAAAGAATTAATCGTTTTATCATCCCGCAATTGCTTTAATTGACAACAATGGGCTAAGTGGTGATTACCATAATAGAAGAAGAATAAATACAAATAAATCTATTACTCAATTTATTCGACAATAACGTCACCGTATACGCTTTGCTAGCGTATCATTGTTAATGTATAATAATTCGTTAATCACGCATTAAAATTAATAAAAGGTCGAATAAATAATAGTTGTATTTTTAGCTCCATTAATTTATTTCGGAATGAAAACTATTTCGAACTAAATTATTTATAAGCGTGATAAATCTTGAGTGTACAATAAGTAGCGCTGTTCGCTTGACGACATTAAATAATTATTGAAGAACCTTCAAAAAATTCGTTTTAAATCCCGAATAAATCATCAAATATTATCGCTCAAAATAAGTTTTTTTTTCCTTTTTTATTTGACAATCAGAATATACATTCTATAGGTCAATGTGCTGTCTTGACACTTTCCTGTAGTGCCGTCTTTAATTGTCCTTAAGTCAGTTGGCCATAAGTACATAAAATTTCATTTCAATAATTCGAACGATTCTCCAAACATCAAGGAAAAACTGTTTGTTGGTACATGACATTCGCTCCTTAAACTTTTGACTAACCATTTCCGAACACTCTATATATTCGTACTCACTTGGCGAATCCACTAGGAGATCAGCAGTAGAACTATCAGTACAACTAGGCGACAAGGGTCCTGGTGACCTCTTCAAACTTTGACTAGAACTAGTATTGTGATTGGCCATCATGCTGGCGTCCCCGTTGGTCCTGGCATTGCCGCCGGGCGACGGGTTCCTCGGCAGCACTCCCATGCCGCCGCCGTGCATCTTGCCCTCGGTGTAGTGCACGTTCTGGCTGGCGCCGATGTGATTGGGCGCCGTTCCTATCGAAGTCGAGCCCAAGTGATTGGAACCCAACGGGTTCGAACCCAACTGGTTGACGTTGATTTGGCCGCGAGCTTGGCTCTGTTGCGGCGGCGAGGCGTTCATAATCGGCGTGGAATTCGATAGAAGAGGATTGATTAGAGGAGAAGGATTCGGGTGGTTGTTTAGCAGCTGAGGAAGAGATTGGAGGATTTGTTGGGCCGAGCTGTTGGATAATAAATGAGTGAGAGTCGCTGGGTTTAGGAGGTTCGGGTTGATTGTACCGTTCGACGTCGGAGGTACTGGAATAGTACATTATTGAATTAGCCTTTTTTTAAAAGTGTTTAATTATTGCGTTTTACCTGGATTGGGCGGGTTACTTAATAAATTAGTTTGAGCCATGGCTTGCAAGTTAGCCAGAGACGTTTGCATTACTTGTCCGTTATTCAAAGCCAGATTAACCATTTGATCTGAGCTATTTACATGGTTCACCGGGATTGTCAGGATGGTTTGCGTCGCCAAACCTGAAAAAACAACTCCCGTATAAATCTTGCATATTCCTTATCGAAACACGGCTCTACCTTGAGAAGTGGGTATTAGTAATTGCGCCCCTTGTATACCTTGCACCAATTGCCCCGATGCCAATATAAACTGGGGCATGGACGCCGGCGCCTGCTGAGAACCCATTAAAGGATTCGGGGGCGCCATGGACGTCGGCTGATGGGGCTGCGCGTTCATCGGATTCGTTATTATACCGGGCGGAGGTTCCGTCAACGCGCCCGACTGGGTACTCCTCGGCGTCGGCGCTGCAAAAGTGTAATAATTCGGAATTTTGCTTTGGAAGAAAATCGGTTTAGGGATAATACCTGATCCGCTAACGCTTAAATTCAACGGAGCATTCACAGCGGGATTTCCCGATAAACCGGCCATACTCGACAGTCCTGCGGCTAGCGAAGCCACTTGGGGTAGATTCTGCAGCGATGCCAAATTTTGCAAATTTTGCAGAGTCACCAAACCTGCCACTATACAACAAACATTGGATGTAAACAAAGTAGAGGATTTTGAAATAATAGAGTTGAGTATAGAATGACTACAGAGGCACAGAATTAAATGGAAGTGGAATCCTTACTTGCTCCGTTTAGGTGCGAAGTGGGCGACATCCTGGGCGTCATTTTCGGGTCCTTAAGCGACGTTTCGTCCATGCGACTTTGCATCTGCTTGGAGGATAGGGAAAGATCCGCGCCGTTTTCCCCGCCTATCGCTAAAGCTCCCGGTTCCGGTGAACTGATGGTGCTGCTCTCGCAATCGCTCTCCTGCAACACGATTTACCATCGTTTCAATAAAGTTGTTAAACGTATAGTACGAGGTTAAAGTGTCCATGTTACTAATTTTCCTCTTGTTATAAACCATTTTTTTATCAAGACGATTTTTCATGTTTGATACAAATTTATGAAATTCCTGCTGAATTATATATTCATCTAATCGTCACGTAATCCATTAAACCCGACAGCGTATAAAAATAAAATACCGTACAATAATTATACTTTTATACGCGCACAACAAAAGCCCTTTAATCCGTCGTCTAGGACTCATTGTCATTGTGTGATTGAAGTCGTCGGCCTGTCCTGCTCGTCCTGCCGTTCTCGCTCTCCCGACCCTTCTAAAGGCGGCCGGGACCGCTCCGGGCGGCCGAGGAGGCAAGGGGGGAAACATTAATATTGCGAAATGAAGCTCATTTGCATTTAAATAAGGTAGTCGCGGAGCGGCGGGACGCAGCCAGAGGGGCTCTAATTACACTAACTACACAAAGAGCTCTCGCTTGGCCGGCCGCTGTCCGAGCCCCCCTCTCCCCCCTCCGCGACCGAGCTCCCTCTATCCAACCACCCAGGCCCTTAACCCTTATTATATGAGGGCGAGACTGTTCCAGGGCAGCTTGATTATCATTATGCCGGAATAGATTATGTGCTCGGTGGGCAAAGGGGGAGCGGAGGAGGCGAAGGGGCAGTTGTTTCTTAGTTTGAGCGTTTGTTCTGAGAGTTAGTGGGAAATATCCCTTCATTAAGCTGTACAAGTTGAACGTACTTGTGTATAGAGCTAACACGTCTGGAACCGCTTTATTACACATATCTATTAATAATAATAAGTACCAACTCCGAAAAACCTGGACAATTATTTTGAGGTGGATTTACAAAAACAAAACGACCATGTATAGTAAACCGAGTCGGTTCAATTTAAATATAGTTTTTAATATTGAGAGAATCAGCTCTAATCCGGCTGTTCAGGAGTGGAATATTCTATATCGCTCGCAATTATCATAAGCACCGAACCCTTTAAGCGCTAAGCAGGAGAATGCGAGTAGATGTTGAAGGGGGCGCGTTATGAATAAACATGGGTCCGCGTTGGTCGATTCAATTATAGACGAGGCACACTTTGGCGCACACACGGTACAAACGCAAACAAACGCACATTTTATATTTTAGTATTCCAACTACTATCCTGCTGACATCTCCGCTTTACTGCTGGTCTCTTGAGGGTGTTTAATCGGCGTAAACCTACGACACTTCTGTTACCTGATTTTAGTAGTGTTAAGAATAAATCGCTTTAGATTCTTTTTTACTAGCCTATAGTGGTAAAATCAAAGAAGTATGAATAACCAAGGAATGGTTAAATTTAGTAATTTTGAATGATGATGCAATAATGTAATGAATTATCGAGGGAACTACCTATTGTTTGAACACAAATTTCGCTTTAACACGTCGGGGGTGTTTCGATAACATCATAATACGTTCGAAATACGTCGTCCGGTTGGCCAATTAAAGAACAATCAATTATGCATCGACCTAAAATGCATCTGGTAAGCAACCAGGGGGCCAATCATTAATTCAGCCCGATGAATGTTTAAAGTGTACAAGGTCCAGCCGAGGATGGAAATTATAGATGATCGGCGGCAACTATAACAGCGCTTGTAATTTCGCAGCTGCACAAATACCGTCTAATTCTCGATCTAATTAAATACGTAGGCACATAGGGAATCGATAGCGGGAAAGGGATTCGCTAATTATTTGAATTCGATGGAAGTTGTACACGTTGTTTTGGTCGATACGTACAGCGATATTGACCGGAAATTGGTAAAATAAATATATTATACATCTTTGGAGGAACTCATCACGATGCAAATATCTATTTTGAATTATCATATCCACAATTCTGACGTAAAGATGAAATTACTGTTAAATATATCAGCATGTTGTTATACACCCGAAGGTAGATTTTCTACAATTTCCAACGTATTTGCTTTTGTTGTGTTTAAATATGTGGATATCATAGTATTATAGATTTATCATTTTTGATTTCAATTTGTGATTACTAATCATTCTCATAATAGCTCCTAAGGCCTCTTACCAGAATAGGTAAGTGTTTTTACCAGAATTATGGTCCATTGCCAGAATAGGTAAAACCCCTTACCAAGTTTGCCCCCTTACCAGAAATTGTCCCCTTACCAGAAATTGTCCCCTTGCCAGAATTTAGCCCCTTACAATGTAGAAACTATCTTTTTATCAGTATTGTGAATGCAACATGCGAAATAGCTGCATCTTGCGGCAGAAATCAGTAGGTATGTCTTATCGAACATTGGCTGCAGGAATTAAAACTCCTTCGTTCGGTGTACGTTTAGACCGATCTGCATTATTATTGCCTAATGATCAAAACGCACGTCACGTTCGGCTCCCGCCGCCCCTTTTCCCATTTCGTCGGGGGGTCAGGCCGAGAACCGCCTCCCCCGTTCCGAGGGCGCGCTTTCGAAGTCCCCCCCTTTCGCCGCCCGACGCCGCGCCGGGCCGCTCGAACTCGAACTAAAACTTAATTATAATTAATTAATGCGACTGCTACTAAGTCTATAGGCTATACGCTATGTAATTAGAAACCTTTATATAAAATGAATACTGTTAATTAAGGAACTAAAAGACATTATACACTGCTAGATTGCAGAAATAACTTAAGTACAAATAATATTATTATTGCCAAGTTTCAGTTAATTCACACTATGGAGATTGGAGAGAGGGAGTTTCGGGAAGTTTCGGTATAGGGCACTTTGTGTTACGCGCGCGGACGCCTTTTTGGAATATTCGATGGAGAGCCGAATTGGAATTGCGGAATTGAACTAACTAGAGCGTTCGCCTGCGAATTCGAAACAATATACACTCGATTGGATTTATTTTCATAAAAAACATTAACCAACTAACATATAAAAATTACCACCATTTATTTTTATACACCTCCTCATGGGGAAATTAAACACAGGGTGACCAAAAATTCTTCAATTTTTTAATATTGATGAATCCCGGTATCTATTCGTTATAATGGAAAAATTGTCCTCGATCTCGTTTTTTTTGAAAAACCACCCTAAACTCAATCAATTAATCAAATTAGTGTCTTTGTTTGCAAAAGAAAATCTCCTCTTCTAAATGCTTTCAACTAACAAAAAACTAGGAATTGATGGAAATAATGCAGCATTATAAGCGATATTAGAGCGAATATTTTAGACGATTTTGAAACTTTTTCTACATCTTTTAACGTAAAGGAATTTCTCGAGAATTTTTCAAAACTTCAGCTAGTTCAGTTTTCTCTATTTTATCCTCCCTAATAAGTAAGCAATGATCAATCACTATTTCGATGTCGCCGGTAGAATTATACGGTTGATCATTCCGCATGCAGTACAATGCCCGCGTGTCTCACAGAGAGATTAGAGTTGCGAGATAGCGATTTTGAAAAATCGAAAAAATCTCTCTCCTATTACCTCGTTGGTATTCGTAGGGATTCCTCGTTTTAAATCCGCCTTTTCACCAAAGACAGGGCAAATTTTATTTTTACAGGTTATACATTGACCAATGAATCAATAAAATTACTGTTTCATTACTGAAAATATGTGGTATTTTAGTGCTTAAAACAGTAGGTACTTAATTGGGGGAATTTCTCTCTGTATAATTTAAATATAATTTTTAATACACCTACCTAATAATAAAATGTAGAGTAAAGCGAAACCAATTTTAATTAAATGCAAGTTCTGTCTCTTAAAAACATTTTAATTTTGTCAAATTGCTATAAACCAACCGAGGTCGAGTCCACTTTTTCACGGAAAATTATGCTATAGACAAAAAATATTTTTTAAAGCTTTTATCACAGCACGCCGGTGATTTTCCCCGACGTTTTTCTTTTTCCCTGGCGATTTTTCCTCCTCGTTCGTTCGGCACCGAGAATAACAAACGAAGACGAATGTTCCTTTCGCTTTTACACTTTCCACGTCTCTATTTTCGACTTTCTCGCACGCTTTTCAGCAGAAAATTCACTCGCAATTACAATTTCCTTATACTATAGTGTTGCGTGCTGCCTTAACATGTTTTCCTGCAGTTGTCTTAACAGCGTTTCTGGGGTTCTTACAAACACTTTTTTTTACAATAATAAATGAATTTTTTTTCAGAAAATTTCTACTAAAGGAATAATTCATTAAACAATACCCCTTATTCGCATCATGGATATTGATTAGAGCCGCTCTGATTTTGAACCGTTTAATACAAGAACACGCTTTCTATTCAGTCACGTGGCTATTCATTAAATTTTAAGATTATAATAGAATAAGTGGGTAAATGTAAAAAGGGTTGTTATTACGGCTTAGTATAATTACTAGTCGCTTTAATAAGGGTTCCTTTTACATGGTTTTTTGATGCATAGAATGTTTAAGCTTTTTAAATGTGGTTTTAGTAGATTTTTTTACATTTACGGTTTGTTTAATTGTATAAGGATACTTTCAGGGAAACGAAAGTTTGTTTTTAAGGGATTTTTTATTATAATTTTTCGATGAAATTTCGAATCGCTTTTAAATTTATCCGTTCCAGGTACCATGAAAAATAGTAATTACAACCATATTTCCGAATAAATTCCCATCATATTTTGAAACCTGTAGTTTATTTAGGGCTCACCCTGTTTACGGAATTTAAGAGACAAACCAATGAATCTTTAACACAATCCTCAAACTGATCCCATTAATGTTTTTGTCGAAAATAAAAGTATAATGAAACGCCCATCAACCAAATTAGAAACAATAAATAAATGTAAATACACGAATTTAAATGACGCTACTGTAAATAATAGTATGTATAGGACAATTAAATTAAATAAGAAAACGAGCCGAGCCAACGTGAAGGTGGTTTTCTCGTTATTGTCATCGTAAAATGAGCGAACGGCCATTCCGTTGACGAGTATTTTAAGGATCGACTTCGAAATACCAATTATTACACTGCCAGTATTAAACTGGCTT